TTAAAATGAAAGAACTTAACTTACTAATCGCAAAATCAGTTTAGTTTTAAGGCTAAGGGAAATATCCCAAAATAACTGTTAAATTTAAAGGTCACATAAATGTGGAAACACTATGTTATTCGAGCATTTCATTTGAATAGCACCTGTTCAGACCGATCATCTCAAAGATTTACTTTCAAACGAAGTTCACCAATTTAAAGGGATTTCTTGTTAATTGAAATCTTTCTTCGTTTTAATTTTTCGCTCGTTTTGATATGCATACTAGAATAGGTTTGGTGTCTGTTTTTGTTTGGTCGTACTCGATATATGAGAGATCTTTGTGTAAATGAACAGAACTAATTTTTTTCTGAGTAGAACCTTAAAATAGATTTTTCACTTTTACGACTTTTTAATTAGCGCTTCTAAGTATTTTGATAGATCTGTCGCCTCACTTATTTTACTATTAGCCTATTAAATGAAATCTTCCACCTGTAAACAGGAGCACCAAACTCACCAAAGAAAATCCATGCATCTTAAACGGTAATTTTGGTGATCACAAAATTAGGGTTAAAACAATAATCCAGCTTTCCCTTAGCTTGCCTCCACATTTCATTTAATTCGTGGAGTTTTTTGACGAGCATTTCCAACACGTTTTAATCATACTGTTGTATTTCTGCCATAAATCTCTTATAATTTACGACATTGTACAACAACAATTGTGAAGATTGAGCTTGGGATACCTGTTCTGTAAACACGTCACAATACAGTGTTATTACAGTTGTGAAAATGTGTCCATGTTATCTGCTAGACTGAACTTTTTCATCTTAGAGGAAATTCAAGGAAAATACTCGAAACATTTTCTTTTGAGTGGCAAACGGGATGGAAACACGACAAACATTATTTGAAAGTAATGCATTTGTCACATTAAACTGATCATATTTGAATTTTATCCCCGGCTCATGAATTAATGATAATCATTGTTTTAGTCATATTAACCCTGCTTAACCCTTTTTTGAAGTAAAAAGGTCCGGAAAAAAGCAAAATTATCCTTTTCGCTTTGTTTTACAGGGGAAAATGAATTATGCAAGATACAAATACGGAAAATCATGAGAAAATAAAACGTTTCACTTGTTAATGTATTTTGAATCTTATCCTCCCCGAATTACTGCTAGTGAATTAGTGCTTCAGTCAGCTAATGCTGCTGTCTAAACCTATTTGAAATAGAAAGGTCTGGAAAAGAGCCGAAAGGTTCTTTTCGCTTTGTGTTGAAGAGGCAAATAAACTATTTTTCCACTTTTAGTCTCTTTCGGTTTTACTTGTGATGTAAAATAGCATAGGCAATCTTAAAAAATGCAACATTTGGCCGAAACAAAAACCAGAAAAAGACTACATTTCGTAGGGTTAAAAGGTCCAAGACGGAGTAGAGAAGAGAAGATGGACTCGAGTCACCAGATTCAAAACGACTTCCATGTGAACTGTGTTGTCTACAGTTTAATTGGTGGAAAGCCAGATCATTTGTCAGATTTAGCCTACGCTGTTCTCGTTGCTTTGATCGTAATCCACGCCACGACTTGCCCTTTTACAATTTTGTTTAATCTGTTGGTGATGATCGCTGTGAACACTAAACCACGCTTGCAGAGCATGTCTAACATAACATTGGCTTGCTTAGCCTCGACTGACATGATGGTCGGATTAGTGGTCCAGCCTCTTCTTATTACTTTGATGGTGAACCTCATCCAAGGGAAGACCACAGCCGGTGTATGCTCAGTACAAAGTGCCACAGGATTTTTCATCAGCTTCTTTTGCTTCTCTTCTTTTGTTCACCTGTTCCTAATGACTGTGGATCGGTACATCGCCATCATGCGTCCCTATGCCTACATTGAAACCGTCACCAAGACTCGTTTTCTGATTGCCACAGCTCTTGCATGGACATTGACCACAATCATGCACATTATGTTGCTCATTGACGAGGAACTGGTTAGATATATTAAGCATCCTGTAATAGTTTCACTTATTACAATCACTGTAATCTGCAACGTGATAGTTTATCGTCAGGTGCATCGTCATGAAAAGCAAATAGCAGCTCAGCAAGTCGATGTAGCGAGCAGAGAAAACTTTTTATCTCAAAGGCGAGCTTTCAAATTAACAGTGATGATTATTATTCTAATAATAATAAGTTACTTACCGTATATTATTCTCCTAAGGCTCGTGGAGCCCCTGAAAAGCATTGTTACCTTGCGTTCACTGAGTTCCATTTTCATGGCTGTTCTTAGCTTAGCGGCTTTTAACTCTTTTGTGAATCCGTTTATTTATTGTATAAGGTTAAGACAATTTCGGGTCGCATTCCTCGAATTAATGACACTGAAAAGCCACAATGAAGCTGAATAAGTTTGAAATGATTTTTCGATCGAATATTGCTGTCACTTGTAAATCCAACCTGAGCGGAGAGACCAGGCCAATTTCACCCGGGACGCCTAAACATCCAGAGTTATGGAGAGGGTGTATCCCTGAGCACCTCGGTTTAAGGCCAGGGTTAAAGGTGTGTTCGGAAAATATGATTGATTGGCAATGTCTCTCGCTAGGATATCCAGAACAAAATGATTTTTTCTCCAAAAGTAAATCTTGAGGTCTTCTTGTGTCTTAAAGTTTAATTATGGTCACGTGTCGTGAATTCAGAATGAAGGAGATTGACGAATTGGTGGCGAAATGACTTTGTGTGATAAAAAAAAAAATTGGTGTTTCCGATAGAGGGTAAATATTCTTCACTTTCTACTTTTGGAATGAACGTACCGTACGCGAAGTTTAAAATAAAGTTTTAAATAGTTCAAGAGTAAATTTAAGCATTTAAAATGATGTTTTCCCCTATAATATTTTATTGAAGTGTAATGGATAGTTATTCCAAAACGTGAATTGTTAGAAATATTTAATATATATGAATGAGAAAAGTGTTATTGCTTGATTTCTTCTCTTAAACTCACCAACAATTTGTCAGTTATTTAAGATTTTTAGAAAAATGGTCACGTGACATATCACGTGACTTATTGACACAATATTTACACCTTAAAATGTTAAGGGCGATGAGTTCTCTATTTGTGGCAAATTTTGAGTCAGTTCCATGATCTGTACCGAGTATAACCAATTTATCATTTTCCACAGGTAAACCTCTTAGTCTAATAAAAATTAAAACGCAAACAGCAATGATAAGCATATGAACTTTTGCATATTTATATAAACTGGACGTTTCGTACGCCAGTCAACATGCATTTTCAAAACTGATCTAAAGTGACCGTTACAGATTATGACGAGACTATTTATACAAGATTTTTAAGGGGTCTGGAAATGAGATTAAGAATTCAAAATTCTTAACAGTAAAGCTAGTAAAGTCTCAGCTTTTCACCGCTGATGTTGACATTAAAGGCTGGCTTAACCCATTCGCTCCTGCAGATTTTGCCGAAAAACGCGTTTTGAAGCTATTCGAGTGGTTTTCTGGTCACTGTCGTGCTATAAAGAGCTTAAACTTACCACAAACCAGTTTACAGGTGGTACACTTCATGGCCTTCTGATCCAGATGCAAAATATCAGCTTGCGAGGTTCGGGCATGCGCAGAAAGCAAAATTTCGTTTTTGGGTTTAAAAGTGACACAGCAGTCTTGACTTTTACTTTTCGCTTTCTCTCCTCCCCTCTTTTTTCGCTTTTCTTACCTCATTTTTTTTCTCTTACTGGGCATTTAGTAGGCTTCATTTTGGTGGGAATAGTTTTTAGGAAAGCTTTTAGGATCTTAGGATTAGGTGAAAGGAAAGGTAGGTGGGCAATGGAACAAGATTTTCATGGAGATTTTCAGGTCAATGTTACATGGTTTTTTGCGTCTTTCTCCGGTGTCCTTGACTGAATTGTGCTCATTCTGGTATGGTTTGAAAGATCTCTTCACTCTGCACAAGTTAGTGGACAAAGTTGTCCTTGACCGTTAAAACTGATGACGTCACAAAGGGTAGAAAGGACGTGGATCCGCACGGGCGGTTACGGGCGGTTCAGGGGCGAATGGGTTAAGATCTTGTATAAACAATGTTTCTTTTATCTTGCAATCGTAATCTGATTTGCCAGACACTAAAAATTCAAAATGATCCGGCGGCATTGACATGGTCAGCAATAGCTGACTTTGGAAAATGTATGTTGACTAGCGTAAGAAAAGTCAAAAAAGAAAATGAGAAAGCTCACAATGTTTATCACCGCTGTTTGTGTTTATTTCTGATTAAACTAGATGGCCCAAGAACAAAAGTCTCTATAATATAGTCAAAAAACTTTTTCAAAAGTGATCTAAAGTGACCGTTACAGCTGATTATGACGAGTAGAGACTATTTATACAAAATTTGCCAAAAAAAGGAAAAAGTAAGCTTGACTAGCATGGGAAACGTCCAGTTTCAACCTCGTCCCCAGGGCTTTTCCCTTAAAAACCCATTTTTTAAGGGAAAAGCCCTGGGGACGAGGTTGGTCCAGTTTCATTGATATAAAAATGTGAAAGTTCACAATGTGCTGTTTATGTTTTATTTTTGATTTAAGTACGATGGCCCAAGAGCAAAAGTCTTTAAAACCTCTTACAAGCCTTGAACTAGTTAAGGTGGCAGCTAGGCCAATGTCATTGAAGACGCGGTCGAAACATTCCTAGCTGAGGAGAGAAGGAGCAACAGCATACCAACCTGCTGGTCGATGTCATCAGAGACGAAAATACATCCCTATGTGGGGAGAGAGAGCAACAGTATAGTAACCAGGTCAAATTCATTAGAGATGTCTAAACATCCCCAGGTGGGGGGAGATAGGAACAGCATTACCAACAACCAGGCTAATGTCATAGAGATGACAGGAAAGAGTCGTCGTCATTCCACTACAAGTTGGGCAAAAATACAGTAGTAGCGGAAACAAGTAGTTGTCAAATGTTAGAAGTTTTATTATACGATCGGGAAAGAGCTTAACCTCCTTCAATAAGAATAACCCTGCAAACTTTTCTGGTGAAAAGAATTACAATGAAGCTTTCCGGGGTGCATAATTTTTAAGAATACGCGAAAAAAAACTTTAAGTCAAATCTCGCTCTCGTCCTCGAATCTAAAGGTCCCTAATAATTGAGGGTCCCCATAGGGTTCTTCAATAACGTAATCCCGACCCAAAATTTCGTGCAATCCCGTAATCCCGAGGGTTATTTATGGTATTCTAACTCTCGCGCATACACGTTCAGTCCTGAATCTTGCCATGCAGTTTTTGCTTTAAGATCCCGAATCTTGAGCTTCAAATAAGGGAAACCTGGATCCCAAAAACCTATTGAGGACCCCTATCACTGGTGGTGATGCCACGACCATAAACACGAAACAACGTTCTATCATTATTATTTGATACGTTTTGATAACTTTTATTTCAAACAAGCGCGGATATCTTCATTAAAATTCATTCAGCTATTGCAATAAAATTCCAGACTTTAGAAATAAGGTGCAAAAACTGGAAAAAAACTACCTTAAAATTCAAGCGCCCTAAGGAAAATGAAACAAACATGATTCCTACTGTTTAATTCAAATTTGTTTTTCTTTCTGTTGATGTAAATTACAGGTACCTATAAATTAAAATAATGTGGTTAAACTGTTTTATAACTCTCCATGTTTTAATCCCTGGAATTCGTCGTGTGAAATGTAGCCATCTTTATTTTTGTCTTCTTCATGGAAGATTTCCTGCATGAGGTTGTCATGGCTTTCATCCCCTTCACCATTTGAAAGTCCCTCTCGCCTAAGATAACCTGCAACCTGTGATAAAAAACAATAGCATTAAGCCATTACCATTGGCAGATCCAGGGGAGGGGCCTGGGGGGCTTATTTTTAGACCAAACTGAGGCCCAAAGGGCCCCCCAAAAAAATTTTATGCGACCGTCGCCACCCCCCATCCCCTTATCTAACAGTCTGGATGACCGCCCCCCTTATTTCAAGGTCTGGATCCGGCAATGATTACTATCATTTTCAGAGCGGGGCCAAGGGCAAGCGCAAAACCGCATTTTTTATTTTTTCTTGTGAGTTTTATTTGCATTTTTATCTACAACTGCATGACCTGGGAACAATTCAATCTCAAGTAATTTAAGGCCTGGATATAAAAGGATTACCAAGGAAAAAATTATTTATCGTCTAAATTTAGCGAAGAGGATGGAACTGAATCGAGATTTGGGACACAGAAATACCTTATCGACATGCAACATTTTAAAAGTGTAAATATTGCTTCAGTTACTCACACGTGATATGTTACGTGACCACGATAATTGTGCGTTAAGGCACAAGTACACCTCACGATGTACATTTGGGGAAAATTTTATTTCGTTATAGGTATCACTAGCGAGAGATATTGGGATTGCGAAGCAATCATATTTTCCAGCCTTTGACCGGAAACATAAATTCTGCATGTGAGATCAACCTATCCGATTCTCCATAATAATAGTCTTATCAGTGCTGTTAATGCTCAACCACTCAATTGAATTTTAGTCAGATCAATTCGCGGGAAAGTTAGTGAAGCTAAAAGGGTCGAACAAGCTAAGAGATTATGACACGAAGTTAACAACATAAACTTTGCTGGCGTAAACTGCAGTTTATACTCCCCTCTCCCTTAATAGTCCCACCCCAATTACATGCCAGTCTTACCATCTACCTTTTAGCAAAAAATACGTCAGATTAAAAGCCCCTCTTTAAGTTGTATTGAAATGTAATCGATTTATTATGACTTTTTGAAGCCTAAAAACCAGTAAATGCAAAACGTAATTGAATCTTCACTGCCTTAGGTTGTTTAGAAGCGAAGCCCCTCCGTTTATAAGCGTTCCTAAAACCCCTTACGAAGATGTAAAAGCCCAGGGCTTTTAACCCTTTAAGCCCTAAAAGTGATCAGCATCAAATTTCTCCTCGTACTATTAATGCTTTGTAAAACAGAGTGGTCATGAGAATTACGGACATGATCAGTCAAGATGAATTTGCTTGATATTTTTTCAACTTCTCCCCACTACCTCTGTAGGAAATGAATAGAAGCAACAAATGAGAATTCAAATTTTGATCTTAGGGTTTAAAGGGTTAAGCGGCAGTCGACGGATTTTTCGTCCTACCTCTGAGTGTGAAATCATGCCATCTCCGTTGACATCAATTTCTTTAAACATGTTGGGTTTAGCCATGTCCTCACTCGGATCGCCTATTCTAAGCAGCTCCACATAGAACACAAGAAGTGCTCTAGGGGGAATTTTATCTCCCACGGGGAATTCCCCATATCCGTACTGATGCGGAACAACGAGTTCACGGAGCTCACCGACGCACATGTCGCGCAGACCCAGGTCCCAACCGGCGATTACTTGTCCTTCACCAAGAACAAACTCGAATTCACTGAAAAAAAAAAAAGGATTTAGGAAACGTAATCATGGTAGATATGGCAGTTTAGAACGCTTTAATCACATTAGACTGCGAGCAGTCCCTCAGGGTGGTCGTGCGAGCGAGGAAATCGAGCGATGCGAACGAAAAAAAAAAAAAAAAACAAGGTCAGCCGAGGGGAAACTGGGGTGGGGCCTCTCTCTGTCTCTCCAGTTCTCCTCTTGGCAATTTCGCTCTCTCCAGTCTTATCTCCAGTCTAGTCTTGCCAACACCGCGGCAAAACGTTTACGCATGCGCCAGCTTGAGCATTTCCGGTCTCTTTTTCAGTCACACGTTCCAGTCAAAGTCTCCCGCGCGCTCTCAGCTTCATTCTGTGTGCAGCTTGTGGTTCAGTTGTTCTGCTTCATGCTGCCCGTGTTTTTGACTATTTTGTATTTATTGAAATTGCTTTTATGGATAACCAGGCACAGATCACTGAAACAATTAGTCGATTAGATTCAGAAAAGGTAAGATGATAATAACTCAGTGTGTAATTTTGGCTAGAGCGTCAGGTAAACTGATTTTCATTCACGAAAATAAATTTTTTGACTGTTTAATATTTTTCACTTAACCTGGCTGAAACTAAGACATAAAATTAAAACGTTATCATTGCAAGCTTGTGTATTGTAGTTCTAATTTTCAGTTCTTCAGTTTCTCAGTCTACATGCGTTAAAGCCGATTCAAACTTTATTTGTTTACCAGTGGGTTTTACCGTGTTTTAAAACGAAACTCTTCTGGGTTGATTGCCATGAAACATAAGCCTAATTATACTGTTGAGCCGGTTGGCAGCAAGTTGACAACTCTATTTATTTATTTTTCCATTCTCAGAATCAGAGAGCGAAAGCTGGTTCAGTGGCTTTTAGAGGTCGAACTTTTCATGCCATGTATTTAGCAGCTAGAAGTTTCGTGTTTGCATGAGATGCATCCGAGCCGCACAGTCTGAAATTATTGAAGTCTTCAACAAAAGAACAACCATGTAAAAGAATTAAATAGGCATTTTCTTGAATGAAAGTCATTTATAGGCATGTTTAGTTTCCCGGTGACTGCAGTCATCAAAGTCAAAGTTGTTATTAAATCCCGCCCATCTTTTGTTTTGAGTTCTTGTTTTCTCTGATAATAAAACAAATTATTGAACGGACTTAAATTTTTTTTCCTGGTTTTAGTGTTTTTTATGATAATGATGACGTCTTTATTTTGGTTTCTTTCATAAGTATTGTTATTCTTTTCTTAGTTGTCGCCTTCTCCCAAATTGACTTATGCCAAACCAGTAGCATGCAAGAAAGCCAGTAAAAACAAATTCGTCTTGTCGAGCGCTCGCGACCTGCAAACTTCAAACATGATTTTCACCGTTGGTGCAAACAGATAACCATGTGGTGCAAAAGTTTGAGAATAGAAAAATATATAAGCTTTCGAATGAAGTGATTTTTTTGGCCCCCTTTTTTGTCTGTTTCGCCCTTTTTGCTTTTAAACTTGGCGCGACGGCAAAGTTCTGCTTACGCTATTGGTTTATATACTGGACCGGAAATAAAAAGCTAACCGGATATTAAATTTTGTGCTCATGCGCATTGCGTTTTGCCGCGGTGTTAGTCTTGCCGAGCCTTGACTCGACTGACTGAAAGGGGACTGCTCGCAGTCAAAAGTAGCGAGCTGAAGCAAAGAAAGCGCTGACGTCCTGGACGTCATGAATAGCAACCGGAAGTTCGATGTCTCGCTTATAAATGGAAAGCTTCTGTCCCACGCAGTGAATTTTAATGCCTTTGTTTTAACTCCCGCTGTACGAATTTGTCGAATTAGAGCAGTGAAAGAGAGACAATATCAACTTCCGGTTGCCATTTTGATGTCCGTGACGTCAACGTTCACGTTGCTTAAGGTCCCTAATGACATTGACGAGGTAAGTCGCGAGAACTAAATAATTAGAGGAGTTAGGAAAGTTGTTATAGTCAAAAACGGATAAATGTTCAACCATCACCTCCCCTTCATCCAAACCCAGACGGTACCACAATGTTCTAATCGAGAAAGACCTTAAAGAAAACGATGCAGTCGTTTCGGGAATATAGCCGAAAAAAGTTGTCTTTGCAAATAACCTGTTCTATAACAGCCGTGATTTCAAAAACAAGAGCTGAGGCATGCGCGCAACTGGATCTTCATTATCATGGACTCTTCCCTTAGTTATCTGAGGTTTTACACTTTGTTAGCCTTGTTCAGCAATATTGCGTATTTTCTCCATTATCATACCAAAACGGAAACATTTAGTGTCAAAGTGCATGGTTTTCGATGCGAATTGCAGTCATTTAAAGTAGCGAAGGAAACTCAACCATTCGATGGATACTTTCTGCAAAGAATACTATCAAATGGTACGTTGTCACGACTATGATCAAAGGTGTCTCAAGACAAGTTAAGCCAACAAGAATATAGTCGGATTTCTCGACGAACAACATCTCTAAAAGTGTCAGTCTTGGGTTCAAGTTATTCCCTTTACTTTATAATTATGGATTTATTTTTCAAGTTTTCTCAATTGCACCAAGAGAGAATCAACAGGAATAGTTTTCGATTTTCAGACTTACAGGACTTCTCTTACTGATTCGGGATATACAATGGTATACCTCGAATCTCGGAACAGTACAGTACTTAACTGACCCTCAAGACAGTGTACAGTTGTTTTTAACGCATTATTCGATGTGGTGTATTAAAATGTTTTAAATGCATGCGCAATTTAATACTAACTTGCTGCACAACGCTTTTGTAGAACACAGTGTATCAATTGCTTAGTTTGCAAATTTTTGAATTGCAGGAACAAATGTAAATTTTAAGGTTGAATGGACTGTAAAAAGGAAAGCAAGCTTATTTCATGAATAACTGCAAATAAAATTTTAAAAAGAAAATTGCATGGCTCATGAAGGTAAATAAAACTCTAAGCTAAACTTATTTTCCTAATTTGCTCAGAAGCATGACGAAATATTCTAACTTTTAATAACTCACCTCGTTGGTAGAACTGGCGTTTGATCAATAAGAGTATTATTGAACCTCACTGTTAACAGGTCTCCATCTTTCGTTTCCCTCGGACAATTCTCTGGTTTGATCATAATTCCCACGGATAAATGATCTCTGTCTTGTTCTCCGGCTTGAACAAAAGCGCAAACAAGGAAAAATGCAAAACCGCGGAGGAAAAAGGAGGACATTTTCGGTAGGATCCTGTGTATTGAAAAAAACTTTTAGCGAGCGACACTTTGTACGCTGGCGATACGTAAGCTAAATGAGATGAAGCTTTACTGGTAGTCTATAATGAATGAATTTGAATATCTTCCACGTAGAGCGATGCCCAGCTAAAAAGGGCAAACGTGGACATGAAATTAAAATTCAGCGGCAGTGTTGGCAAACTTAAACATTCATAACGCGAGGAAAAGCGTTTCCTGGAGACAAAGGACTTCACTGTTTTATGCAAAGTTAGCTTTCTTTTCGCAAAATCATTTGAAAGCTCACTAAATTATGATTAAGCGGAAAATAGATTTTTTTGTCCAATAAAAATAATTTAAGATAAAAAGGGATTTTTACAGTTGAGGATTTTGGCTGAAAACGTACCCTTCGTTTTGGAAAGGATGAATAGGCCCGTTTTTACATGGCCAAAATTATACAGTAAACTAATTATAATGCAGTCACAAAATCTTTTTTTAATTTAAGGTGAAGTTTGGAAAAGAAAAAGCTAGTACCACCACTCTGTAATGCTCATTTTAATATAAATAGCTCTTTTCCAACTGATTTATTTTCCGCCATAATTACAACTAAGTCAGCAAAAGAAGGGAAGCGGCTTAAAAAATTTATACTGTCAGGTGCGGCTAAAATATGAAATGGAGGAATCGAAAGGAAAGTGTTACTTTAGTGACCAAGTGAAATCATCAAGATCATTTAAAACTTTCATTTTCTTTCTGTTACCAGTCGGCCCTTCATGTGAGCAAAACTTCAAAATGGAATAAAAAGAATTGGAGTTCTCGGCTGATAAAGAGACTTAAGATTAAGTCATTGCAAATGAATTTTCTGCAGCATTTCGAATTCCTTCGTTTCAAGCAAGTTTCTTGTATTATAAACGGGTAACTCGGAACAGGACGGATAAACGAAAAATACCAAACACAAAGTGAGCAAGAGAAAATTCTTCAGAAGAATGAGAAGAACGCAAATTAAGCGGAAAGTTCTTTATGCAACCGGGCCATTTTCTTAAAAGTCCCAGTTACTTTTCGGGCCCTGAGCTAAATATTCAAATCAAAATCTGATCACAGTTGTTCAAACGTGGGGTATCGCTATCCACCGGATAAATCACTATTCCGGTTGATAGCGCTATCTACCTTTTAAACTACTGGCGCGAGCTCCTAAAGAATAAAAGCGCGGGCCCTAGCTAGTCAACAGTCCAGTCCATTTGGTTCTGTTGATTGATAGTTTTATAATGTTATTGTCTATTTTGAAAGTAAACAACAGCAGCTTTATGGGCCAACCTCGTTCCCAGGGTTCTATCCTACCCGTCCCGACGGAGCGAGAGAGCACGGGTAGGAGAGAACCTGGGAACAGCCCGTTTATTATCGGGACTTTCGAGAAACTGGCCCCTGGACTTCAGTTAGGCACCGGGGGAAAACTGGTTCTTTCAAAATATCCTCATATAAATGTCCGTCTTAACTTTTCACGTCTATCGCGCATTTTTTGCGAGTTAACTCAAGTTATAATAACTTCACTTTAACCATTGGCCTTTTTTCTTTTCTGAACGAGAATTTCATCTCCAGGGACCTTGGAGGGATTCCTTCCACAATTCAAGAACGTGTTCTATAAAACGCTGCAAGACTGTGTGAGCTTTAAGGGCCTGTTTACATGGAGTGGGGGACCCCGGTCTAGTGGGGTTGGTTTCTTTTGTTTTCACGCTCTGGGGGACACATAACAAAAGAAACCTACCCCACTAGACCGGGGTCCCCCACTCCATGTAAACAGGGTCTAAAGCACTTTTGTATTCCATATGAGTGACTTGCAAGTGTAGCCATTGTTTTAGAGCTTGAAAACAACAGCTAAACTCGTAAATTACACTTACTAATCGATTGTAATAAAGCGCAAACTGCGGTTACAAAATTAATATAGGAATGTATTCACACATTTTTTTTCAAAGTGCTGATACGGTCAGAGAACAACAGATCCATTCAATTGACCCAAGGGATCCGTTTCTCAAACGTACCTGTAACTTTTGGGGCTCGAAGTGATATATGTAAGTCAAAATCTAACGAATTAAAGCACGGGACCTAGCTATTACAATAGTCCATTTTGTTTTGTAAACTTATAGCTTTATCATATTATCTACAAAACTATTGTAATCTCGATCATAAATGTAAAAAAGCGTTCCAAGCCTGCTAATTACCGGAAATTTGGAGAGACAGGACCCTGGCCACCAAAGGTTACCCTCCCTTTTTTCTCTCCCCCCTGACCCTTTCAATGTTTGCCACGTGGGGTACTGTTGACATAGCTTTTACATTTTAGGACTATCATCAAAAAACAGTTCAAAGCATGGCTGCTGGTTTCTGAATAAAACATTAACCATCACAGTGACATTCACAGCTCATCATGCCTTGCTTGTTTTGGCCAAAATTCCAGCAGTTGGCTCACAGCATCCCAGTTTATGACCTTCCAAAATCCCTGCACATACTGTGTTCTGCGATTTTGGTGTTTCAGATAATAGGCATGTTCCCAGACATCAATCACCAGGATGGGGTACCGCCCTTCCATCATAAAAGGGCTGTCTTGATTTGATGTGCCAAGGATTTTAAGGCCCTGATGTTCTCTGTCAAAGCATAGCCATGTGTAACCTGACCCAAAAATGTTAAGAGCATTATTCTCAAAAGATTGCTGAAAGTTAGAGAAACTGCCAAAAGTCTCATCAATCAGCTGGGCCAATCTGCCAGAGGGTTTTCTATCTTCATTATTTGGGTTTGGAGACATGATTGACCAATATAAAGCATGATTAACATACCTTAAAAGAAACAAATAATAAACAGTTAACTCTCTAATAATAGACACCTCTGTAAGACAGACACCTCAGAAAAAATGACATTATTAATTTGTAAGTAGCTGCATGGTTAAGCTATCCTCCTAACCCATGCCCCTCCATACCCCAAACAAACCTACTGTCACCAGCATTGTTAACTTGCCACTGGAATCTGCTATACAGGAGAAGAAAAGCACTAAGCAACTTCAACTGTTTTGTCGCTGAAGCTCATAAATACACAAATAAGCACAAACTAACACAGAAACATGTAAGATTGTTACTGTTAAAAATTGCACTATATTTGAGTGCCAATGTATTAATTTTTTAGTACTTAGGTATTGAGGGTGTTACGTATATGGTTGTTTTGACCATATTTAGCTGTTTGTAAGTTTATGTAACTAGGATGCATCTTACATGAAGTAGGCATTAAAAGCATGGCATCTTGCAAGGTTGTCGCGCTGTATTAAACCGAACATGGTGTCAGAAGTTTATGGTTATTTTACCGCGAGCTAGATACGCTCAACAAGAGAAGTCCAGTCTACAGACAGTGAAAGCGGTTCCGGGCATAGCGGACCAATTTTCAAGCGAATTCAAGCGACTGAGAGCATCTCAAGCCGTTTAGTTCACTGGACCACGTGCGAGCATAGAGCAATGCCAACTTCTCCAGAAGCGGCGCCGCCGCCGCCAGTTCAAATAATCAGTGTTCCTTCAAATTTTCCAGTACCAAGCGCTATGGTTTGCCAAGGCGATCTCACCAGTAACTGGGAATTTTTTAAGCAACAATGGCAGGATTACGAAGTGGCAACAGGATTGGATCAAAAGAGTCAAGCGATTCGTGTGGCGACCTTTCGTTCAGTCATGGGAAAAGACTGTCTCCAGATCTTTCTTAATCTTAACTTTGGCGATGAAGAAATCACGATCACGTCATCGTTGTCTGCGCTAGAAGATTATTTTCTTCCTAAACGAAACGTAGTGTACGAAAGGTATGTTTTCAATTCCTGTATTCAAACACCTGAGGAAACTGTTGACGGCTATGTTAATAGGTTGAGGAAACTAGCATCCTCTTGTCAGTTTGGAACACTCACCGAAGAGATGATTCGTGATAGGCTCGTCATTGGCATACAAGATACCGGCACAAAAGCTAGATTGCTCCGTGAGAAAGATTTATCCTTGGATAAGGCTCTCGACATGTGCAAATCGAGTGAGATTACAAACAAGCAGATCAAGTCGCTTCAGCACGAAAGCAAGCAGTCGAATGAAGAGCTTCATCTAGTCCAAGACAAAAGTAAAACTAAGACCAAGAAACCAAGACCTTCAAATTCAAACAAGACCACTAAAGGTTCAAAGAAAACGTGAAAATGCAAGTTTTGTGGTCAGGCCAAATGGCATTCAAAGCCCACCGATTGCCCAGCTTATGGCCAGCAATGTAGAATTTGTAAGAAGATGAATCACTTCAGCAAAGTGTGTTTGTCAAGAAAAGATAGCCGTGGAACCGTCCATTTTGCAGAAGAAGCTAACGTCGATGATTATGATTCAGAGGAATCCATACTGAAGATAGAAGAAATTTCTGCAATTAAAGGGCATGGAAAGCAAATGACATCCAGCATTACGTTTTTGGTAGATGATGATGAGAAAGTACCGTTAGTTTGTCAGTTAGACACTGGTTCCACTTGCAATGTGATCAGCTACACAGATTTAGTCCAGCTGCTGCAAGATGGCAATCCTCCTCTAAACGTGACCAAATCTAAGCTCAAATTATTTGATGGTCCACTCACTGGAGAGCAAAATCCTCACCAGAGAGCAAATTATGGCCAACTACAGGGATGTTTTTGAAGGATTAGGACATATTGGGAACACAACCATCGTCACTGATCCTCTGGTAAAGCCCACACAGCACTCTCCACGCCGAGTCCCAATAGCCCTCAGAGATAAAGTTAAAGGAAAACTGGAGGACTTAGAAAGCAAAGGAATTGTGGAAAAGGTCACAATACCAACAGAATGGATTAGCAGCATGGTAGTGGTCACCACGCCAAGCAAGATAAGAATTTGTCTTGATCCCCAAGATCTGAATAAAGCAGTCATTCGCCCCAAGTACCAAATGCCAACTCTAGACGAATTACTACCCAAGCTCAGTAAAGCAAAGGTGTTCACCACTTTGGATGCTAAAGATGGATTTTATCAAGTTGGATTAGATGAGCAGAGCAGTCTGAAGACCACATTCTGGACACCCTTTGGCCGCTACAAGTACCTAAGGTTACCTTTTGGAATTAATCTAGCTCCAGAAGAGTTTGAACGTAAACTCCATGAGAAGCTGGAAGGTCTTCCTGGGGTAGCAGTGATAAGGGATGATATATTGGTGATGGGCTATGGAGAAAATGAAGTTGAAGCCAATAGAAATCATGATGAGAACTTGACCCGCTTACTTGAGCAGGCTCGCAAAGCCAACCTACGCTTAAACAGCAGCAAGTTAAATCTTCGTAAGACTGAAGTCAAATTCATGGGTCATCTAATTACAAAAGATGGTCTCAAGCCCGATCCGGAAAAAATCAAGGCTGTTCAGCAAATGCCAAGACCCACATCTAAGAAGGAGCTGCTGGGGCTGCTGGGATTTGTAAATTATTTATCTAAGTTTCTTCCAAAGCTGTCAGAAGTTGTGCAGCCACTGAGAGAAATGACCGCAAAGGAAGCAAAGTTCATCTGGTCACAGCAGCATGAGACAGCATTCAAGGAAGTACGTGAGCTAGTAGTCAAGCATCCTGTGCTTAAGTATTATGATGTACAAGAACCAGTGGTGGTGCAGTGTGATGCCAGCGAACATGGGTTAGGAGCAGCCCTTCTGCAAAACGGCCAACCCGTTGCTTTTGCTTCACGATCTTTATCACAAACTGAGAGACAGTACGCCCAAATTGAGAAAGAGTGTTTGGCTATTGTCTTCTCCTGCGAAAGATTTAGTCAGTACCTTGCTGGTCGTGAGAAAATCACAGTTGAAACAGACCACAAGCCGTTGCAGAGCATCTTCCGAAAGTCCATTCTTTCTGCTCCTTGTCGCCTGCAACGTATGCTACTAAGGTTGCAGCGCTTCAATCTTGATGTTAACTATAAGCCCGGCACTCAGATGTTCATTGCCGATCACCTCTCCAGAGCCTCACTGAAAGCTACAGACAACACACAAGACAGTTTTCAAGTATTTGGTCTTGAGCTCGAGTCACTCAATCCTTTTGACTCTATCAAAGTAACCCCTGAGAGATTAACACAGTTGCAGAAAGCCACAGCCCAAGACCTGGCTCTAGAAACCCTTAAGACAACAGTAGTTACCGGCTGGCCTGAGAAGAAAGAACAAGTGCCAATACAAGTGAGAGATTTTTGGAATTACAGAGAAGAGATTTCACTCCACAATGGGATTTTGTTCAAGAACCAAAGAGTGATAGTCCCTAAAGCCATGAGACCGCAGATACTTTCAAGGATCCATTCAAGTCAACAAGGTGTTGCTTCATGCTTACAAAAGGCTAGAGATATTGTGTTCTGGCCAGGAATGAGTGCTGAAATCAAAGACCAGGTTGAGAAGTGCTCAGTATGTGCCGAATTTCAAGCTAAGAATGCAAGTCAGCCAATGCAGTCACACCAAATTCCAGACCGTCCTTGGAGTAAGATAGCTACAGATTTGTTCACATTACACTCCAAGAACTACATCACGGTTGTGGACTATTTTTCTGACTTCATTGAAGTTAGTGAGCTGCAGGACACTACTTCCACTTCAGTCATACAGGCCCTGAAAGAGCAGTTTAGTAGACACGGTATCCCGGATACAGTCGTTTCAGACAATGGATCTCAGTTCAGCAGCCAAGAGTTTCATGAGTTCGCCCTCTCCTGGGAATTCAATCATGTCACATCTTCACCTCACCATCCGAAGAGTAATGGCAAAGCAGAATCGTCTGTAAAGATTGTTAAGCAGCTTTTCAAGAAAGCAGGCGTGACAGACAAGACCCTGGCTAGCTTTACTCGACTATCGTAACACCCCCACAGAAGGTGTAGGGGCAAGCCCGCCCAGAGGCTTATGTCAAGGCGAACCCGTACCTTGTTGCCGACCGCTGCAAGTCTGCTGCGCCCTACTGTAAATCACAGTTCTGTTGATAGTCTTCAGCTGAAAAGACAAAAGGCCAAATTCTACCATGACAAACATGTCAGACTGTTGCCAGAGCTGGAAATTGGGCAGGAAGTGAGAGTCGCACCCCTTCGTAAGAATCGAACATGGGAGCAAGGAATCTGCACTGAGAAGCTGTCAGACAGGTCATACGTAGTTCAAACGGGTGGGACGTCATTAAGAAGAAACAGGCAGTTCCTAAAGCCTGCAAGGGAACCGTCAGTACAAGCCAATAGAGACGCCAACCCTGACAATGTTACACACAGAGATCCGGTACACCAAGTTAAGCCTACCAGCAGTCCTTCCAAAACCTCCTCAAGTGGCGACATTCCTGAAGAGACAAAGGCTTCAGTACCTGGTATCAAGACAAGGACGCGCAGCATTCGTCCACCAGGGAGATTCAAGGATTTTGACATGAAATGTTGAACTGTTTGAGACTTTGAAATGTGGAACTGTTGGAGACTTTAAAATGTTGAACTGTTTGAGACTTTGAAATGTGAAACTGTTTGAGACTTTAAAATGTTGAACTGTTTGAGACTTTGAAATGTAGAACTGTTTGAGTCTTTATAATGTGGAACTGTTTGAGACTTTAAACATTTTAGTTTTTTCTTGGGTCTAGGTTCGGTCAGTCTGATCAGATTTCGCTTAAGAGAGGACAGTGTTCTATTGTGTTAGTTACACTTTTGATTGCTTATTTTTTTTGTTAAGAAAAGGGAGATGTTACGTATATGGTTGTTTTGACCATATTTAGCTGTTTGTAAGTTTATGTAACTAGGATGCATCTTACATGAAGTAGGCATTAAAAGCATGGCATCTTGCAAGGTTGTCGCGCTGTATTAAACCGAACAGAGGGCACTGCAAGTGTATATTTACTGTAAATGACCTAATAAATGTCTGGGGTGTCTTTTTAATTTTACAGGTCCAAACAGGGGTGTTTAATAGATAGGAGGCATTAAAAGACACAGACATTGATTCTGATAACTGTAACGAGCTCAACAAACTAATATGCTTTTGGCAGAAATATCAAGAGAGTTTTAAAAAAAAAGGAATATCCACTCCATCAATTGAGACGTCTAGACCGTCTAGAGATCAACATCACTCTTTCAAATCCCAACGTCCATGTCAGAATCCTAGCTCAGGGTTATTGTGTTGCCATTGTTTGTCTATTCTTACTTTGAACTTCACGTTGAATAAGATGAAATATGCAAAGCCTTGTTAATCAAGCAAGAAACTGTTATTTCTTAGTATTTTGGAGTAATTGTCATAGGGGGAGCCTATAAGACAGGGGGCATTTATTAGAGAGAGGCATCTAATCAGGGTTGTCACTAAGATTTCAAGTTGCTGGGTAAACACAACAAGTAGGCGGGGAATCAAACGGCTACGGATTTCTTTTGGTTCTATTTTTCTTCTATTTTCCAATCAAAGTAGCCGGGGGCCACTCTCTTAGTAGCCGGGGAAAATCCCCGGCCCCCGGCTCTTAATGACAACCCTGTCTAATACAATAACAGCATAGAGGGGGTGTTTGTTAGATAAGAAGTGTTTATTTAGAACTGGGCGTCTATTAGGTCATTTGCAGTAAGTCCCCTACTAAAGACAAGACCTGCACCACTTTGTATGGTCATTTTGAGCCACATGAGGGTCTAGCCATTTGCAGGGCAAAGACAGTAACTTTGTTCCTCAGTTATTATAAAACCCCAAGTGTTAGTCCGGCCCTGGGAACTGAGCCCATGACTTCCCGCTCTCCAGTCAAGCACTCCTGGCTCCACCGACTGAGCTAATCCTGCTGCTACAAAAGTTATGCAAAGGCTAACAAATTTTTCAGCAGTTAGTCATACTTACTTAACTCCAAACATTCAGTGACAATGTATGAGCAACACGAATCATGCACTTTTACTGATACATTACTAGGTTTCCTAATGTACATGTACAAGATCAAAGATCATGGATCAAGAATTGCGGCTTGATTGATCCCAGTTTACCAGGAAACTTACATTACTACAAGACTACACAAAAAAAAGCCTGTGAGCATGCTTTTCATTTGAGAAAATGTGAGTGGTGAATCATAAGCAAAACAAGGTGCAATGGCCATGCAAGGGAGATGGAGAAAAAGCTTGCCTGCAGGACTGAAGAATGGACAGCTCATTTTTATTATTCTGGAAGTTTCCGCTGTTCCTGGTTAGAAGTAGGTTAAAACCTACTTTTAACATCCAAACATATTTAACAAAGACTATCAATGACTTACCCTCCACCATTGTTTTTTATTTTTTCCCTCCAGTCATATGGTATAAAGCTGGCAAAATGTAACATTCCTATGATGGACTTTGAAACTACTGATGACCGAGTGCCCTGAAAATTTATTTGTAACAATTAATTGCACTAGACTCGGCACTATTAAAATAAAATGTTATCAGAAATGTTAAAAATGTATCACAAAAATAAGTTTCCATGGTAGCATCTTTGTAGACAGATGTTTTAAGGTGTTTTTAGGGGTTTAAGAATGTGACATGATTAAAATAAAAAAAAATGTCTGGGAAGGAAGGCTTCCATTTGAGTTCTAAAATGGAAATTGTAATAGAGGGTTTGCTTATTCTTGATTGGTCATTTTGCATCAAATAATGCTTCAAGGCATTGTCTTTTTTGTTATCATACAAATATTACATGAACCTTTCTTTGGGTCAATTTAATCTTTTGTACCCCTTAAAGGAATTATACCCCTTGGGAAAAAAAAGAGAAAAGTGCTGTCACTTTTTCCCCTTCAGAGACAGGAGATCATTATTGTTGATTGATCAAAGGTACCAATACCCCTCCCTTTCCCCTGGAATTTCCAGTGCCTTAAAAATAAAGTTCCCCTACCTTTCCCTTATCTTATCTCTCCAGACAGTATGCAGCCCTTTAAAAACCTCTAATCTTTACTGGATGTTTGATAGCGTGAAGCTCTTAATAACTTTTGGTTAGGATGTACATGTATTGTTACTGATGTATTTTTATTGTTTTCTCCTAAGAAGCTAATCCTGGAGCTGTGCACTGCCCTGACGTCAGTACATAGGAGACTTAAACTTGAAACGTGTTTTTGCACAATTATACAGATCAGTTATTGATCAACAGGAAGTTGACTTTTTGCGTGCTTGGGCAGTGGTTTACGCAACCTTTTTCAGGTACATTATTGTCTCTATAAGAGGTAGACGACTCAGCAATAGAAGGCATATTTTTGGGAAAAGGACTCATTTCCAGTCGAGCTGCATCACTCAAAATCGCCTTTGTTTAAGCTCTGTAATAACAGGGTACAGGTGGGTGGGGGGGGGGGGAGGGGTAGGGGTGGACTAAATGCACTGCAGATTGGCCCAATTAAAGATGCTATCTCCAGAAAGAAAAAAATATTTTCATCTGCATCATAAACGTTCAAACAAGACCTATCGACAAAACACATAACGCGACAACACGTTATTCTCTTTCACATACCGATTCACGAAAGCTTTTCAAGGCCGCATTCAGTTTCTTTGTGTAGGCCGCATGATGACCCAAATGGTGAACACGCATTGTCTCTTCGTCAATGAACGGTTCAAGAGAATCATAACTGTAAGGTAAATCCGGCAAGGTGTACTCCTCTTTATACTGCACAATATCGGCGTAGGGAGTGACACAATCTATGCCAGAAAAGCGGAAAAGAAGTAAAATGACAGAGATAATCTCCGACCGTCTGGAAGCCATTTTGGAGAGTAGCTCCGATGAAACCTGGGTTCGAACAGCACAGTCAACCCAATCATCACATCACCGCTGCGCTTTGCTCACTTCAGCCGACTTCGGCAGTTGTTTAATTGCACCTGTTTGATTAAGTCAAAATATTGACCTTTTGAAACCGGAGCAGGTGAAATGCTGAGAAGAAGTTTACTGAATTGTGCATTTTGCTTTTATTTGATATTCAAGAGCCCGTCTGTTTGTTTGGATGGGCACCAGAAACCATTCGGCGCTCATCGAGAACCCGATGTTGTCACAGAGGAGCTTCAAACTGTACCGCATCCGATAGAGTTTTGGGAAAAATACGTCTCGAAAAACAGACCTGTTGTGTTAAGAGGGGCAGCAAAATATTCCAGGTATAATTGTATAAAAGTTTATTTGTTTTCCCGTAACGTTTGCAATCGAGTCTCAGTTCTATAAGGTTGCAAATAAGTGTGCCTTTGTGCATTGGTAACTTGGGCTTATGAATTTTTTAACTTCTATTTAATAAGATTGCATTTATTATTAAATAGCTCGAGTATGGTTAGCATTATTTCAATAAGTACTTAAATTAGTTAGAACTATTTTATTTCGATTTCTGCACTATGAAGTTGTATGTTTATAGAAAAAGAATAAGCTTATAAAGATTTATAAAACAAGTTGCTTTTTTTTTCATTTATCATTTTTTTTTTCTTGTTTGGAAAAAACAAAGGATTTTCCCTAAGGCAAGTTTTAACAGCTGTAAGTATAATTACTATTCATGCAGATATTTGATTGTGAAAATGGTGTTGGTTGTAAGACAGCTGTTTTGTTTTCAAAGGGGTTTTTTAAACTTTATACGTTAAGGCAATTGTTTTCATTACTTGATGAGGCCCTGTACGGAACATGCAGATCTGCAGACTGGTCTTTTTTTCGTCTGCTCAACCGTCTTCAGCAGGCCTGCAGATCACTTGCCTGAAATGTCTGCAGTTAGTATGCAGTTGGTCTGTATTAAGTGTGCAGTTCGATTTTATTTAGTCACGGAAAGGTGAACACAAAAAGTGGATCGGTTCTAAAAGTATCCCTTCACTGTCAGTGAGCTGCAAGTGAAAAGGTGAATGACAGACCTTTAGGTCTGCAGATTGACTGCAGCAAAGTGAATGGAGTATTAGATGTCAGCTAAAAATATACGAAGAAAACAACACGCTGCAAGCCAAAAGGTGACCTAAAGGTGACCTTTATTTAAGAATGGAAAGAGGCATCGAGAGAGTAAATGAAAATTATCTCTTTTAAAAATAAAGAGAATAACAGCGATTGCTCTTATACATAAAGTTTACACGGACAGCAGGCAAATGATATTTTGATTCGTTGCAACGGGCTAAGCTGGACATTGCTCACCTTGACGTTTTGTCCATGATCCACGATCTTCTACACTTTTTTCATGAAAGAAATCAACCCAATTTTACTTTGGTCGTCGTTAAATTTTACAAAGGACTAAGGACCGAACATTACCACGAGCGTATAAGAATCTTGTAAGTGCGAATTACCCCATCTGAGATTCTTGTATCTGTGTTGCTTGCTCTGGTTCGATTCGTCGATACTTAGCGTAGAAGTCACTGTTCACTGCGTTGTTTGCAAATACGTTTGAGCTGTTCCATCCAAAAACTTCAACAGAACTTCCATCTCGAAACAGAACTAGATGCAAAAACACGTAGAATGTTTGCGCCTTTCATTCAACGGTCGCAAATGTTTGGGATCCCGTGTTTGTCTAGAGATGTAATGGGATCTCTTGTAAAAGGACCGACCAATTAGATCATGGCCTAGAATGTCTCCAGGGAATTAGCGATAACATTCCCACACTTGCCGGTCACGGAATAAAATTTATTGAAAGCATAGAATTTGAAGGTTTATTCAATAAGTGATCTTCCTTGAGCACAAGCTTACTCACATTTCTTAGAGGTAAAGTCAACGTTTTCGCGTTGTAAAAGCCGTAATCTGTGCCAAGGCTTTATCTGGCGATTCATGTTATTGGCGCTCAAGAAAGTCAGATCGACCGCAGCTGAATTGTACGTAGCGACGTTACTGCAGCTACTTCGCAGCGTTTGAAAGTCGGCAACTGCGCTGCAAAACTGCTGCCGAGAGCTTCAAAGAACCTTCAAAGGCTGCACAGCGCTTTTGCAGCCCGCTGCAACTTGAATGAAGCTGCTGTTTGGCTTCTAAAAGGCTGCTGAACAGCTGTAATTTAGCTGTAAAGCTATTTTGAAGCGATTTTGTGGCGCTGTACAGCGCCGCAAGTTTCGTGCGGGTGGTTGTCTGCACAGCGTCTGCTGCAGATCAAGTGCAGACATAATAATAGATCCTTATTGCATAATCACCAAAAGTTCACGAAAGGTCTGCAACAGACTTGCTGCAAACAAGATAAAAGGCAACACACAGTCAAAGAAGAAGTCATTTTCATGAGATGTCTGTCACAGACAGTATGCAGACTTGCAGACTTCAGTTTTGCGTCAAATTGGTCTGCTGTATGACTGAACAGACCTGTGACAGACCTGAGAAAGGCCTTCGGCAGATCTGCAAGTTACGTACGGGGCTCTTCTGTAAATATATGGCATGCATATTTTCATGGCTATGGCAATGATATAGTAAGAAATTAACCTCCTATTATTGAATACATTTATTGAAAATAGGCCACTTTAAAAATGAATATTCGTGTTACCTGATATTAACTTTTAAAGGGCTGATTGTGATACATGTATTATTTTTTTAGGGGTGTCTGAAAAAAATTACTAGTGACTTCCAATCAACTGCAAAGAATGAATTTTATTGTGGGAGTCAATAATTTATTAATACCCCTTCAATTGTTTCAACCCTGTTTAAAAAGATTGTATAGGCTAAAGGGAAGATAATAAATATTTTTTTAAGCAGACTTTGTCTCTCTTTTCTTGAAATTTCTAACAACACTATACTGGAAGGGGTCTAGTGTGAACTGAATTTTTCATTTATATGTTGAATATTGTCCCAGGGCATACGAATTATGGACAGAAGAATTTCTTATTTCTGAATATGGAAATCTGACTGTGCGGCTTGAATCACGAGCTGAAAGTAATGACAGAATACCATCTGGAGAAACAGGAATTCTAGGTCGTGACACCATCAGACATTTTATACAAAACTACCAGACAAGAGATGCTTATGTAATCTCACAGGTTCCTCAGCCCATGGAAAGAGACATAGGGATTCCACCATGTTTAAGGTAACTTTCACCAAGTTACTGTGTTCCAACCATGCAAAATGTCTTCATAATTAATCCAGTAGTCATGGGGTTCCAAATGTAAAATTTGTTTGAGTTTATGGTTCTCCTAGTCGACCGTGCATGTGATGGTAACATTTTTGAGTTCCTCTGCAAATGACCAAGCTGGTGAAGCAAAACTCAAATGTTTCTTCTTAAGAAGAAAACAATAATTATTGTATAAATTCCCACAAATAATGACTGTTTTGTGGTATATTTATCACATTTACATTTCACCATTGCAACCTTTTCCATCTATCTGTCATTCATAAACAAATAATTATTATAGCTAAATCAATATAATTTTAATTACTATGTTGACCAATCAAAGTTCCTGACCAGATTCTGGACAGATTTTATGTCATGATGAGTATGAAATATCTGTTGTTGAAGTGCAAAAATCTCTCTTGTGAAACATCCCTAGAGGCAAGGAGCAGTCATTTTGGTCTGTAAAAAGGCCCAAATTTGGCTAATGGATGTATTTTAAGGCTGTGAATATAAGAGTCAAGAAAATGTTGTTATTTGATTTTGTGAGTCTTACTTGTATAGTGTATCATTATATACACTTTTGATCTACAGCTGCATGTTTTGAGTGCACTGCAAGCTAGCATGAATGCCATTTTATTAAAAGTGTAAAAGGTGAACTTTCTATTCACCTTGCAGGTGTGGTTCCTTTGGTGAAGCCCTCCAAGAGGTTCACCTTTTTCTTTCAGCTCGTGGAGGCCAAACAAAGCTTCATCAGGATCCATACAGTAATATACATTGTGTATTTAATGGTACCAAAGACTGGCTACTAGTTCATCCAGACCAGACAAATCTTGTTTACATGTCAGATGATTCTGCATTTGAGTGGGGAGGATATTCAGAGATTGATGTTGATTCTGTTGACCTTGAATTGTTTCCATTAATTAAGGAGGTGCATTACTCTAAAGTAACAATGAATAAAGGTGACTGCTTCTTTATGCCTGGAGGTGAGCTTAAACTTTCAATTAAATACAATATTATGGTCGTATCAAGAATGAACAGTTTTTTGTCATACTTAGACACTTGTCTACTTGTTAACTAAAAGTAATTAATGCAAGAATATTAATTCTACCTTAAGCTTTCACTCCGTTTGCTTCAATTACAAGTTTATATTTCATCATATTTTCAGGAGATAACTTGATCCCTTGTATTACTAGAAATTAAGGGTGCAGCAATCAACTGAAATCATACTGTCATGTCAAGAGTATCATCTTCATTTTTTTTATCTTTAAGAGAACCAAAATTCAAAAGTGGATTAATTCTATTCTTTCACAATAATTAAAAAAAAAAAAGGTGCCCAGCATATGATTTCTATGAAACTTTCTAGTCACCCAGAAGCAAACATGAAGCACCAGGGGCTAATAAAATTAAATTTCAGTGGAGATGTGACTGTAATATTTCAGTGGAGAAATGACTGAAGAAAGGTTTCAGGTACTAATGGATATTTATTAAAGGAAACAAAATTTTATTTGTCTTCCTTAATACAGGTTACTGGCATCAAGTTCGCTCTTGGGGGCACATGAATTCTGCTGTTTCAATTTGGTTTTCACAAGTGAAGCATTTTACAGACCATGGCTGTTACCAAGCAAAGATTGAATTCACACCAATGAATCAAGTGATGGTGCTATGGCGCTTTTCTGGGCATGGCAATCTTAGTCAAGGCCACATGGATATCCACATTGTTAAGAGATTTCTGTTGATGCTGGCTGACAGTGAAGGAAAAATATGGTTGAATGATTTTGTAGCAAAGTATCTTAATAGTGAAAGTGATGTTAAAAGAGATGTGATGAGGGAAGATGAAAGGGAAAGACAAAAACAGGTAATTCATCATAACCTTACTGATGAAATTTTTTTTCTCTTTGACCAGGCAGAAGTGGAGAGGGTGTGATGAACCTTGTAACATTATTTAAAAAAAAGCAACATGACGATAATGTTACGAAAATCAGTCAAGACTAAAGGCAGTGTTCTCAACCACAGGAAAATAGCTGTTGCACCCAATTTTTAGTTATCGTTTAAACTGATAAAAATAATTAATATTGCATGCATGACAGGCGCAAAAATGAGGATAATCCAAGTGCTTTTTTTTTATTGCGGGGTATCTGTTGTAGTTAGTTTTTTATCTCAGGAAATTTTTATTTTTCTTTTGTTTCAACTTCATTAGCACACATTACCATATCCACAAACAAAAGAAAAACAAATAAAATTATCTGAGATAACAAATTAGCTACAACATATCCAGTATGCGTGAAATCAATAATTTGCTAACTTGGGATCCCTGGGGATGCAAGGATATGTTAGAGGTCAATTAATATTTTGATATAAAGTTAAAATTTTTTAACCTTAAGGTTGATTCTCATTTTTCTTTGTCCTCTTGGGCTAGGAGACAAAGGAAATTTAGAATCAACCTAGTTTAAATCAAAATGAACCAGGAATCAAATCTGACCTGTAACAGGCTAGATACACAATACTCTTAGCATACCGGCCCTTCTTTCCGATCAGTGCTTTCATACAATCTGTTATAACATTATTGTACCTTTATTAGAAATAGCTTTATGCAATTTGATTCTGGGCATAAATATATATAGTCAGCTTTTTCAGAAAATTCTACTCCACTGGTTATTGGCAACATAGTGTACATGTTCAAGATAGCGACTGACAGTCACTATTGGTTGTGTGAATCATCTCAGTCAGTTTCACTGCATGATGTTGCTTTGCACAAGGCTACCCATTGATGTTAGGAACGCTTGACTGCTTGCAGAATCTGGCTATGATCATGATACACTGTATGTGTAATTATTCTTAATTTTTATCTCGTTGCAGCTAGTTGATTACTTAGATCCTGATGGTAAAGGCTTTGTCACTAAAGAGTATGTGCAGAACCTTTCTGTTGATCAGATGAAGGAAGTCTTGTTGTTTATTGACCCTACTGATGTCTCAAATACTGAAGAACTTGAGTACAGCCACATTGACGCAGGTTACATTGAGTGAGTGGTATTTTGACAAGATTATTAGTTACAGAGTGTAGTAACAATAAAGCCAGTCATAAGGGGAGGTAGCTAGATGGGCAGTCAGTCTGGTAGTAAGTCAGAGTCTGTCATAGTTGTTAATTGATGTACTGTAGCCTGTTTATAGTACACTTGTAATCTTAATTTCCACTGGAAGGAATCATATCCCCTCTCACTTGTGTGTTACACAAAGATTTTTTAGCTAGCCACTTAAAAAAAGAGCTTGCCTTCAAGCTGTAAATGATCAGGCGGTTCGTTGGAGTCAAGCCAGCCTGGTTAGTCATTCTGTTCATCAGCACGAGTGAGTCAATTGTTCTCAGACAGTCAAAGGAAAAGGAAGGAAAAAGGACAAGTTAGTACTACAAGTTGTTAATGAGGCAGTCAGCCAGCCAGTCAGGTAATTCTGATCAATAATTTGTCATTCATTTACAGATAGTCAGTCAATCAAACAAACCAAGTTAACCAGTAAATAAGTTGATTAAAAATACAGTTCCAATTACTTGCAGAGATCTGTTGGCACAGTGCTATAATAAAAGAGGAACCTTTGATAAAGACAAGTTTATGTCAAGTTATGTTCAGGTAAGGGAAGAGAACGCATTTCTTAGATAACAATGTCTTGTATAGAGTGCATCTTTTATCTTATAATAGATGTGGGGATTTTGATGTAAAGTTTTAATTCACCAGTCTTGCCCAACAAGTTAAGCATGCAAACATCACATCTGTAAAATATGTGCACAAATGAAGGCATCTGTTAAGAACACAAAAAACAGCATGAACAAGAACATCCTTAAAACAGAAATTTAATGTCCTTATTACTTAAACCAAAGGTCCTGTCTTAAGTTAGCTTGAGATCATGCCCTCTCCCTATCCCCCTAAAAGAAGTAGGCATTGAAGTCTCTGTTTGTGGGTGTTATACAGTCATGTAATGGAGTGTAAATTTTATATTGTAGTTAGTTACTGTTTTATTTATATCTTGCTACATCTCGTTAGGATCTTGGAGGAACTCATAAAAAGGCCCTTGAGGTTAGTAAATGGTTTTCTCAATGCTTGCAACTTTTATATGGTGATCATCATGCTGAATTTTACTGGACAGTATATGAATGGCGAGGTTAATTTCTAAGAAAACTGTGGTGCTACATCGGTGAGGGATTGAAACACAAAACTTAAATTTAAGCAACTGAGTTGATGAAGTCTAATATTCCACAGCCTGCTCCACAGACAATCAGTACATCTGCCAGCCAGCATCAAAATCCTTATTCTGGGTCCCCATCAGTGTACCAGGATTTGAGGACATGCAATGATTGGCCTGTTAAAAAAAGCCATTGTCCAATTAATTGGCCAATCAGGTTGAAGGGAAATTTGAACACACTTCCGGTAATTCATTGAGTCTGTTGGGGGCCCAGGACAAAGATCTCCACATCGCTTCACAGATTTTTAACCTGGGCTAAAATAAATTACATCTACCAGTGCATGTACCACTGACATTGAGAATCTGATTGAAGGCTACACTGAACATATAAGGCTGTGTTATTACTCTATACCTGATAGCTCTTGCACCAGCGTGAAAACCACATTGGAAAGGGCTCTTTGTTTACATATAAGAACAATGATTTTGGCACAGTGTTTGTGAGTGGATCATCACACATCAGATAGGTTTCTGTGTCCGATCACTCTTTGCGGCAATGTAAACTAGGTATTTGCACTGGTGCAGAAGTGCATGAGAAGGAGTGAGCACTGAAACCCACTGAGACGAACATAAATTAATATTCAGGAGTTGTGAGGATTGGGATTTAATTCATTTATAATAGTAAACCAAACCCTCTCAGCCAGCTGCTTCAGTGTTCTAGTTCTGGTCCCGGTTCCTGATAGGCCGATAAGTAACAATCCAGGATTAAAAATTTTGTTCCATCTTTTGTATTTATCTTCCGATGCATTGCTTAGAGTAACATTCTGCATGTATGTTATCATCACTGAATCTTGGAGTAAAGACACAACAGTATTTTGTAAGCTGTAGTGACGTGTTCTGAGCCAAGAAAACCTTGCTTGAAATTTGGCTTATTCCTGGGTTACACTTAACCATCTTTCAGAGAACCGAACCCTGGGGTTGTATCCGTTCATACTGGCCCAGAGTACTATTTTTTCTTGTCAACTTGACTATTATAGTGTAGACATAAAACCCAAGTGCCCAAAACATTACCTTTGGCCTTTGAATTGTCATTTCAGTTATTGGTAAATCTCATCCTGGCTATTATTTTGCCTACAGATTGTAGAGAGTCTTGGAGCAGCTAACAAAGAGGTTTCTCTGGCTTCAATATTGCCATTAATCCCACAAGCTTTAGACAAGTTTCACAGTTCAAGAGTACATGACCCAACTTTTGAACGGAAAATGTATCAACATTTACGTGAACACGACGAACTTTAACTTAAGAATTAACATTCACTGCATTACAATAAAAAGCACTCAATTCTAATATAAAAATATGAGTGAAAATTAATAAAACATTTCAGAGGGAAAAAATAAACTCTGTGGTACACGAAAAACAAACCAAGACAAAAGCCTTTAATGCCCCCTGAACCCTACCCCTTCCCCTCTGCTACCATAAACCAAACCTTCATCTCACCATAATAATTTTGAGTAAACAAAAAGTTTATTTAATACAACTTAGTACATTATTACTAACAGTTACAAATTGTTAAAGTTTAACATTATGGTATAGCTATACAGGTCCTTAACACAATTAATGGTACAGAAGAACTTTTGGCTATTTTGAGCCTAACCCTTTAAATTCCAAGAGTAAAACCTGAACTCTCATTTGTTGGCCCTATTCATTATTTTCCTGAAGATGTAGTGGGGAGAAAATTGTTAACATATCAAGCATCTTGTATGATCACATCCCAAATTCTCTTTACCACTCTATCAAAAGCATCAGATATTAACCCTTTATTATAGGTTCCAATATCTAAATGGAAACTTTCCACACTGATCTCTATACATTTCGTTACAGAATTAGCTGAGAGAATTTAGTTGGGAGCATTTTTCTTTGGTGATCATTTTATGAATTTTTATAGTCTTTTCTCTTGATTACATACATAAGTTATTGTACTGATATTGTTGGGAGAAACTTGATATTGATCAAGCTTAGGGTTTACAGGATTAACCCATGCACTCCTACACTCCCTCAGTTGTTAACGATCGAGATTAGTTACTGATATTGATAAACGAAAAACCATCTGTTAGCGATCTCTGTATGTACACAGTTGTTGCAAAATAAGGTTAGATGATTTTTCATTCCAACTTTATATTGAATCTGTGGACAAAATCCTCTGGTGTTGACCATGAAATGAAACCTTTTCAGTAGATCTTTTGCCAATTTAATTTTTTGATTTTACAAAAGAAATTTGGAATTTTTTCTTTAGTCATAGTTCATAGAATGAAAAGGTTAACATGCATATGCCTCGTGGGAAATTTTTAAAGTAAAAGTCAGTTCAAAACTAGGATTTACAGTTTTGCCGAACTCTGTCAATATCCTGTGAAAAAACTTTTTTAACACTTTATGTTACCGAACTTGCACAACTACTACTAAAAAATAACTTACTGTACAAATGAACTAAAAAACTATTTTTTTAACACAGTACTCTGCTATGTAAGAAGTGTGTTGATGAATTCTAGAAATCTTCCATCTGTCTGGTCTGTAGGGAATTTCTTTATCAAAGATGACTGAAAGAAAAGCCAAAATTTTGTTTTAAAAAGTGTATCATTATAAAGACCAAAAAATGTTGGGTTAAATGCATCATTTTAAACTGTTCCTCCTATTTACTCTTGAATGTCTTAGTAGACCCGACTTCCAAAGAGGAAGACATTAATAGATCCAGTATTCTTTTGAACTTTGCTTTAGACTTTTATCAGCAAAATTCAAGGAAGGACTATAGAAAATCTGAGTACTTTTCAAGCTTAATGGATCCCAATTCAGTTCAAGTATATGTTACATGTTACATGTTAAATCTAGGTAAGGTTTATTCTCAATTTCCTTAAAGTTTGTCTCCTAGCATTAAGTCATGAATAGTTAGGGCTAGATGTAAGAGACAAAGGAAATTGAGAATCAACCTAGGTTAAAAAATTTTAACCTGAATTTAATTTTGACCTGTAACATAAAAAAAAAAAAACAAACATAAGAAGGCAGGTTTTAAGCCTTCATCACAATCTTAAAATTATTAGTGATTCCTTTTTTCTCAAGTCGTGAAACAAACAACTAAAAATTAATATTGAAGGTCTTCCTCAAGAATGGATAAGCCTTGCATTATTGGTGGTTCATTATTACATGTACTATGTAGGTTTAGGCATCGAAAGAATTTTTTTTTCATTGCTACCATTCTTACCTTTACTTTGTCCAAGTAAGTTTGGTTTCCATGCCACAAGTTATGAAAGTTGATAGTGTCTGGACTACCCTTGTAGAAACTCCACATCCATCTCTGAAAACAAAAGACAAAATATTACTTGTACTGTACTTGCTGTATTTACCTGGCAACTTGAAATCTTAGTGACAGCCCTGTGAGGTAACCCACTAGAGGTGGGGTAACCTACCTGTCCATGTAATCTCTCATTTTAATTTGATCATGTTTACATGTAGGTGGGGTGACCCTCCCAGGTGGAACGGCTGGTCTGCCAGACCGGATACCCTATTAGCCTGGGTCAAATTTTGCCAGGTAAATGTTTCAAGGTGGGGTACCCTACCTAGCAGCTGCGGTTTGATTCATGTTACACCAAAGTCGCCTCAAATGCCTTTGGCGGGAAGCTTTGCATCATTAAAAGTGAAAGCCATGCAGCATTTAAGGTTACAGCAAGCCAAAGATCAGCAAGTGAGAGAAGAGGAAAACATTAACCCCAAAACATTCAATTGCCCCCAAGATGCCATTTTGTGTTTACATGTAAAAGACAGGTTTTTTTTCACTCCACCATTCAAACCTAATCCTTTCATGAAAAAAGGTGACACCCAGTTTTTGGGTGGCGTACCATCCTACTTTGAGATGGTATCCCCACCTTTACTTTTATCGTAAGTGTAGAATGGATAACATATAGATAAAAATACAACAGTTTTTTTTTTTGACTCAATGTCACGTGGTTATAATGGGTTTGAGGTCTGACCAACCTGCTGTTGCCACCTTTTTTCGTGAAAATCTCTCGGCAGGCCCCTTAAAGAGAGTTTCACCAAAATTGCATAGACCCAATTCGAGAAATTCAGCGGTTTCCAAATTTAGGTCATAATTTATGCGAAAATGATAAGCAAACTTTACACGGATTATATCTAATAAACGATGAGATTCATCCCTTTATTTGGGCATCGTTATAACAGATGGGGCCTTGCAAGTCAGCAAAACGCTTTAGGGCCTTGTAAACGCTGCGATTTCGAGCAAAAGCAAACATATAGAAATTGTAGTTTTCGCTATTTGTTGACGTTTGTCAGCGTTTAAGAGTCCTTCTCACGAAAAAAGCATTTTCTTAAAAATTCGTAGTTTTTTTTCCTTCAAATTTTTTCAGGGCCACAATTGATTAACTAACTACCCGGACTCTGAATTTCATGGTCATTGAAAAACTGTGACATTATCTTCTATAAGCCCAAACTTGAGTAAACATTGAAGATTTTTAGCGTTTTGGCTGAGTTTGTGCTTTGGGAGTTGTCTATGGTTTCTAGTCTGTCATTATACAGCATTCTTGTTCTGCACACGTGCAATGACCATGCTTGGCTGACTTCCGAATGCTCACCGAGATATTCCCGTCACGAGTTGGTTTAATTATTGGCTTGCATTAAACCTATGAAAAAATGATATTTTTGTAATAGTAAGTAGATTTAGTGTGCAGCACTTCTTGATTTTTTTGCAAAGGCACAAGAATTGATTAAAAATTGTTAGTTAAACCTCTATGTATCACGCGATGGCCTGTCTCACTGTACCAAAATTATTATATCTCGGTGAGCATTCGGAAGTCAGCCAAGCGAGGTCATTGTGCGCGTGCTGAACAAGAATGCTGTATCATGACAGACTAGAAACAATAGACAACTCCCAAAGCACAAACTCAGCCAAAACGCTAAAAATATTCAATGTTTACTCAAGTTTGGGCTTATATATAGAAGATAATGTCACATTTTTTCAATGACCATGAAATTCAGAGTCCGGATAGTTAGTTAATTAATTGTGGCCCTGAAAAAATTTGAAGGAAAAAAAACTACGAATTTTTAAGAAAATGCTTTTTTCGTGAGAAGGACTCTTAAACGCTGACAAACGTCAACAAATAGCGAAAACTATAATTTCTATATGTTTGCTTTGCTCGAAATCGCGCGCATTTACAAGGCCCTAAAGCATTTTGCTGACTTGCAAGGCCCCATCTGTTATAACGATGCCCAAAATAAAGGGATGAATCTCATCGTTTATTAGATATAATCCGTGTAAAGTTTGCTTATCATTTTCGCATAAATTATGACCTAAATTTGGAAACCGCTGAATTTCTCGAATTGGGTCTTTGCGATTTTGGTGAAACTCTCTTCAGCGCAAGGCACTCATGCGCACTATGTGTAGCCGAGAGATTTTCACGAAAAAATGCCGGCAACAGCAGATTTTCGACTCAGACCTCAAAGGGGCGTGGCATTATAACCACGTGACATTTACTCCGATCGCCAAAAATTTTCTGTTATATTGTAGATTGATCTATATGTTACCCATTCTATGTGTTAGACTTACGATAAAAGTAAAGGTGGGGATACCAGAGAGCTTCAAAGTATGATGGTACCCCCTCAAAAAAACTGGGTCGAGTCACCTTAAAGGGCCTGTGTCATGGCAGTCCAGTTCATTTTGTTTAATTTTGCCAATTATTTACCCTACGTTCGCCCTCAATCGCTATGGAACTTAAAGTAAGCAAAGAAATTACATGTAAATGACAAAATCAGCGATCCAAGATGAACAAATAATTTTATGTCTCCTGAGCATTATTTTTGAAGTTGCAAGCCGCAGGCATCAACTTTGAAAACTGTTAGGCTGAACAGTTTTCAAAAACCCTAATTCTAATCTGTTTCAATCTTCTTCAGTTTTGCCCATCCATATGGTATCTGTTGTTTCTGTTATGTTATTTTAACCTTCCTTTAAAGTTTTAAGTGGTTATTTTTCTCTTTCTACTAATTTAACAGGCATTTTGTAATTTCCTAATTTGGCTGAATTTCGTGACACATCTCCTTTAAGCATATTCACACTATACTGGACAGCTTTTAACCCTTTAAGCCCCAGTATCCACATATGAATTCTCCAAACTGATCTCCATACATTTCCTTTAAGAATTAGTTGAGAGAATTTAATAAAACATCAAGGCATTTTTTCTTTCCTGATCATTTTTTATATTCTCACAACCTCATCTCTTGACAATGTATGGACATTGTTAGGAGAAAATTGCTGTTGGTCACTATTGGGACTCAAAGGGTTAAGCTCAATTCTCTATACATACCAATTCATTTAGCAGATCTTGAGTAAGGAACTGATCTTGATGTGTACTGATATTCATGATCATGGGAACTCCTAGTTTATGAGTTTGACCTTCTGGCGAAGCTTGAACCCAGAAAGCTCGTACAGTTGACTCTTTTGTTGGTCGGTAATTATCATATGGAGCTGTTAAAAATTTATTAAAAAACAAAATAAACAAAAAACTGACTAAGTGACACAAAAACAAGACATAATCAAATCTTGACAAAGCCATATTTAATCTTTGCAAATTTTTTTGTTTAGTTTTTGCTTTTTTGTTGTCCCCTTTGACTTGTTTCCCTTTATTCTCACTGATGATCCTTTACAGCTTCACAAAGATTTTGCGATAACATATCTCTTGTAATACATGTACATTTGTACTTACAAACTATCATGCCAAGACAAGGGCCATAGGAAGATGTTTCATGTTGCAATATTTTCTGATACTTGAGCTGATTCTGGATATCCTGTAGTGATGGATCTGGTTGATAGGATGGGTGACTGTGATACCATCCAACAAGAACAAGACCTCGCTGTGCAATGGCATTTCGCACCTGGCCACAGAAAGAAAAAAATGTGTTAAGTTTACACTGCACAAGCAGCGGGAAGGTTTTACAGATAAAATTGAGATTTTAAACGGCTAAAATAAGGCCACAACAAAAGTGCTAGCCTGAGCAAAGTGGAACAAACTGTCAGTGGGTTATCAAGTTTTAACTACAAGCTGTCTCCTGGGGAAGCAACATTTGCTGTAACTGTAGATAAAGTAAAGGATGATGGTAAGCTAAGGCCAGCATGACTTCTCTGGGCTAGCAAACCTTGCTTGCCTGAAGGGCAAGGATTTTAAACTATTAAATTTTCATCTCACCTTGTGGAAGGAAGTGTTTGCCACAGAAATTAGACTTATAAATCAATATTATTACATATATTTTTATTTATTTACTATTTGTACTATTGTTAAGGACATGCTTGTTCAGCTTCAGCAGCATTGTATGGTACACTGTATAGCGGCAATGTACAGAAAATCATGAAAACATCAATCTGTGGTATAATGTAGTTTTTTTTTTTTTACAATCCCCACTGCTCTTCTTCTTTAAGACTACACTGAAAGTAAAGGCTGGCATAAAATACACATGACAGCTGGTAGGTTTTACGCCAACAAAACATTTCTACACGTAAAAAATTTACCTCTTCTTCCACCTTGGGTGCATTTTCTTTATCAGCAAATCGACAGCGGCATGGAAAAGCCTGTACAATCTTCATGTCTGCATGACATAAAGAAATAATGTTATATTGGCATACAGTAAAAACCCACGACTAAGAACCTGGATTTTTCCATGTAAGTTTGCCTAGACAGATTCTTAGATAAATGGTAATAAGTACAAATCTAGGATATAAATTATGGGTTCTTAAACAGGTTCTTATTTTTTGAAGAAAAAAAAAATATATACATATACATGTTTAGTGTAGCTATTTACATGTAGTGGTATTCAGCTTATCCATGTATAAATTTTGCATACTATTTTTCTCCCAGACTTTTTTTAAAGGGGTACTTCAGTTTATTCCTATTTAGTTACTCTTTGCAAAACATTTTAGCATGAATCCTCCACACTCATATTTACATGTACATGGGATTCTTGTACGTTACCTCCTTCTTATGAACAAAAGATGAAATGGCACTAAAAATTTGAGTAGTCAACTGGCTCTCTTCTTAACATTATTGCTGTTAACATATTAAGTACACTGTACTAGATCAAACTATTATCTTAAGCAGCACACTTACGATGTGTTTGTGGGTCAAACTTTCCAGCAAGGTATCCTACTACTTCACTTGATGTTAGATGACAATGGTAATCCTGTGGATTTGATTGTGGAGGTAGCTGCTGTTAATTTTATTTTACTTCTGTAATCACAAGATAAGAGTAAGAAAATCTTATATAATACGTGTACATTATAATAATACCGTAAAATTCGGAAAATAAGCCACGGGGCTTATATTTTACAAAAGCCCTTTTTGAGGGGCTTACTTTTGGAGGGGCTTATATTCGGAGGGGCTTATCTACGGAGGGAATTTTGCGTTTCAAAATCGATCGGGCTAGCCTTATAGTTGAAGGTAAATTTACCGTTTTTGCTTTGTTTTACTTTGTACTTGAGGGCAATTTTCCAAGTACAAGCCCCCGGGGGCTTATATTTGGAGGGGCGATTTAACGGAGGGTTTTTTGCGTTACCGGTTTGGGGGGCTTATATTTGGAGGGGCCCATACATGGTGGGGCTTATTTCAGAATTTTACGGTAGTCCTACACTGGTAATTAATCTTCAATTATGATCCTGTCAAAATTGCCCCAAACATAACTGATATTCAGTAGTCTGTATCTTTTGTCATCTGTAATATAAGACAGTGTTCTCTAGAAATGTAAACTTTAGTTATCTCTCTTAAATTTAAGACTGGCTAATACATTTTTAAACAATTACATAGATCATACAGGTATGCGTGATTGTTAAGGTGTTCATTACACAAACTCAATATACCTATCTTAATTGGTAGTCTGCTGAGAGTGCTGACACTTACCATAAGCAAAAGACAGTTTGTTGAAATATCTACAGAAAAAGGCTGCATTTTTCCAAGAGCACTAAAGTTCATAAGTTCAACCAGGGTATGTGGATCACTATGGAACATAAAATAATACAAACTCATTAACTCACTGGCAGTATAACCACTTGTAGACTGGCAGGAACAAAACACAGATCACAAGTCATGGGTCACAAGTGCAGGTCAATGCTCTATAACTGAGATAAGCAGTTTCCCTTTAAGACATAAAGTCTCTATTTCTGATTGTGAGTTGTTTATTTACCATAACGTACAGATAAAATTATTTATATATTATGGTACTCTAAGCTGTACTAAGTGACCTGTGACCTGCATATTGAACACTGACAAGGAAAAAATATTTATCAATTAAAATTCTCTTTCTGTAAGTTACTCCCTGTAACACCCTTAAATTGAGAGTGAGATTATTTTGTTAATAGCTTTGAATGGAGATACCGATAAACTGACACAAAATAACCCACAAGATTCATTTGGTTACTGAGTAAAGAGTAAATAACAGAAAATAACTCTCATTCATTTGCCATGAAAATTCCCTCTCACCTATCTGGAGTCAATGCTGTGTACTTTACTGATTGCCGTGTTCTAACAGCCAGGCGTTTTCTTCCTACCGAAGCAGGGGATGATGATAATGGACTGGGCAAATCTAGAACAAACCAGCCATTAAAATAATATTATGTTAATCAGTGATCAATTTTTTCTATAAAATTAATTGGCCGTGACATTAACCTGATTCTCCCGCACTCAATTACCTGCATGCCATAACAATAAAACTTACACTCATACACATGTAAGACAATGGGCCGCAATCAGTTAAAAAATGAAAATAAAACTGCTTACATTTTTATATGCATGTACATATAGCAAAATAATCACAACTTTACATCAGGAAAATTGTTATAGATTTATTATTTACAAAACTATTGACAGTTTTTTTATGTCCATTTCAGTTGAAGTTTCTCAGACAATTGCGTGTGCAAGAAAGAGAAAAACAAATTGTGCCACCATCATGTCATTTCCATGGTCTGTGGTTCGATTGGTCATAAAAATCAGTATGTGAGAAAAAATCCCTCCGTTAGTGTATATATTGTAAAATTAGTTTTTAATAAGGATTTTACAAAAAGAAATTGAAATGTTTTTGCCAATTTTTATCTTTGGACACTATAAGCAAGAATCTGACACTCTGATCTTACCCACAGGACTTTTCAGTGATACCGAAGACTTTGATGACATGGTCGGAGTCAAGGCTGTAGGTGAGAACCGTGTTGTTGACTTTTGTGTTGGTGGTGGGTGAATGTAGCCAATGTTTGGTTTTCGCCTGTTAAAAAAGAGGAACAATGTAACATTACCACACTAAGTTCAGTTATTCTAGCAGGGCTGCAACTAACACAGTTGCCAATGCGACTCACATAATTTTCTCCTTGGCAACTAAGAATTCTGGTTTAGTAGCCACTTTGGCGGACAGATTTCTCTATGATTTAAATTTAAATTTTAAGAGTAAAGTTAAAACAAACATTTCATCTTATCTTGCTTTGCTTTTGCCATAAAAAATGTGCCAAATCGCATAAACAAAGCCAGTTTACCTTCAAAATTATACTGACTTGTGCCCGTGAAATATTCCAACAATCATAGATGATGGATTGCACATACTATGAGCTGCCTAATCAAGCCTTCCTAAGGGGCTTAGGGTGAGGAGATTCCAGAAATGTGGATACTCAGGCTACTAGAAGTAATTATAAATTAATGCTTGTAAATTAATATGTTAAGTGGTGGAGTGCAAAAATGTGTGGGAAAGGAAAGAAAAGCAACATGCAGCATTAGAGTTAATTCTTTCAAGTGGGGGGTCATGTAGACCACCTGAGGTTTCACCTAGACCACATGCTAAATTTATTCATTATATTTATCTAACATAGTTTTATATTCATCTGTCTTGTCAGGAAGTCTTCTTTGTCGGATCATTGACCGCAGATGCATCTCTTGTCTGGAACACTGTACATGCAGGATTTAATTGGCCAAACAAAACATTTACGTACAGTACATAACAGAGAAACATCAACAATCTGAGCTTTACCCGCGGCCTGATGAACCTTTAGCTGGTTTCTTCACCTCCGCAGGGAAAGAGATGCTACTTGTAGCAGATGAGCTCGGTCCTGAATTCTTTTGTACTGGTACAGAATGATGTGTGGTTGATGGTACATGTGTATGTGTTGGAGATTGGACATTAGCCGACCCTGTGGATAATGATGTCGATGATGATGATGATGGCACACTTTGCATGTCTCCGTGACTACTCGATGATTTGCTTGCTGGGGTCTTGCTTGATGTAGGTGAAGCCAACTGAGAGCCTCGGAGGGGTGTTTCTTTCTGTGAAGTCAATGATGAACTTTCTTTGCTTGATGATGGCTGAAATTTTTAATAACAAGTCAAAAAATATTAACATATTAACCCGTTCGCCCCTGAGCCCCTGGTAACTGCCTGTGCGGATCCACATCCCATAATCTACTGCTTGTCAATATATGCACAGAAATTATTGTGTTTTTGTGTAAGGGCTAGGGATCATTGTCATGTTCTTTGTGATGTAACTCAACAGCTCTTATTCACTTGGTATAATTATCATGCACTAGCCATTTTATGGACTGAAATTCAGCCATTTTTAGTGAACACAAGTGCTCTTGGCCACAAAAAGAGCACTTTGCCTGTGGGATCAGTGGAGGAAATCCCAAGCAGGTAACATGGCTCCATCTTGTCCGCTTGGGTAGTCAGTCACAACAAAGAATTTGCTTCAAATTGCCTGCTCAATAGGCTGAATGGGCTATTGACTCAGAGGCCATGAGGGCAAGAGGAATAATATTGTTTTAGTAAAATCCAACTAGTTGCTCAAAATATCGAGACAAACAACTTTATAATTAGCTAGCAAAACGCAATTCATCTGTCATTGTTTTGGTTTTCAAAGCCGGTGCTTTTTGCTACTAGTGGGCTATAACATATAGCCTAGTAGTAGCTCAACCAATCAGAATGCAGCATTAATTTTTGATAATAGACCACTAGTTGGATTTTACTGAAAAACGTTATTCATGATTATTATTTTATGTAGTAGTGTCACTGTGAAAACAATGAAATTTGACATAAACCGTTTTTAACGACAGTGAAATAATAATATTATTGTCATAAGCAACAACCTTGACTATACTTACAGACACAGATGAATGTTGTTTCCTGAACCAAGTAGTTTTGAACTGGTCCAATTTTTTACCCTTGTACTTCACCTTCAAATAAAAATGGAAAAATTAATGACAAATTAATACATTGTACTAGTCTATCAAATATAAAGATACATGTACTGAGCAGCATACTGCGAATTGTTGTAACTGTTCATAATAATTTTTCTTGCTTGCAAAGCCAGGGTAAGTTGCAAAAATAATACTATTAGAGTTGTACAGCTGTAACTGGTACATGGATGAATCTATTGTTTTCTGTTTTGCAAGGCTCAATCATCAACTCAATTCTTGACAAACAGTTCATTTTACATGAGTAAAATCCATACAAGTTAGCTGACAAACATTTCTCATGCAAAATGAATGTAAACTATAATAGATGTTTGGTGATCATCTCACAAAATAATTATGTGTGGTCATTACACAATCAAAATCAAGATGGTGCCAAAAAAGTACACTAATGACAATGATGAAAAAAATCACCACTAAGTGTGGTACAGGGAACCCAGGAATATAAAAACAATTTTGATATTGTTCTTCATGCTGTAATAATGGTATTGCAGCAGACATAAAAAATGGAGACCTGACCCTTATATGAACTTTTTAAATGTTACATTAAACAAAATTATTATTGGATGAGGTTTTTCATGATATCCGGAATAATCAAGGTTGAGGTAAGTGTTATCGGCCAAGCTGAAGGCCGAGGCTGATAGTACTTACTGAAGCCTTGATTATTTAGGATACTACAAAAACCAAATCTAATAATATGTTTTATTATACATTGTTTTAAAGAAAATTACGACATACACACTGTCGCAAGGAACCTGCATTGATATTGCTATTCAAAATCATGCATTGCGTGCGCATCCTACAGATTAGTTAGTTATCTGCAAGCAGATACTGTAACTAACTTATCTGTAGGCTGCGCTGATTTCCAAAATTAGCTGTAGGCCAATGAAAAAACAGCTAACAAGTACAACATACAATAAAGTATAATAAAAAAATTGCGCTTGGTTAAGTTACTGCATGTCAAAAAGATAATTACAATTGAGCAGTAATGATTCACTCACAGAAGCCCATCCACAGCCTGATTTCTTGGAAGGGTTGACAAGCTTTTTGCAGTATATTGCCCATGCAGATGGTGAATTAAACACCTGACTAGCTTCTGGCCATTTTATTCTACCATCGGGTTGAAGATCAGCTACAAACTTTTGACCCTGTAACAAAATAAATTGGTACATATGTTATAACAATAGTAATTATTATTAATTACCAATGTGCTTAGACTGGCAAGTGCTGAGGTACAAAGCACTATCTGGATCAATTTAGGTATCTGGGAAACTGCCCACCTACCCCTCCCCTAACCCAACATTTTGTCCCAAGTGAGATGCAAATGTTAATGTTGAGTTAGGGGAGGGGTAGGAGGGCTGTTTGCCAGAAACCTAAATTGATCCCATTGTCCTAACATGCCTGGGAACTAAGTTCTTCAGTAGTGTTAATAGATCTTAGTCTTTACCCCTCCCCCGAGCCCCACAATCACCCTACCCCCAACATTTTTTTCCAGTTGTCTGCTTGTTCATAATAATTTTTTTCTCTACTATTGAGTTACAATACTATATGTACGTTTGTTGCATGGCTTATAATTCTGTATGGTTGTGTTGTGTAGTTCTGCTCTCTCCCAAAATGCTTGCAAAATGGCAATGGTTACCTTGAGGAAGCAAGACATCGCAGGTAAGTTGTCTCTGAATTTGTAGCACCACTGTTTGGTAGAAAGGATCATTACTCCCCTTCATTTTAGGAGTCTGGCAGAATCCCACAGGAAAATGTTTTGGGCCACCAGGGAAAAAATTTTAACCATGAGAGTGGCACCTTTATTTACCAAAATTTGCTACATTTGATATCACAATGCTTTCTCGAAATAATTAGTGTTGCATAAAATTATGCCAGATTGAGTACTGCACCCTCTTTACAGAAAAAAAAAAAATTCTGTGGGTAAACAGGACTTTTGTCACAACTAGACAGGGATTTACAACGGTTACCATACATCATGTAGCTGCTGAAGAACCCTGGAGCTATGCTGTATAAATAATATTTTAAACAATAATACATCTAATTAGGTTACAATGTATAAGATACATACCAGGTAATCGATAGAAAGGCATTTTTCACCAGGCTCAATGACTCCATCATCCATCAACATACCAAGAGTAACACCTCGTCCTGTTAACACTGATCGAGGCTTTCTTCTTCCTTTGGGTTTGGCAACAGATGCTTTGATGTCTTCCTCTTGCTCCATGTCATCAGCATCTTCATCATCTTCATCCTCTTTTATGTCTTCATCTTCTTCAATGTCATCAATATTCTCTTCCATTGCTGTAGTGGTAAAAAAACTATGCTTGAATGCAAGAATGGGTGTTGTCCAATAGTAACAGCAGACACTCTTAGAATTGAGGATGATAACGACTACGAATACGAGATTGGACTTCAAGTTTTTTTGCGTATTGGAAAGCCTAATTGTACTTTTTTTAACAAAAGAGTTAGCAATGTTATCTTTATGGAAGAAGGTTGACCCCTCTCCCGATTGCAAAATGATGAAACTTCTGACACTTGATGAACTGTTTCCACCACTACAACATTCTTGCTAAACTCCTTGTAGAATGATGACAGCTATCAAGTTTTCCCGCCAAAAATGATGCTGTACAAGGGGAGGGAGATGGCATAAGGTTTTTTGAGTTTTTTCCTGGAGGATAAAACATCAGCACCTGACATTTTCAGTAGCTGTTCGTTCATCCCTCGCGCACTTTTGAGACAAGTTCAGTGATAGTCAGTTGCTATGGTTTTGAGATATTATGTCATAAGTAGCAGGTGGTCAAGCCATTTTTGGGTGAAAAGACATGTTTTTTCAAATTCTTTCAACAATAGAAGTGAATCTTGTGGATAAAATCATACAAATTGCTTATTTATGTGTTATTTTCCATGTAAAACACAAAACATTACTATTTCTCACGGTTTTAACCTGATTTCTAATTCTTGGTAAAATCCAAGATAGCGGCCAAGATGACAACCATTGTTGGTGACGTCACAGGCCTCCATCAGTGCACCCATAAAATATACCTCATCTTGTTAAGAAGATCATTTAGGCTTTCCACTAAAGGTAAAATCATTTCAAAATACTGCAACATATCAAAAACTGCAGGGAGGGATTCTATCAACCCTCCCCCCTTTTGTACCTTGGTGGGTGTATGAATTTGTGTGTACATACGAGGGTTAAATTGCTGATGATTTCATGTCTGTGAAATAAAATACTTCCCTCCTTCCTTCCATTCAAAGTTGTTCCTTCAAGTCTTGAGCAAGCTTCTATATTGCTAGCTACTTTGATAGGAGTAGGAGGGGATCACAAACACAAGATTATAGGCAAGTCAGTTCAGCCAAAATAAGCTACATGTACAGGTGTAAAGTGTCTCAAGTATTTTTGCAACTGGTTGTAGCTCCAGGCAATTTGGATGAACTTTTGATTGGGAGGTACAAGGTTTTGGAAGCGGAGCAGTATGATGTTCTGGGGGAATATGGCCCAAGCACTGGAGATGTTCAAAAAATTGATCCTACCATTGTCTTTGTGATCCATACATGTAGGAGACACAGAAAATGGCAATCTAAAAGTCCTTCAAAATTATTGCTGAAAATACCACTTCTGAGCCAAAGGGTGACAACCACAAAAAGGAAAGACAGCATTTATTTGGCATTGATTAATGTACATATTAACCGATATATCACTACAGATTGAGCAACCAGTAAATCCAAGAATGTGTGGGTGTCCTGTGACCTCACTGGGTAATAAATTTAAAATCAGTACAAAACTTGTATCGGATCAGTTTTAGAATACACAGTCACTTGTCTAATTGTCATAAAGATAAATCCTATTGCTACAAAAAAAAATGCATTGGCTGGCCGGGCATTATCCCAATGTGGAATAATAAGCTCATGCAAACTGAGCAGAAAAGGTCTATCCTTGATCACGCGCGTAAGCTGAGATGAAAACGAGCTTCTTTGCAATTAGAAGAAGGAGTCTACCTCACATTAACACAAACTTTGCAACAAATAGTGCCGTTTACGTCAGCAAGCTTCCGTTAAGCCTTAAACCTTATTCTAAGGTGAAGCTTGGCAAAATAAAAAAGTTAATTAGTGAACGAGTTAGTATGCTGGCGGTAAAGTAAGCTTACATGAAATGAACAAGGGCTAAAATCTATCCTCGAACAACATAACTACTTTCACTAATAACGAAGTTTAAATTCAGACTTACCTTTCATTGAACGAGAATTAACCACAGCTTCGACTCCACAAACAAAACAACGAGTTAAACTATCTGGGCTTCACACATTCACTACAAAACAGTAAGCAGCATGCATGCACTACTTTCCGATGTATTGTAATGTATCGGCTATTCGGATATCTTCGTGTAATCTTCGTAAACCTCTTACTTCGCGATCTTTCCTTTATATTTCCTATGCGGTCACATGCTATTGAAACAGCTCAAGCTCGTGCAAGTCACATTTGGTTTGGTTTCACTTTGTAGATCTAGAGTTAACAATTTGTTTCGTGTACTGCCGATTTCTTGCTGCTTTGGGACAACATCTTCAAAACGTTCAACGATTATAAGAACCATGGCGACAACTAAGAAACCTTTTGAGAGACTTCCAACCAACGTTGCCCCCAAGAATTATGCTCTGACTTTGCAACCAAATCTCACGGAATTCACCTTTACTGGCAAGGAAGTAATAGATGTCGAGGTAATGCAAAAAATTATCCCGAATACATAAAATTAAATGTCGCTCTTTAACTTGCGTTAGAAATTGATCGAGAAACTGTTAAGTTTGCCCACTGCAGCGTCACGTTGATGATGGTGAATTATTTCACTTTCCTTTAAAAATTACAGTTTCGATTTCATCACACTCCTCTGACGAGGAAGTAGCGATGACTGTAGAATGTCGTTGTAATTACATCTTTTTTTATCTATTTCAAATATTTAGGTCGGTTAATTTTTGAATTGGTAAGGGAGGCCAGGGGGCAAGGGGTAAATATTTGCTGAGTATGGACGTGTGATGTGTGTCAGGGAGGAGTTGAGGGAAAATTTTCACACTTTGTTAACCCATTCGCCCCTGAACCGCCCTAAATAACCGCCCTAATTCCGTTTACTTACAGTACTACGTGTAATTAATTTATCGCTGAGGTACACAGGGGCTAGTCCCGACATGCATTTGGATCCAGGTCCTTTCTACCCTTTGTGACGCTCATCAGTTTTAACAGTCAAGGACAACTTTCTTACGCTAAGGCCCAGTTCAGATGTTTGTCGGACAACTGAGCTTCTCTGCTTTGCCGTGCTTATCGAACTTAATTGTAATTTCATAGTCGTCAGTCTTGGGGATTGGAACAACCTCTGCTAGCCATGCGGCAGGAAAACAACTTTGATTCAGACGTCTTTGTAGTTTGCTTGTCATGACCAGGAGATGGAATAGACATCAAAATGGCTTGGACTTCAACCAAATTCAGGATTTACTGATGCCTGCCTTGAAAATAAGAACTGAATTCTTCTCCCAGCTTCCCACAGCTTTGTCGTGGGGCTGCATGACTTATCACGCCAAAATACATTAATATAATTTATTAATTTTGTTTTTATAGGCTGACCATGCAGAAATCGTCGGGTTTTTCTTGCAAGAGCTCTCCAATAATCCCTTGTCTTCATTAAGCTTTTTATCTCTGGGGTAATAAAGGGGTTTGATCGTTTGAATTGACCAAGGTACAAATGACGCTGCCCGTGCCATATAGTTTTAAAAGATCTTGAAGAGCCGTTTTAGCACGGCATGGACGCTTGTCGAACATCCAGTAATTGGTTGTAACTTAATTCAAAAGTTTGATTCTGTTGGATTTAATAGATTGCAGTTTAAATCGCCCAAGATGAAAACAGGTTTGTTGTGTGATAGAGCTGCCGTACTTTTGAGAGGCAGTCGAACTTAATTCCTGAATTTAGTTTGGTGTAAACCAGATGGAAATATCCCAGATATGTCGGCCAGGCTTTGGACTTTAAATTGTTCTTTGACATAGACACACACTCCGCCACCAGGCTTGTGAGATCGTCCCTGTGGATGAACTGGGCCTAACTTGTGCAGAGTGAAGAGATCTTTCAAACCATACCAGAATGAGCACAATTCAGTCAAGGACACTGGAGAAAGAAGCAAAAAACCACGTGACAGGGACCTGAAAATCTCCATGAAAATCTTGTGCCATTACCCACCTACCTTTCCTTTCACCTAATCCTAAGATCCTAAAAGCTTTCCTAAAAACTCTTCCCACCAAAATGAAGCCTACTAAATGCCCAGCAAGAGAAAAAAAAAATGAGGCAAGAAAAGCGAAAAAAGAAGGGAGGAGAGAAAGCGAAAAGTAAAAGTCAAGACTGCTGTGTCACTTTTAAACCCAAAAACTATCTCGAAATTTTGCTTTCTGCACATGCCCGAACTTCGCAAGCTAATATTTTGCATCTGGATCAGAAGGCCGCCAAGTGTACGACCTGTAAACCGGTTTGTGGTAAGTTTTAGCTCTTTATAGCACGACAGTGACCAGAAAACCACTTGACTAGCTTCAAAACGCGTTTTTCGGCAAAATCTCCAAGAGCGAATGGGTTAAGGGAAGCTTATTTTTTTACTATCAATATTATTATTATAATTATTATTGTTATTTTTGTTATTGTTCCGAGCAAAGCAAGGTGTAAAGGGATTTATAATTTTGTCGTACGGAACGTTGTGCAGAACGATGAGTGGATTGAGCGAGGATCCTAAGCAGGGTGCGATTAATTAGCGAGGCTTTGGTCAAAAATCTTTCTTTCTATCGGTTTTGTAACCACAGTTGCCTAGCAACAAAGTCACGATGGCATCCCAATTGACATCAGCAGCATGACGCTATCGTAAGCTGGCTTTGATTTTGCTTCTGTCATAAAAAATCTTTCTTTGTATGAGTTTGGTATCCGAAGTTGGCTAGCCATGATGTCTCAACTAAGCTCGAATTGACGTCATTCAGTCTGACTTGGGGCATTTTCAGGTTTCCAGAGTTTCTGCATCCGTTTTGGCGATCAAGAAGTTATCCCGGCTAGAAATATTGACTGGAGAAGTATATTCCAAAAAACGTTGAAGCAATTTGGGCTAGTAGCTTCAAAATAAGACTAAAAATCGACTTACAATCTGAGCAATTTTCAGTGCGTCTCACTTCGCATACTAGTTTGTTTATGTCGTGCGATATGTTTTTCCAAAGTGTGTTTCAGTTTGGCTTTTAATTGTCGAAACCTTATCTTTTTTCCCTGAAATCTAGTTTGGAATTCATCTTACACCATGGATAGATCAAAGTTTCAGTTCTGTACTACGGCCCAAAGTACAATAATTTTCATGCAAAATGTACTGTCTTGTTTATATTTTTTTTCTATTTATCATCTGGTGGCTAAAATAATGCTATTAAATAAGCTTTTCAAAATCTTATACTTTTAAAAGAACACCATACACTGTACAATACCCACCCCCGCCCCCCAAAATAAAGAAGAAGAAAAGAAAAAACAAAGCAGGTACCTTAATGAGGAGCAAACTTGCTGGGTCACCCATCCAGTTCCTAACCCTACCCAACAGAGCTTAACTTGAATGCCGCTACTGAAAAACTGAGTTTTGCGAGGGTTATTGTGAGATTTACGTATTTCTAGTTATTATTAGGGCCATTTATACGAGGAAAAATAAGACGCGTCTTACATAAGAAGCGTCTTAAATAAGACGCGAACTGTACCATTTATACGAGCATGTCTTATCTAATAAGACGCGTCTTAGCTAAGCCACGTCTTATTTTAGACGAAATGTGCCATTTATACGGAAAGTTGTCTTATTTTTCCTCGTATAAAAGGCCCCATTGTTCATGTCACTCAGCTTGATCTTCATGCTGGATAGATATCCATAGGGCAAGCTACGACTTGCAGCTTTGCTTAGGCCTCCAGAACCCTTCTAAGCAATCTTGCAGTTTACAGAGCTGCCTTCTGTTATTATTATTATTATTATTATTATTATTATTTATCTTTTAGAGATTTTTCTTGTACAATTCAAATTCCCTGCTAATGGACACCTTGGCTGGCAGATCCTGACCCTACTATATAGTTCACAAATGTCCCAACAACGTTAACACATACACATGGCATTTTTACCTTTCATATGCAGGCTACCGTAAAATACCGTAAGTAAGCCCCTCCAAATATAAGCCCCCCAATCCAGTAATGCAAAAAACCCTCCATCAAATCGCCCCTCCAAATATAAGCCCGGTGGCTTGTACTTGAAAGTTTGCCCTCAAATATAACGAAAAACGAAGCAAAAACGGCGAATTTACTTCCAACTATGAGACTAACCCAATCGATTTCGAAATGCAAATTTCCCTCCGTAGATAAGCCCCTCTGAATAAAAGCCCCTCCAAAAATAAGCCCCTCAAAAAGGGCCTTTGAAAAATATAAGCCCCGGGGCTTATTTTCGGAATTTTATGGTATGCCCCTTGGAAGATGCCTTTTACTTTCTGGTCCCTAGGATTTCTGCTTGTGGAAGGTTTGGCTGTACTTGTACTTGTACCGTGTATTTAGACTCTTGTTCTCTTTTACACAATCATAATAAGGTTTGTCAGGCAACAGACAAGGTGACAGTGAACTGCTTGGATATCTCTATTCAGTCAGCAAATTTCACTTCCGGTGGCTCAAGTAAGTTGATCAATTAATTTTTCCATTAATTATCACGTTAATAATAGATATCAATTATTGATATGTAAACTATTAAATTAAACTCATCGCAAATAGATGAGCTTGGCCTGAACTGGTGCCTTAAAAGTAAGTGGGGTGCCTGTTAATTTTTACTTTTCTATTGTTTTTGGGTATGGTAATGTGTGCTAATGAATTTAAAACAACGGATGACAAAAGTTAACTGAAACAAAAAATTGACTGCAACAAATTAAATACATGTAACATCATAATATTCTTATTATACTACCAGAATAACAGTTATAATGATGATGATAATAATAATGATAATAATAATAATAACAGTATTAATAATGATAATGATTATAATAATAATATTATAATACAGTAATTAACAATATTAATGAATGAGGCTGAGTTTTATTGGAAGAATTATGGAGATCGAGAAGGGTGTTTTCCGAGATCTCCATCAGATGATGCGAAAGCCAAATTCAATAAATTGTTTTATTATTCATTTAAAAAAATTCCTAGTTTAAAAACAAGCTACATGTATGCTTACCTCCCTCTATGTTAAGTTCATCTTCGATAGTGCATGTTAATCAGTAAGTTTAGGAGATGAAGGGTTGTTCAGCTTCTGCAAGTACTCTCCAATCCAAATAGCAGATGTCATCTGTCGAGTTGTCTTTGTGCCGTTTTTGTTATGTTTTTAGCCAATAGTTCACCTATTTCTTCGACGTGAAACGAGTGAAATGTTCTGCCATTTTTATACTCATTCCAAAAACAACTCAACCTCGTCCCCAGGTCTTCTTGGTTAACAGTTCAATAATCTAGCAATTTTGCTTAACTACTGATATCATTTTTCACATATCGCAAAATGTCTTTCAAATTTTTTGATAATAGCTGGTTATGATGAATTATGCATGGGATTTTAGCCAACCAGAAATGGAGAAATATTTTCGAATGAATAGTATCAAATTTTATTGTCTCTTCAGCTTTGAAAACTTCTGACATTAATTACAACAAAGAAGAAGAAACAGTTACCATCAGCTTTCCTTCCCCTCTTCCTCTTGGGAATGGTCAGCTATTCATTGATTTTACTGGGGAGTTAAATGACAAGATGAAGGGATTTTATAGGAGCAAATACACTGGTACAGATGGAAATGAAAAATACTGTGCTGTTACTCAATTTGAAGTAAGTGAACTGAGAATGTACTTGAAAATTATTTTTTTAGAGTACATTACAAACACATTCTGTATATTTTGAAATAACAGTTGAATTCAGAGTGAATTAAATGGATGGGACACAGTTCATGTATGTATCTCAAAGCATCATTATCTTCTTCATGCTAGATTCATGAATAAGTACAACATTAGGTTTTAATAATTTTGCAGGTGAAAATTATATTCTAATTATTCATGAATAATTAGGACTTAGGAGACAAAGGAAATGGAGAATCAACCTTGGTTAAAAAATTTTGACAAGAATATAATATTATTTTGACCCCCAACATACATGTATACATTGTACGACTATTGTGCATGTGGCTCAAATGTTACGCTGATTTCAATCCAGTCTTTTTGTCAAAGGAAAGTAGAATTGAAACTGGTTACATACATGTACATATTTCTTAAGCAAAGAAAATTTTGAAGCATAGCAGTGATAATGACATACATGTAGAGCAATAAAGTTGCTTTCAATCATTTTCAGTTTCTGTCTGCATGTGTTCATTTTGTCACATTACGGCTATGATCAATAACATTTGCATTGCTGGAAGAGGGAAGGATGATAATTATCAAATTGTGAAGTAATCTGTCATACATGTAGGTAAATTAAAATTGCATAAAGGCCAAGTGTGATTTCCATTTCTTTTAGCCCAGGATATAATGCAGAGTAACTATACAAATTGATCCAGGTTTCGTTAGGTTGCTTATTGTATCCGTTTTTCTAAATGCATTGTTCCATACTTCCTTGTTTTCTTTTCAGCCAACAGATGCTCGGCGTGCTTTTCCATGTTGGGATGAACCTGCACTCAAAGCAACTTTTGACATCACCTTGGTTGTGCCAAAAGACAGAGTGGCCTTATCAAACATGGTAAACTTTCAGTGGTAATATGCAAGTTAATATTATGGCTGCGTCTAGAAGCATTTAATGCGTGTTAATTTTTGCATAAACAAAATGCTGAAGAGAGTAATAATGCTTACTTGACTGAAGAGTGTGGTTTAATTTACCTGTGTTTAATGATCAATTATTGTTGATCATTGATTGAAAAATATATTTAAGCAATGCAGTAATATATTAGTTATGGAAAATGTCCTGTCAAGTATCTTGAAAAAAAAAAATAGAAAAATATTGTTGACAGTAACATAAAAAAAAATAGTTCTGTGCTGTCTTCTTTAATGGACTTGAAATTGTTTCCCAGACATAATCAATTGGTGACCGGCTTTTGTGATACATCAATTTTATTTGTTTTTGTTGTGTTCTAAAATGTGGTTTAGTGGTTGTGCTTACATGAACGTTCCATTGATTTGTAAGGGTTTTGTTTCATATTCATGAAATGATTGTCGGTAATATTAATGTTGTCCACAGTAATGAAACCTCAAAAGTTTATATTTCTTACAGTCTTTGACTTGCACACTGGTGAAAATAAATGGAACACTTAATAAAGAAATTTTTTGATTCTAAAATGATCATTCAGTTGGGTCACTCTGATAGAGTATTAAATCTCAAACAATTCCCAATGCTTTGGGAACTTGACGCGAGTACCTAAATTTTGCCATTGACACGTTGCATTCATGAACTTACACCTATCCAATAGCATTCATTTGCATGTTTTAAACTTGCAGAATGTTATAGAAGAATCAAGTGTAGCTGAAGATGCCTCTCTTACAATGGTAAAATATGCCCAGACCCCAATAATGTCCACATATTTGCTGGCATTTGTTGTTGGAGAGTTTGATTTTGTGGAAGGAAAAGATAGTGATGGCGTAAACATCAAAGTTTATACACCAAAGGGGAAATCTATCCAAGGACAGTTTGCTTTGGAGGTTAGTGGGTTAGATTATCGTTATTACATTTATGTATTTTTGTATAAAGAAATGTACTGATGTCAAAAAAGTAATATTGTCACTGCCACCACCTCCACTACCTTCACCACCACCACGACCTCCACTACCACCTCCACCACCACCATCAGCTCCACCTCTACCACCATGCATGACCACCACCTCCTCTTCCATCAAATACCGACACCACTTCAATCACCACTGCCTCTACCACTACCACCACCTAGCTTACCAGCTGTACTTCCACTACCATGACAACCATCACCACTACCACCTCCACCACATCACTACCACCTCCACCACTACTACCACCATCACCATGACCACCACCTCCACCACCATCACTCCTCAACCACCATTTTATCACTACTACTTCTACCACCATTACCACCACTACCACCACCACCACCATGACCATCACCACCACTACCACCTCCGCCACCATGACCATCACCACCACTACCACCACCACCACCACTACCACCTCCACTACCATCATTACTGCCTCTACCACACCTCCACCACTACCATCACCACCATTATGACCACCACCACCACTACCACCTCTGCCACCATCATTACTGCCTCCACCACACCTCCACCACTACCATCACCACCACCATGACCACCACCACCATGACCACACCACCACTACCACCTCCGCCACCATCATTACTGCCTCCACCACACCTCCACCACTACCGTCACCACCACCATGACCACCACCACCGACTACCACCTCCGCCACCATCATTACTGCCTCCACCACACCCACCACTACCGTCACCACCACCATGACCACCACCACCACTACCACCTCTGCCACCATCATTACTGCCTCCACCACACCTCCACCACTACCATCACCACCACCATGGCCACCACCACCACTACCACATTCACCACCATCATTACTGCCCCCACCACACCTCCACCACTACCGTCACCACCACCATGACCACCACCACGACTACCACCTCCGCCACCATCATTACTGCCTCCACCACACCTCCACCACTACCGTCACCACCACCATGACCACCACCACCACTACCACCTCTGCCACCATCATTACTGCCTCCACCACGCCTCCACCACTACCATCACCACCACCATGGCCACCACCACCACTACCACCTCCACCACCACCATTACTGCCCCCACCACACCACCACCATGACCACCACCACCGCTACCACCTCTGCCACCATCATTACTGCCTCCACCACACCTCCACCACTACCATCACCACCATTATGACCACCACCACCACCTCTGCCACCATCATTACTGCCTCCACCACACCTCCACCACTACCATCACCACCACCATGGCCACCACCACCACTACCACATTCACCACCATCATTACTGCCCCCACCACACCTCCACCACTACCGTCACCACCACCATGACCACTACCACTACCACATTCACCACCATCAACCACCACCACCACCCTCCACCACCACCACCACCACCACCACTACCACCTCCACCTTGGTTGCTGGGAATGGCTAACAACTGTTAGGAGGGTCTCTGACGCTGAATAGAGCATGGCAGAAGGTCACCTGATATCAGGCAATGAATTTGGCTAAAATTAAGACCAAGAGAACCATGTTGAATTGACAATAATAATGATAATTATGATAATGTTAAATAGTATTTCTTTTTTTGAAGTTGTGTTTAGCTTTCAGCCCCACTTGTATCCTTGTTCACATCACTATAAACTAAAACGTGATTGAAGGTTCTAAGGTAACTGCAAAAGTCTGTATTGCAAAGCATTGTAGTGCATGCTGAAGGATGATGTAGATGATAATGGTTTGTTAATTATTTGCAATTTAAAACGTACATATGTACCTGTTGTTGTTTTGTAGGTTGCCCAAAAGACACTTCCTTTCTATAAAAATTACTTCAAAATTAGTTACCCTCTACCAAAGATGGATCTGATTGCTATCCCTGATTTTGCTGCCGGTAAGATGCTATGAATTGTTGCTGTGTGATGTACATTTACAGGGCTCAAAATGAATTTGGGACATACATTAATTTTGTACCGTTGCCAGTTTTGTTGACTGGCCAAAGAATTGGCTTGGTCATGTCTCTCTTCTGACTGGTTGAATGCCTCAATTTTTTATTTAATAACTTTGTTTCGATTGGTTTCTTTTTTAGGGGCTATGGAAAACTGGGGACTGGTGACTTACAGGTGATCAGGAGTGTTCGTGTGATTTTTTTTTTCAAAATAAATTAATAATGTCAATAGCTGTTGCTCTACGTCCTAAAGTGGTACCCATTTTTCACTCTACAGCCCTTGAGGGAAAGCTAGTGAATGTATGTCACTATAAATTAATTTTGTTTCCTTTAGTTTCATTTTTTGTATATACAAATGGTGCCTTTCTTACTTCCTCTAAACAAAACTTTGTTTATTTCTTTAGAGAAACGGCCCTTCTTGTTGACCCTGAAAATTCATCGTCTGCTGCCAAACAATGGGTAGCATTGGTTGTTGGTGAGTCAGACTTTTTTAAATTTAATCATCTTTAAGTTGGAAGATTTTCTTTCATAAAGCTGAGCAACGAAAGTAGATATTCAATAGTTTGAAATGAATTAACAAGGGAAAAATGAAATTATCTGGAACAAAGTATCTGCAATATAATATTCATGTTGCCCAGTAGTGGCTAAAATTGAAGGGATTTTGTCTAGTAGTAATAACTATAACAACAACAAAAACTTCATTTGGATTGTACCCAACAGTACAGTTTTAACGTTTAACAAAGTAACTGTTCGTAATTTTATTGTTTACATAATTTAACCCATCAAATTTATTACTTACTTTGCTTTAGGTCATGAAATAGCCCACCAGTGGTTTGGAAATCTGGTAAGTTAGTCGAAGGGTGGGTTATTACAGTTGACTGGCATGCAGTTTCTGTTGTGGACAGATACTTGCATTTGTTATTGAGATGTTAAAATTGATCCATGTTGCATATTATGTACCTTCAACTGATGATAGTACACCTCACTTTGACTTTAATCCTTTAAGTCCCTTTATCAACATACAAATTCTCCACACTGATCTCCTTACATTTCTTAAAGATTTAATTGAGAGAATTTGATTAAAAGATCAAAGCATTTTATCTTTAGTGATCATTTTATTAATTCTCATGACCTTTTCTCTTGACTTTAAATCAATATTGTAAGGAGAAAATTGGTGTTGATCACTCTTGGGACTTAAATGGTTAAAGATGGCTATCACACAGACTGTTGAAATTTGTTAGTCAGTCACTACTGTCAACAACAGTCACTTTCCTATGGGCTACATGCACTTGGAAAATCATTTATGATCCTACCTACTAGAATTAATTTTGACATGATGCCTAGGCTCAAACCATAAACCAGTAAAGTTTATTGACTGTGTACAGGACAAAAAATGTGATCATTGTATGTATAGAGAAGAGAATTTTCCTATTTATTCACAAAAAGTCTTGTGAATTCTGCTTCACTTGAATAGTGTTATTGATATTCTTGCATCTCATTTGCTTTTCAGATAACCATGGTAAGAAATGCCATTGAACTTAAACTGCATCTTTTCTCTGCATTTGGCTTACGGCAAGTGAATCAAGAGAAGTGATAGTCACTGTAAACATATGGATGTCTGTTGGTTGTAGTGGACAAGTTTCTATTATTTTTTGTTTTCCCTGAAAATGTTTAATTGCCTGTTAGATTGTTACTCGATTCAGATGAATGGTACAAATTGTGTTAACCTAAGCAGTTACCGGTATTGTACTTTTCTAGAGTGGGTACATGTACATGTACTGTTTATTATGATGTACAAGGGGGTTCTGACTTTTGGGTCTCTGAATGAAATTCTTGAGTGTAACTATTCAATTGAAAGCTATTGAACAGTACTTTCCTGTGCAGGTACTGTTTATTATGCTGTACAAGTTGGTTATAACATATTACATTTGAGCAGCCTTTAAATAATACATGTACAATCCTCAAGTGTGACCATTCAAATAAAAGCTGCTTATAGTAGGACTTTCAATTCCCAAAGTACTTGGTTTTTTATAAACTTTTGACGCTTCAGTTAGTGACACGGTATAGGCTCAAACCATTACCTCCAGATCTGAACCCAGCAATTTTAGCCATGTAATCAAAGCACCATGCATCATCAATATAGAGGTAAACAGCTGATTTTGATTTTCAGGAATGGTGGACTCACTTATGGCTGAATGAGGGATTTGCTTCCTGGATAGAATATCTTTGCGTAGATCATTGTTTTCCTGAGTGGGACATTTGGACTCAGTTTGTGACATCTGATTATTCTAGAGCCTTGGATCTCGATGCTTTGGCCAACAGGTATATTATGGTAGAGAGAATTTCCAACAAAATAAAAAAAAAAATGTTTTTGCCTCTAATTCTTTTGTTTCTATTACAGATTGATCATAGATTGCTAGACTGTTGCATTATAGCAATAATTTTGAAACAATTTCCTCTGTGTGACAGTAAGGGCATACAGGGTGCATGTACATTTAAAGTAAATTGCAATCACTGTGCTGGGATCATTAAAAAATGTTCAACAAGCACAGAAAATTATTACTGGAAACAATGGATCTATCAGGTCCAGAGTGTGGCCATTTTTGTGGGTACCAAAGGAAGCCAAAAAAAATACATATAATATAATATTACCTTCAATACATTCAAGCCAGTTATGGAAACAGAAAAACTCTTACGTGATCATTCTTGCAAGATAGACTTCTGGGCCCAGTTGTTCGAAGGCCGATTAGCGCTTAACCCAGAGTTAAATTTAAATTTCTTTTGTTCAAAAGCATTTTTTCGGCTAATTTGCTCTGTTATTTTTAAGACATCCAATCATCAACTTGTTAACTAAAACAATCAAACTGAATTACTTTCTCAGCTTCCATTTCTGAATTCAAATTTCGCACCAGCCCTGGGTTATTTTAACCCAGCTTTGAACAACTCAGCCCTGAGTTCAATGCAGGCTAACTTTTAACTGCATTGCAGTTAACTTAATATTTTTATAAGTGTAGTTACAGTGACTTTCTCATATGTATCATTTAACTTGCCTTTTGTTGTTTTTGTTACATGTTTACTTCTCAAGTCATCCTATCGAGGTAAGAAACTAGACATAAAAAGATGTATTAATTAAGTCAATTTAGTCAATGTAATGGACCGTCGACCAGAAGATATATATGGCTACTGTAGTGCCCTTAGTGAAGGTTTGACTGTACTCCTAAATGTGAACTGTAGGGTTGTCTAAAGTTTTGCTTAATGTCTAATACTTTTTTCCCCAAAGAAATCAATTGCCAAGGCACTGTAGAGAGACACTTCCATGGTTTTTCATCTTTTGATGGGGAGCAGTTAGTAAAAATCTGTCAACATCACTGGAAAGTTGCCAAGTTTGAAAGTGATTTGTTGAAAACCAACAAAGATTTAGCTCCGGAAGGTCGCGGAAGTTTTAAGAGGTTTATATGGTGGACATGAACCTGCCCCCCCACCATACAAATGTTTCTGTTTTATTTCGCGACTTTGTGGAGCTGTATCTGACATTCTCTTTCAACACATCACCTTTAAACTTGGTAAGTTACCCTAGTTTAAGGTCCTCTTTCGAACACTGTCAAAGGATATTTGCTTACTGCTCTTTATTAATTAAAAGTTGAAAAAAAAAAACAACAACAACAACACAAAAGGGTCTAATTGTGGAGATGTTATTATAATTATATGACTTCTGGCATCTCAATTTTTGAATGTAGGTACCAGTGGGACATCCTGGTGAAATAGATGAGATCTTTGATGCTATTTCTTACAGCAAAGGAGCTTCTGTTATTAGGATGTTGCATGAATTTGTAGGAGAAAAGGTTTGTTCAGTGTACAGTTTTAGTCGCAAAGATTTATTCGGTAATGATGACTTTACTATTATGTTCAGGATTATAATTTTGATTCTCTATTTTAACAATGTAGTTTCTTCCTACTAAATAACAGGTGTATATAGCTGATTCAATGAAGATTCAGGGTTCTCATTAAGTGCTGACAGCGGGCTAAAAAACGGGATACTTAGAGGTTTTAGCCGTCTTCTTTTTGGGGAAAGAGTGAAAGCCTGAAATTGCCTACAGCACTCAGTTACCAAGCCGCCGACATTTACATCATAGCTGTCTACTTTAAAACTTAATTAGAACCCTGGAGATTGCGTTATGCACAGGAAAGCTTTTGTTTGGTCGTCACTCAAGTAAATAGTCGCAGTTAGTTTCATATGCCCAAATGCCCAATTACCAAAGCAAACTTTATTGAAATTATAGGTGTTGCTGCTTTTCAGTGATTTAGCTTTCTCACACCTGATTGGCTTTTTCATTGAAATGTGATAACCTTCCAAACATCATTCTTGTTAACAGTTTTCTGAGTTTGGCAGTAATACATGTACTGTGCTTGTCGTTATTTTGTAGGCGTTCAGAGAAGGACTTGCATACCATTTAGATAAATTCAAGTACAGCAATGCTACAACTGGTAATAATCTCTATGTTTTTGTTACTCTACTTATTTGCACGACTGTCCAGTTTGATTCCAGAAGTTGACTTTTACATTCTATTTTCTCTTTGCCCCACTTATGTTGCTTTTCTTGCCCTGTTTTCTCTTTTGCTGGGTATTCACTAAGGCTTCTTTTCGGTGGGAGAAGTTTTTGTGCATACTTTTAGGATTTATGAAATTAGTTTGAAGGTGCAGGTGGGTAGTGGAACAAGATTTTCAGGACAACTTTTCAGTTTGTCTTTTTCTTGTGTGTGTGTTTTTTTCTCTGGCCTGTTTGACTGAGTTGTTCTCAATCAGGCATGGTTAAGATCTTTTCCGCGTTTACAAGGTACATGTAGATGACAAAGGTATCTGTGGTGTTAAAACGGATGACATCACCAGCAGTACAAGACGTTGTTCTAATCGGGCACTTCAGTTGTGAATGGGTTCAAGGTCATTGCCATAAAACTTTGTTGAATTTTTTGCTTTGACTTTTTAGAGGACTTGTGGGCTAGCTTAGAACATGCCAGTTCTAAGCCGGTAGGTGCTGTCATGGAGACATGGACCAAACAGATGGGGTTCCCTGTGCTATCTGTCTCAGCAGAACAGGTGACGAATGTGTGACTATAAAGTTACATGTACTAGAATAATGTAGTTTTCGGTGTCTATTGTGACAACAGGCACACCGAGCCAGACATTTTGACACTGTGAAGAAAGAGTCAAAGTAGCGTACGTATGCGGCGCAATCGCTTGGGCAAGGAAATATTTGGCATAGGAGCTGCGACAACCTCGTCTACAGGGCTTTTCCCTTTAAAAATGGGAGGAGCGGCAAAAGGCCCTGACAGCGGCTGGTCACTTGTCTGGCGCAAATATTCCTGGGAATGTTGTTTTTGCAATGCGCTGTTTTTCCCGCCTATTCCATTTTCTAAGGGAAAAGCCCAGCAGACGAGGTTGGAGCTGCGAAGCCGTTCTTAGAATGGAATGCTTCTTACGGCCGGCGATGGCGCCGAGGATCGGCGCTTTGCAGCCAAAACTCTAGCACGCGCAAAAATAATTCCGCCTGCCGGCTATACTAGGCTAGAGTCGAAGTGACGGTGTTCATGCTTTGTTGCAGGATTTCAAATTTGTTTTTGCTTCTGTCATGATTTTTTCTGCTTGTAACCTTCCATGAATTGTTTTCAGTTATTTGTTTTCAAAGATATTTCTCCTTGGTTGGAAGCTTCATTCACACGATTCCCTAATAATCAACCCTAAATTTAGCGAAAAAATTTCAAAAAAAATACGCAAGAATATTAGGTAATTTTGTTTCTTGTTTGTTTCATAGAAAGCAGATTCTAGAGACGTCACCATCTCACAGGATAAATTCTTTGCTGATGGAGTTAGTCAAGGTAGTTAAGTCAATGGGTCGTTTTTAGTGAGCATGCGAGAAATTTTCTTCAGGGGGAAAGGGTGACTCTGTCAATTATGGTCATTCTTCAATCTCAGCAGTCAGTTCTTTCACGAATATCCAACTTTTACTGCAATTTTTGTCGGGTCCAATCCATTTAAAATTGTTTAAGTCCTACTGATGAGGTGACCGGTCGTTTCGCCTACTCGTCGTTTCGTTAACGTCCTGTTTGCGAACTTCTTAAGTCGTTTCGCTTACAAAACAAAACGGGCGCTATACGCGTTGAAACCTCGTACTTTCAGCCATTACATAAAAAAGTTAATGTGTACAGTCTGTATACCCCAGTCTTTAGGCTACTGATGGCAAAAGAAGTTGGAGAACTGACCTAAGACTTTCACGAAGAGGACGTAGGAGAAACGATCGTAAATCAACTGATTGTAACATATTGAGGGTAATGATAACTGGTTTGAGGTATGTTTCGTTTTTCCTGTTGGGGGAAATTAGGTTCTTATCACTGGCAAGTCCCCGTCAGTGTATCATCAAGTGCTAATCCCAAAGAGGCTATAGCAAGTACGTTACTGGATCAAAAATCCTGTACTCTGACTTTAAATGGAGTCAAACCGGATCAGTGGATTAAGGTGAGTCCTTATAGCGATCTTAAGAGAATTTCTCCTGATAATAAAACATTCAAGACAGACGAAAAGAGGAAGTGAAAAGCAAAGATCCAGAGAGGTTGTAAGGTTTTCGGTAGATTCTCATTACCGCTCTCCCACCAAGTGGCCACCAAACATGTCACACTTTTCATCTGTCATTCTCTGAATGGAACTGTTTACCTGACTTTACACAGTGTTACCTCAAGTCAGTCATTTAAATTTGCCTGATTCCTGAAGTTTCTAACATTATAAACTGACTAAAGAGCTGAGCTGATCATGTTCCAGTGCATATCCCCCCGCAAAGAAATAACAACAACAAGAATTAAAGAAAGTTTTTTTATATAACTCAAGCTAAAAAAGTACAAGACAACTTATTTTCTGCTTCTTCTTTTTTCCCAGTTAAACCCAGGTCAAGTTGGTTTTTATCGTGTGCAGTACTCATCCGCCATGTTGGAACTTCTTCTTCCGGCCATAAGAGATAACAGTCTTCCGCCAAGAGACAGATTAGGACTGCAGAGCGATCTCTTTGCTCTGGTAAAACATCAGCAATTTTTGCGTCTTTAGAATACCGTATTTACTTGATTCAATGAAATCCCGCGGCGCTTGTAAAATTTTCAGCGTTTCCGATGTCCGGCGAAATCCAAACTGAGATCAGATACCGTATTTCCTTATTTCATTGAATACGCATCGCGGCGCTTATTTAAAATTTCAGCGAAAAGGATGGTTGCCTACTGGGAGGAGGACTCATAATCGAGGGAAGCGCTTATTAAGTTCTCCTGTTGTTAGTCAAGCGCACCTTAATCCCATTATACAATTTACACAGAGTTATCAATAAAGTGGAAGTCGAAACAGATTTTCCTGGTATCCCTACTATTAAAGAAAGTGAAGGTGGAGGGGAGAGGCGGGGCGCTTATTCGAGGGGGCTTGTTTGATGTTTTGGCCTAGAGAAAGGGCGCTTATTTGGGGGTCCTGGGAGGGCGCTTGTTCGAGGAAATACGGTATCACAGAGTAGAAGACTCGTTTGGTAGCTCATGATTCGATGGTAATGAAATTAAACATCAACATGTGATGTATGCCCTGCAACTTTTCCGATTTGCCCGCTTTAAGTGGTCACGTGCTCAAACAAAAGTCCTATCCGGCAGAAGGGAAAAAGTATTACTATAGCAGGCATGAGTAGTGTGTGATGGACGATTTGAACATTATTTGAGGAGATTTCTTACGAAAATTGAACCCGCGTGGCACTAGCCCGCGTAGCAAGCGTTTCCGTTTGGTTTCAGAGCAAAGAAGGACAGACGAACGGGATTTTCGGTTTTGGCTGCGCGAGAAATGAAACGCTGTCTTTGACTGTCGTTCCTCGTTGTTTGCTCCGAAACCGCATGGAAACGCTTGCTACGCAGGCTAGCGTAGCACTCACCTAAAAGTAATATCGCTGTAAGAAATAACGGAGCGCGCGAGGGAAACACGCGAGATGAGTGAAGCGTTTCTGTTTCGTGCCCCATTCTTTCCTGTGCTCGCCCCGTACCACTTCCAAGCACTTGCTACGCGATGATAAAGGCTGTAGCTGATAAAAAAAACAAACAAACAAACAAAAAAAAAAAAACAACAACAACAACAAAAAATTAGCACATTCACGCGTGTTCCTTTTTGTTTTATTTTTATTTTGGTTTAGTGCCGTGCCGGGCTGGTATCAGGTCCTGATGTCCTCAAAGTTGTAGAAGCATTTAGTAAGGAGACAAACTTCACTGTGTGGAGTGATCTCATTAGTAACATGGGTGGTATTGGGGTGATTCTTCAATATTGTGACTGTTATCCTAACTTCAAAGCATTCTGTATTGAGCTGTTTCAACCAATTGGCGACAAGCTTGGATGGGATCCTGTTGAAGGAGAGGGTAGGTGCAGGAAAATCTTACATTTCAGTTTGTATGTAAAGAATTACAAAAGTGACCACAGAAAAATACTGCTGAGTAGCTTTAATTTGAATGGCCGCGCCTTAGGATTTTATTAGCCTCCCACGCAGACACTCTTAGGCCTTTGTCACGCGTTCCTTCCTATGGCGTGACGAGCCCAAAGAACGTCTGCGCGGGAAGCTAGGATTTCATCCACAGACTCAAAAGTTAGAACCATCTTGCAAGGCGTAATAGACAGTAACAGGGGAAAGTGCTGCTATGTAGCTCTCATTTAAATGGATATTTTGTAGTTCATTATTTTTTCTGAGGTAATTATTATTTTTCCTTTGTTTCAACTTCATTACCATACCCAAAAATAAAGAGGCAAAAATTACCTGAGATAAAAAAATGAACTACCACAGATACACCGTCAATTAAACACAGACTGAAACACTTAGGAACCACTTTGTACAGCATAACAAACAAGACCACAGGAAAGTACTGCTCAGTAGCTTTCATTTGAGTGGTCACACTTTAGGATTTTATCCCCAAACTGAATGGTTAGGACAACCCCGTGGAGCGAAACAGATAGTACCGCAGGAACGTATTGCTCAGTAGCCTTCTTGGTCACACACTTATGACTTATGGATTTCACAGGTGAGAGACTCAAAGATTGTAATGTCCTGTTATAGAATGAAAAGACAGAATAAAACGAAGCGGACGAGAGGACAACAAAAGTTTCCCCTTTACATCATTTATTAATATGTTAACAGACTGACTATTAGACTAACTCCCTGAACTAGTGAGTCGCATCTAAGCCACTGTGAATTAGCTGCAGTAATCCTGCATTAATTTGTTAAATCTGTCATTTGATTCGTTTATGATTGTGATATTTGTATTTCCCTTTAGGACATCTTGATGCTCTTCTTCGTGGTCTGGTAATCGGGCGTTTGGGAACCTACGGCCATGAGGCTACTGTAGCTGAGGCTCGCAAGAGATTTGAAGCCCATTGTAATGGTGAAGCCACGATTCCTGCAGACCTGAGATCAGCGGTTTACAGTACAGTTCTTAAGAATGGTGATGCTAGCTCACTGGAGGCCATGATGAAACTGTTCAAAAAAGCTGATTTACATGAAGAGAGAGTGCGACTAATGAGAACCATGGGAACTGTAACGCAACCTGAACTGATCAAGAAAGTCTTGGATTTCTCCTTGTCGGTGAGTGTGGTGAAAATTTGAATTCTGGACATAAAACAGGGGCGTTTCGCAGGGACAAAAATGTACAGCACGCACACGTTGACGTAGAGATATGCTATAGGGACAAGCAGCAGGGGCAAAGTCACGTGCAGTACACAAACAGGGACGTGTAGCAGGGACGCAATTACATGTAGCACACAGAGGGACATGTTACAGGGACAATTAGCTGGGACAAATCACGTGCAGCAGGCATTCAAGGACGGAAAAACCAAGAACAATTATCAGAAACCAAATCAGTACTCACACAGAGACATGAAACTGGGGCACGTAGCTGAGATTAAATTAAAGTTGTACACACTCGGGAACATGGGACGTGTAGCTAGTCTGTGCTTGATTTATTTATGAAATTATGTTGTTTGTCTAGTGTTAAGCCCACTTTCCTTGTAGGACGAAGTTCGTTCCCAGGACACTGTGTTTGTGATCGCGGGCGTCACCGGAAGGTCAGTGGTGTCTCTTCGTTATTATATTTTCAGGTTGATGTTGTCAGTGGTATTAAGCGGTTTTTTAGTTAAATAAAACAAATTTGCTTTTGTTTTTGTCAAGGTGTAAGGAAAAATGAAATGTTAATGCCATTACCTCAGCACTGTTGCGGTTACAGGCACCTATGGACTTATCCTAAGCTAATAGCCTCTACCATTCCATTCCAGTATCATTTATTAGAGAGCTTCAAATTGAAGGGTGAGGACGACTACGAGTACGAGTACGAGATTTGACTAAAAGTTTTTTCGCGTATTATCGAAAACTATTCCACCCGGAAAGCTTCATTGAAAAATTAGTGTAGTTATTTTTATTGGAGAAGGTTTAGCCCTTTCACGGTTGCAAAATGATTAAATTAAAATTTGATAACTTGTTCCCGCCACTACTATATTCTCGCTAAAACTCCTAGTAGAATAAAGACGACTATCACGTTTTCCCGCCACATTGACGTTGGTTCACGGAAGAGCACTACTTAGTACTTGATAAACGCTCGTCCTCGTCCTTGTCCCAGAATCTAAAGCTCTCTACCAGCAGTGAGTATAAAAGGGACTGAATTATCCGGGTTTTCTTGAAGTGAGATTCTAATCTTTCAAATCGCACTTTCTCAAGGCTATTGTATCTATTTAACAAATAGACTTCATGTTGCGTGCGTCCGTTCAGTAATAGATAACAGATGACGTCAAACATCAGTGATACACTGTGCCACTTCTTTGTTTTTACCACATTTTGACGTCATCTGTGATCTAGACGCAAGGCAACATGGAATCTATTTGTTAAATAGATCATGGGCGACTACCTATCACGGCGCGTACATTCACTTCATTGTATAATGCATAAGAAATACACAAAAGGCAAGGTAATTAGAATCCGGCGCATTTTATTAATGACATCAAGACAAAAGGCCATGACGTCATTTGCGTTAATGTGTTTCACTTCAAACTAATGAGATTCCACTTCAAAAATCAGATACTTCGGTCCCCATTGTACTGTTAAAGAAAAAGAACTATATTGTATGTCTATATACACAAATTCAAGTTTAAAAGTAATTTGACAGCTGTTTTTTCGTTCCTTTTGTCGTTGTTGTCACAATGCTCGACTCATTACTCGTTATTCGATGACTGATGTTAGATCCTCGATCTGCGCTAAAATCGGGTTTCAGGAATCGAAACCAAAGTTTATTTCAAGCTGTACACTGTCAATGTACATTTAAGCTGTACGGTTTGCCTTTCCTAACATCCTTTTTCTTTTAATCTATAATTTAGCGTGCAGGGACGTGAACTAGCGTGGAAATTTGTCCAGGACAACTGGGATGAGCTGTATAATCGCTATGAAGGCGGATTTTTATTGTCTCGACTAATCAAGGTACAGTATATCGACGCTTCCTGGCCCATTTTTTCGTTGGGAATTGAAAATTCAATTTGTCCCTTTCCACAAGAAAAATAAGGTCAACAAAATTCGCCAGCGCAAGTGAAAATCACGGTACGCGGGCACTGGCTAATTTCTCTCGCTCTAACATCCCTTCTTGCTTGTCTCCAGCACCGAGTCCCTACTCCCACTAAGCCTTGGGAAACTTGTGGAGGACTGAGCAGCTTTTAATATATTGCTGTGATAAGACGTCAAATGTGGGATATCAAAACAACAATTACAACTCGTCACCTCAAATCCATACGACCTCCTTTTGAAAATGACCAGCAAAGTTCTTGTTGGAAATCAATTGTTGTTGAAGGGAATTGTGCATTCAGTCGGAGTTGAACTTCGCTGGTGCCAAAAGCTATTGAAGTCTTCTACCCAAATTATTTCTCCCCTTCTTGTATAACTACTGTAACTTAAAAGAGTGTTCAAGTTTTGTCCTGTGAAATTATTTTTCATTTGCAGTCCACTACGGAAAACTTTGTCACAGAACAGTCCGCTAAAGATGTTGAGGTAAGGAAATTCTTAAAATTAACTTCTGACCATTTGCGTTTGAATTTTTCGGTACACATTTTAGAATTGCGGAATAGGACAATCCAATACGCTATCTTACACGACACTTTGTACTCGAAATGAGAAACCCTGTTGCTGAATAGTTTTCAACTGATGAATTTGACAGATCAGAGGTTTGCTTAAAGCTCATTTCTTTGCCGCAAATTTTTAGTAGATCCTCAAATTTCAATCGCACTTTCTTGTCTTCGTCAATTCATTTCCGAACTGGTTTCTCTTCCTAATTTTAATGTCGAAAGTAGTCAATTCAGTCTCGTCTGAATATTTTACTCCCGACTCCAGATCCAGCGTTTTCATTTTTAGGGTCTTTTCTTCCCCCACCCCGCCTCTTCCGCCGAGGCCCCCTTTGTGTCGAAGGGAAGCTGGGAAGAGGGGAAAATGAAAGCGGGGAACGATGGGAAGGGAAAAGAAAGCAAGAGAGACTCCCGCCTTTTTCCTCTTCCCATTGTTCACCGCGCGCTTGCTGGCATTTTTTACCAAAAAATTCTCCTAATCTTAACTCACTTATCCTTACAATTTTTTTCATCGCCTCAGTTATCCGTAACTTATTTGTAAATCCGGTAGCAAAAGGTTTTCTTTTTTTTACCAGGAATTTTTCTCCAAACGCTCCGTCCCTGCTGCAGAAAGGACCATTCAACAATCTTTGGAAAATATCCGCTTGAACTGCACGTGGCTATCACGTGAATCCAACAAGATCAGCACGTGGCTGAAGGAGAAAGGATATTAGGAAACTGCTGAGAATTTAATTTAGGCCTCTTTCTTTTCCGTTCCATTTTTTTGTTTAAAGAGAAAACACTTTAGGAACGTTAAATTAACTTTTGCGAAACAGATTGACTTAAAGTCGGTCATTAAAAATGCTCTCTAGGCGAATAACATGCAGTTTCTGTTCCCATATCCTATAAATGAAAACAAATCAACTTCTCGTTGTAGTTCATGTGATCTTTTCTAGCCTGCGATGCGACGTTTTTCTTTTCTTTCTTTGTTTTAAGAAGAGAGGGAAAAAGAACCTTCCCACGAAAGACATAACAAATATACAGGGAGGGCATGATCGCAGGCTAGATCTTTGCAAAAGATTTGTTCCTTTGACCTTTTAGAAATGAAGAGTGCACGCGAGCCCCGGGACGCGAACATTTTCCTCTCTCGGCGTTGTAAGTCCAGCTTTGCAATGCTAGTGTACTATCTTCATGCAGGATCGTTTATTAGTCATTTTAGAAAGCCCTTCATATTTTGAAAAACTTAAAGGACAAACAGAATAAACACAGTTTGAAATTCACCTCACCTTCATTCTTCAGAATATAGAGCAAGTATGGTAAACCACTTATTGTCAGTGGTTTCCTAACAAAATATTTCATGTCGCACACTTAGAGTCTATAATGAAGTCAAGTGATAACGTTTTGTCGCTGCTGAGCCTGCGAACTAAAAGTAGGACTTTTCAAAAGACTTCTCTGACACGACTTTTGCTTAGTTTTTCCAGGAGTGAGGGGTTTACTGAAAGATAAAGGGAACAACGTTTTTGTTAACTTATTCGCGCATGTATTTGTTCCCCATCATACATTGCTCCCTCGTGACTCCGAAGAGTTAAACCTAGTTCTGATTCTAACTCGTTAGAGAATAAAATGTCACTTGACTTATTAATCATATTTTGGCGTTTTGTGTTGTAATATTCTGTCGCCTCACTTTGGAAGGATGTCTGTAAAACCAAGAACAGGCCCGGAACACCCCCGCAAGATGAGGGTGCTCCGGGGTTTTCCAGTCTATCAAGGGGTGTTCCGGGCCTGTTCCTTGTTTTACAGACACCCACTGTGAATGTCTTGTAATCCTTCCCATAAATAACGCTTTATGTATTGAAATACAGTTTAACTCCATGTATGACAACTTCTCGTATGCGACCACCTATCTAACACGCTAAACTTTGAAAAAGAAAAGTGAAAGTGCCGTGAGACGCACGACCCTGAATGTTGGTCCGGCAGGGGTTAGAAACCGACGACACCCTAGCCTCCCACGCAGACGTTCTTAGGGGTTCGTCACGCTTGGGGCAGGAACTCGTGACAAAGCCCTCAGAACGTCTGCGTGGGAGGCTAACGACACCCTACCCAGCAGACCCGGGCGCTCTCCCAACTAAGCTAACCAGACCGCGTTAAAGTCACACTGACCACCCAGGTCTAGCTGACAGATTTAAATAAGGTCTTGAGCGTGTCCACACGTGTCCGCCCACATGTATACGGATATTATTGAAACCAGACTTTTTCTCAGTTATAGATAAAATTTCTGGCCGTTTCAGGACACTTCAATTTTCTCGAGGATCCCGAATCCCTTCTCGTACACACACCCTTACTGTTTCTGACTAGCTTTCCCCGCCAATCTCAACTTTGACACTGACACATTTAAGGTTTTCATTCAGTGACAAATAAAGAAGTTACAAACCCAAGAATCAATTACCTCCCCGCCCTAATGTTTCGGCACTCCTCAGAAATGCAGGTATGGGCCTTGGTATGTGGTCAGCAGTAAAAAAAAAAACCAACCAAAATCGTCGGGAAAATATCGATAAACCCGAGAAAATGTCGTCAAAAAAAATCGAGGAAAAAGTCCGGAAAACAGTCGACAAAAAGGAGATTTGCACGGCACTAATCGGGCTCCGTGCCTTTGCCACCCTGGTTTCTTAGTCCAGTCCATTCTCCGGTATCGTCACCAGACCAGTCACGCAACTGCAACCAGTGAATCTGAGAAGGACTGGAAGCAGGAGGAACTGTTCGTGGCCCCATGGTTGCACTGGCTCGTTTCTCAACATTTAACTTTCATTTTCGCGCTGTTATTAGTCCATTGAAAGTTGTAAGATCCAGGTCACTTAAATTTAGTCTCAGTTCTTGTGTACATATTATGTGTTCCACAAAGAAATTCTTCGAACGACTTCCAACCAACGTGGTTCCAAAGAACTATGCGCTTACTCTTCAACCAAATCTGACGGAATTCTCCTTTACTGGCAAAGAAGTAATAGAAATAGAGGTGAGTATTCGCATTTTCCAGTTTTTTCGACGCAAACGCATAGTTATTATATAGCTATAATTTTTTTAATGAATGGTAATTGAAAGGCGTTCTTATGATCAATGACAAATTTGTTAAATTAGCCACAGGCATCCCAACGTAGTAGCTTCAGACTGCTGAAAATGGAGAAACATTAAATTAACTTAACAAATTTTGTTAATTTATGTTTTCAAGGTTAAGGAAGAAACTGATAAAGTGATCATCAACTGCTTGGATATAACTGTCAAGTCAGCCTCTTTCAGTGCTGGAGATTCAAGTGAGTTTGTGTGTTTATATAAAGGTGGAATTTTCCACTGTCACGTAAATTTTTGGTGCATACACACATAAACTGCATGTGCATAAATAAAATACAGGTAATCTTTGTAGGGTCTTGTATAAATGTAAAAGTTGAATCTCTCAAAAGTTCAGAGAGATTCAACTTTTACATTTACACGCAGCCCTTCGTACATTACCTCTATTTCATTTATGCTTGTAAATTTCACTCGTGTATGCACGTAAAAATTACGTGACAGTGGAAATCTGCCTAAACTCTATTGGACCTGTTTACATGGAGGTGGGGGACTCCAGGTAAGGGAGATAACCTGCTTAGTGGGGTAAACTGCCTTCCCATAAAATCTCTTATATGGTCACCCCATCTATCATGTAAACGTGATCAAATTCAAATCCAGTTACCCCACCTAAGGTTAACATTCTGGATTTCAAGAATGGATGGAATGGATGATCGAATGAGGGCAAAAATCAAAACCCAAACAAAATCCATCGGGCTTCCAACAAAATGCAAAGAAATCCCTGGAGCAGAAATTAACCCCCTTAAAAATCCTATGCCAAAGTTCGAAGCCTTAAAAATCTCCAGAAAGCATGAAATTATTTAACATGAAAAACAAGGTTTTTAAAAGTAAGTTTGGTTGTACTTTGTTTGAAGAACTATGTAGCCTGGATATGCAGGCACTACGACTAATCTTCAAATTGTTTTGAATATCAAAAAAAAATCCCTACTAAAATCAAGCCACCCAAAAAATACTTGCCAAATTTCCTACCAAGAATCAAAAATTTCAAACCCAAAAAATCCTTTGATGATTCCCGTCACTTGAAATCTGGGGTACACCCTCTTGGACGAACACCCAGATCCTTTAGAGACACTTCAATAAGCGTGGAATTTCCGGAGTCATTCCTCGCCATCATTTCATGGGAAACCGATTGTGACATTGCCAACTGTAGGCTGTTCTCTCAGGGTAGTGCTCTATTTTTGTCTCTGTTTGAAAATAATGCCTTTTGTAGTTCCCAAGGAAAGCTTGCCTTGCAAATTGAAATTGTAAGTTAAGCATTTATATGACTTTGCTTACCAATTATCACTTTGATTCCATGTTTGTAAAATTGGTGTGATTTTAAAATGGAAGCTGAAGTACTTCACTACTACGTACTGGTACGTTGGATTATGTATTGAAATACCGTAAAATTCCGAAAATAAGCCCCGGGGCTTATATTTTTCAAAGGCCCTTTTTAAGGGGCTTATTTTTGGAGGGGCTTATATTCGGAGGGGCTTATCAACGGAGGGAAATTTGTGTTTCAAAATCGATTGTGCTATCCTTATAGTTGAAAGTAAATTTACCATTTTGGCTTTGTTTTACTTTGTATTTGAGGGCAATTTTCCAAGTACAAGCCCCGGCGGGGGCTTATATTTGGAAGGGTGATTTAACGGAGGGTTTTTTGCATTACCGGTTTGGGGGACTTACATTTGGAGGGGCTTATATATACGGAGGGGCTTATTTTCGGAATTTTACGGTATTATATGTGAATGGCTATAATTATTTTGCTTATGAATTTTTAGATTATCCTTCAACTGACATCACCTATAGCAGTTCAGATGAAACAGTCACCTTTGGATTTTCCTCTCCTCTTCCAAAAGGAAGAGGTTTACTGTCAATGGATTTCACTGGTCAACTAAATGACAAATTAAAAGGATTTTACAGAAGTAAATACACTGGGGAGGATGGCAGTGAGAAATTCTGTGCTGCAACACACTTTGAGGTACTTTGAAGACTAGAAGGTGACAGTGCTTAGGCAAAAGCATGATTTTGTCTTTCATTGTACTCCAGTCTATAAAACTATGCATTTGTGGTATATATTAATACAATGGCTTTGAGTAACAAACCACATGTACCCAAGCAAGGACATTACAAGAGGAGAAGAGTGCAGTATATACTGTATATAGTACATGTAGAACTAATTATTGTCCTTTGACAAAATTGTCTTTTCTCTACTGTAGCTCTACAATGTATTTAATTCATATACACACACATCAAAGTCTGATAAGTTAGTATTGAGTAAGGTACAGGAAAAGTGCCTTTTTGAACAGGATTTTGGGTGATTTATTCCAAACAGAAAGAGGGCAATCATTCCAATAGTATTTTCCAATGACAGTAAGGTAGAACTTTTGTATAATAGTTCTTGAGTGGGGAAAATGGAGTGTGTAATTGCTGAGCAGATGCACCTCTATGCATTAACTGGCTGGGTGACTCTAGAGCGACTCTAACTGGTGAAAGGGATTCATTGCAGTGGCCCAAACTGGTCAGAATTTTCTTCTCTGAGAACCTTTTTAGTACACGCAACCACATGCAATAGCCTGTGTCAAGTGCCTGTGTAGTAGGGAGTGGCCGAAGTATTTAAATATCATTTATGTTAATTGGTAACTTGCACAGCTGTCTGGTTACTATACCTTTTATACCTTGACATAATGCCAAAATTGTGTTTTACCCTGTTCCAAGTGTTCAGATAGTGGGAAGTGACACACAATAAACAACGCAAGGACAAACATAAAGAAAGCAGATGGTGCATTTTCATTTTTTCCCTATGCTCTTTAAAAGAGCACTTGGAACAGGGTAAAACACCATTTTGGCATTATGTCAAGGTATAAAAGGTATAGTAACCAGACAGCTGTGCAAGTTACCAATTAACATAAATTATATTAATTGTTTTTTTTTTTAGGAAAATGACTTTTAAATTGAGGAAATTAATTGGAAAGAGAGGGTAACATTTCAAAATGTAGGAAATTGATGCAAGGTTCACAAAGAAACGAAACTTGTTGAGACAACAGAAACAAAGTTAAACGTATAATCTGAAATGGAAACTTTGTTTCTGGAACCTTCCCTAAACATATGATGGGAGTCGTCAAGAGGAGAAATCTGACCAGTTTGAGTTGCAGAACCTAACATTTAAGAAATTAACACAATTTATTAACTGAAGTTATTTTAATTCAATTCCATGATCAGCGTTCATTTCCTATAATAAGGTCTTTTTAAGAGTAAAGTCTCTCTTTGTTTGTCAATTACAGCCAACAGGTGCACGCCAAGCCTTCCCCTGCTGGGATGAACCAGCTCTTCGCAGCACTTTTGACATCACTTTGATTGTGCCGACAGACAGAGTTGCATTGTCAAACATGGTAATTTTGTTTTAACTAATATTTATTCGGTTGCAATGTTAGAGTAAAAAATCATAGCTCTGAGAAGTTAAAGGTGATTACATAAAGCGTTTCAGTTTTTGTTTTATGCGATAACCAACTATCAATGTCGCCTGAAATTCATCCGATTTCTTCGAGTCGTTTTCTCCTCTCAACTGAGGGAGTAATAACGACTCGAAGTAATCGGATGAAATTCATGCTACTATCAATGTAAGACAATTTAAGTACAGTATAGTACAGTACAGTTAAAATCCTCCAGACCGTTGTTTGATTTGCGCGCGCCGTTGTCAACTGACGATCCCGTTCTGTTGCTAAATCAGCCTAATAGATCATAGACAACGGCCAATCACAGCGTGCATAATATCCAATACATTATATAATTTTATTTTCAGAATGTAATAGAAGAAACAAGTCACCCTAATGATGGTTCCCTTAAGGTGGTCAAGTTTGCCAAGTCACCCAGTATGTCTACCTATCTGGTGGCGTTTGTTGTTGGAGAGTTTGATTTTGTTGAAGGAAAAGATGTTGATGGCGTACCCATCAGAGTTTACACACCAATGAAGAAAGCTGTGCAGGGGCAATTTGCTTTGGAGGTTGATGTTGTTTTTTATATTTTGAGTTATTTTCCTTCATTTCTTTACAATTCTTTTTAACCCTTTCGTCTCGTAACCGCCCGCGCGGATTCACGTCCCTTCTGCCGCTCGTGACGTGATCAGTTTTAACGGTCAAGGACAACTTTGTCAGTTAACTTGTGTAGGGTGAAGAGATCTTTGAAACCATGCTAGAATGAGCACGATTCGGTATAGGAGGTCGGAGAAAAAAGCCGGAAAAAAAGTGCCAAATCGTGTGAAAAAAATTGGGAAAAGACGAGTTTAGTTTTTTGTTTAAAAGTGCGTAAAAGAGCTGAAAAAGGAAATGAAAGGATAATATCGCTCCCTCCTTTCCTTCTCAGGTTCAGTAACACTTAGACAGAGTTTAGTACTTATGTACATGTATGTAATTAGGTTGCTGAAGGTGATTGAGGTTTCGTTTGGATCATGCATGTGGACACTGAAGCCGGTGCTTCATCCCCAGTCTCTACATGTTAATGGGGCATTATCGAACTTACCATCTTATTTATTTATTTGTTTACTTAAGTTTCTTTGTTGTTTTCTTTTGTTTTGTTTAATAGGTTGCAAAGAAGTGCTTACCTTTTTATAAAGAATACTTCGATATTGCGTATGAACTGCCTAAGCTTGACCTGATTGCAATTCAAGACTTTCCTATAGGTTTGTTGTATCTAAAAAAAATTGGTGAAAAACAATGGAATCTTACTCTCACTGGCGTGCGAGCTCGCTCACCTGTGCGAGTACGGGGAAACGTTTTGCGGTGGAGCCGACGACGCGTGGGGAAAAAGTGTCACTTTTCCCCGCGCGTTCGCCGCTCCGCCGCCAACATTTTTCCCGAAATCGCACAAGTGAGATTTCTCTCAAGCTATACTTTTACTCGTGACTATTTAGTTAGGCTCTGTTCTTGCCAAAGCGTTTTAGGAAACCTTCATTTACGTGTCAATACATAAGCCAATTGGAATTCCCCCGGACAACCGGGACATAGCGGGGAGTTATCTCTATCAAAGCCGGGATTTAGCCACCATTTAGAGGCGCTTAGGCCCCGGTGAAGGAGGGAAAGGGGATTAACAAAGTGTGTTTGGTTCGTGCCCGGGTTCTTGAGCGGTGATTTAACAGCACACGTTCGTCACCGGACGTCGAGGCTTCATTACAGGATGGCGTTTAATTTAAGATAATTTAGGAATACATAGTGCACGGCCTCTACGAGCAGCACATGATAAATATGCTTGCAAATTTTCAAAGAGTTGAATGAAAAATTCAGCATTTGCAGGATAACACAATCAATCAGTCGAAAATCAAAATGGTTCGATAATTTCAACAACCATGTGTTTTCTTTTGTTTTAATTGAAATAGCAACTGTATGTACATAGGCCTTTAAAGCACTGAGTTGACTAATTGCTCACTACTAGTTCTATAATTTGATATAACTTTACAGGAGCTATGGAAAACTGGGGCTTAGTGACGTACAGGTAAATTTGAGTCCATCTTGTAGCAGTTTGGTAAGATAGGCCCGCGTTCGGTCGCTGCTGGACCAAAACTCAGGGTCTTGAAATATTTGAGGAGAAAGTGCATGATGCCTTTCTTTTACATCTGCTTATACTTAAATAAACTTTAAACCTTAAACCTCGATGGGGTTTCTAGAAAGTATCAGGATCGTAAAAAATTTCTAGCCCGCAAAGCAGACGTATTTTGAGTACGAACGATGATACTAATATTCTCCCGCCATCTTGGTCGTTGAAACTGACAGAGAGTTGGGGCGAATCAAAAAACGATTCCAAGGGAGAGGTTGAGGGGTCTCTTTTAAGATGGTGGCCGCGATCACTTCGTTAAAAAGAAAACACGCCTGTTCTGCAGTAGCTAGGCTAAAAAATCTCTGGCAGTGAGCACCCCTAGTCTGCTGCCCTTGGTCTTGGGTGAGTGCCGGTAATCTGAATTTGGGGATAATATGATAGGGGCAACCTCTTGATCCCCTTAGGGGAGTTTAAATGATGCCTTGATAGTTAACAGAGTACCAATATTAATGTAAGTGGCAGAGCTACCCCGTCCGTAGAGCCCTTGACTACAATGCGGGAGGTCGTTGGTTCGATCCCCGGGGCCGGACCAGGGGCCCGTTTCTCGAAAGTCCCGGTAACTTTTCGGACCCGAAATCAAATTTTCAAATCGAAATATAAAGAATAAGAGCGCTGATCCTGGCTAGCAGACTACTCCATTTTGTTTCACTAACTGATAGTTTTATCATGCTAGATGCAAAACTATTGATACCGCGATCTTTAATGTAAACGGAGACAGCTTACCGGGCCCGTTAATTATCGGGACTTTCGAGAAACGGGCCCCAGTACTTAGGGTTTTGAAATAACTGACGAAAGAAGGTACTGCCTTTCACCTGCAAACAGCTAGACCTTCGTGTGACTCGGATGACCACGTAGAATGGCGGTGCCATCTCCGTTAGAATGCGTAAAAATAGTGTTCGCAATTAGTACTTTCGTGCTAAATACATGTACATCGACATTTTCCCTTTGGTTTGACGCAATACAGTGATTTTAAGGAAATTGCTGACTCTGCAAGCGTCAACTTTTATTTCTGTGTGATTTTTAACTGTGGTAAAATGTGAGAAAGTTTATCAGACTCACTGCTAATCTAAATGACCTTTTCTTTGTTGTTATTCCATAAAAGGGAAACGTGCTTGTTGATCGATTCAAAGAATTCCTCATCGGCAGCAAGACAGCGTGTGGCCATAGTTGTCGGTGAGTGAATCTCTTTTATAAGAAAAGTGTACGAACGGGATTTACAACAGCAATGTAGCAAGCTAGCATATTCAACAACAACAAGAACAAAACTTTATTTCAAGAGTTTAACTTAAGAAATTACCCTGACCCACAGGTAGCAACCGCTAACCTAGGCTGGACAGACGAACAACTAAGGGATAACTGTTCATAAACACTGAGTTAAGGAAACAATAACTTTAAAAGTTTCAGAGAAAAATCAGTTCAGTCGTTAAGGACTTAATTATTCAGCCAGTCCAACATTTTGTATAATCAAAACCGGATACGCGTTTCTATTTAGTCATTTTCTTACACCTAAATATCCAGGAGAATTCGGCGAATTTCTATTCTTTAACAAGCTACACGGTATCTCATTCCGCAGTTGTACGCCAAATCTGGAAAAAAAACTGAACGCTTTAGTATCTCAAGCTTAGTGCTACAGGAGAGAGTATTTAGAGTCAAGTTTAAGGCAAACGGCTGATTCAAGTTGAGAAATTCTCAAAATAGAACATGAGCAGATAAAAACAGCTCAAAACAATTCTTAGGGATAGAATTGGCAAGAATCTACCGATTTCCGTGGGACCATAATGAATAGTAAACGACAAGCAAAGGAACAACTTGGTCACGTGGTACAAACTCACATTTGTCGTTTGCCCGTTTATCACACTTTCTGGTACATTTCTTTGCCGTGACAGCGCGGCTACAGAGTGAGACTTTTGAAGCGACGTTTCATAGAGGACGGATCGAAATGCGCAACGACAAATTTTTCTTCCTCTTTCTGAACTTGGACATGGTTTCCAAGAGTTAATTTCCGGGCATGTCATGAATTCTTGGAGCGAATTAATTCCGATGAAATGTAAAAGAACGCGCACGTTTGTAGATATATACAAGTCTCTGATGCAAGCTTACTTATTTACGGGTTTGCCCAGGCGAGAGCGATTGTAAACGGCTATAAACTTGGTGCCCTTAGTGGAATTAAAAGTTCACAAGCGACATAAGTTTTGGCATTTTTGTTTGTTTTTAGGTCACGAACTTGCTCACATGTGGTTTGGAAATTTGGTAAATATTTTCTCCATTTCTCCCTATTAATCCATTGCATTTTTATGTTTACAAAACTGAAAAAAGGCTATTTCATCTACCTGATGATAGCCCAAGACTCTGTTTCATAACGAGGGTGAACGAGGGTAAGAGCTTGCCTAGTCCTTAGGCCTCATTATTGCGCGCGGCCGATGCGTTTCGAGTCACGTGGTCCGATCGAGTCGGCGTTTTTCTCGGATACGTCACCGAAATGCATTGACCGAGAAGGCCTGGGGAGACGCCGTACAGGGACAAGGCAAGGTGAGAGCGAAACCCTTGATATGAAAATGAATTTTTATTCACATGCAAGTAAAACTCACTTTCAGAAGAAATAGCTTTGAACTTTGCCTAATTTTGTAAATATTTTTTCCTTTTTTTTAATGAAATAAATGATCAGTTTAGCTGCAGAATAATTTTTAGTTACTGGTACCTTGACTGGTTTTCACTGACCGAATGGAAGAAAATAGAAATTAAACCAAAGACTTTTAATGAAGAGACAATAGTTTTAGTGTTTTCTGACTTTCTGTTTTTTTTTATCTTTCCATTCACCTAGGTGACCATGGTAAGTTCAAATGCTTTAGATTCCAAATGCTGCTTCAAGTTTTTATATACTCTTTAATTGTCTTAATGAACCGTTTAAAGACTAACGTGAGTGATGTACTAGCAAGTTGGCAAGTAACCAAACGCGCTGACTAAAGAATGAAGAAATTCAGTACTGAACGGGGTGTAGCCTAGTACAGTGCGAATAGATAATCATGATTAGTCCACAGTTATTAAGTCCATATACTGGCAAAAAATCACGAACGAGACGTTGCAAACACTTTTAATATTAGTCGGAATGAATACGTTGGTTTTCTTTTTCGGCCACTCGATTATTTCTTTAAATCATGAGAAAAGAAAAAGAGTGAACAGAAAGAAAAGCAAAGAAAAATCGGGCTTGAACGAGATTCGTACCCACGACTCTGCGATCGTACCAGTTTTATCCACGCTAATGTAAACTATTTTGATCCTGTTATCCAGGAATGGTGGACACATTTATGGCTGAAGGAAGGGTTTGCGTCATTCATGGAGTACCTAATTGTTGATCATTGTTTTCCGGAGTTTGATGTGTGGACGCAGTTTGTTAGTGAAGATTTTGCGCACTCCCTGAAACTTGACGCTCTACGTAACAGGTGTTATTTCCGGATGAGTACAGGATTGTCGGTCACCGACCCCTCCCCTAATCCAACGTTGGACTAGGGGAGTGGTGGGTGGGCAGGTTTCAATATGCTGGGGAGCTACCCACCTACCCCTCCCCTAACCCAACGTTAACACTGACCTCTCACTTTGGGCAAAATGTTGGGTTAGGGGGATCGAACCCCAGCTTCTTTTACTGATGCTTACTTCTTTGTGAAAGTGTTTGTTAGAAGGTAAATACTGCTTTTAACTCGATGTCACCAGGCCCAAGCTGTTCAAGAGCTGGATAGCACTATCCGCTGGATAAATCTCTGTCCTGTGGAAATCCGCTGAATTGTGTTTTATCCGGTGAGTAGCCCGCTATCCAGCTTTTGAGCAATCGGGGCCAGAAGAGCCTAAATACTAAAGAAACACCCAAAATATGCTATACAACCTGGAATTTAAAAAGCAAACAAATGTGATAATGTTTTTAAATCATTGCTCACTTTGTGTATCAACAGGCGGCAAGTTGCACTAATAATATGATTTTTTTCTTTTCTTTAATGAAACAATATCTGCCATACTCAAGTCATCCCATAGAGGTAAATAATCGCTTTGTGGGTAAAATCCCATTACTAAATTTAACGTTGCACGTGCATCACACTTTTGGTACATATCCTCACTGTCTTTGGCACCAATTCGACGTGAAATGCTGTAATTTTACTTTTGTTGTAGACGTTAAAACACGAAGATAAAGTTTGTTTTTTATCTTTCTAAACATGATTACTTCGCCTTTGACCCACGTTGCATTATGACCTACAAGTCGCCACTTTGGAAACGATAAGGGACCTGGAATCGAAATGCGTTCGGCAATTGGTTCTGGGATGGTTACCGTGGAGACGCGCCGGTCAGCTATTGGCCAATTTTTTCCCTGTCCAAAGTAACAGTTCCAGAAGTGTTTGCGAAAGTTAACTAGTGCTACTTTCCTTCTCTTTTCTAAAGTGGCAACTTGACTGAATGAGTAGGACTTACGGCGACGGTTTTCAAAACAGCGCGAATTCATTATATGACCGTCCCCGTTTGCGTTGTTAAAAAATTCTCTTTGATTTTGGCGGCTGCGGTGGTGATGGTGATGGTTATACGCTGTCGGCACAATCCATGCCATGTCCTAGCTCCAACCCCTCGACCACCAACACATGTTTTTCATGAATTCAACGCATTGACCTATGATGTAACCCTATGTTTTATTCCTGTGCATGTTAACGAGACCGCTAACGGAGAATAAGGAGAATTTCAGTTGGTACTCACTGTACGACTAATAATCAATAGTTGGACCAGGTCGCATAAGATACAAAATAGCATGACTTGTCAGTGACGAGGAGAATAATTATTTGCTGATTTCGATAGTTATCGACGGATGGTGTCGCGGCCAATCGAAACCGTTCGGAAAAAAATTGAATGATTAAATGTGGCATCAAAGTAACAAGAAACATTATTTTTTATAGGTTCCAGTTGGTCATCCCGGAGAAATTGACGAGATATTTGATGCCATTTCTTATTGCAAAGGATCCTCAGTTATCAGGATGTTACATCAGTATGTTGGAGATGAAGTGAGCTGCCTTGTTTGTGTTGTTTCATAAAGCGTTTTCACGTGACGTCACGGCGGCCATGTTGGTGTTCCAAACCATTTCTGTTAAAGTGGAACGCTTTTCTTATGTAAACGCTTTCTTTTGTTCCAATAAATTTGCATAGATGCTGGCCACGTGAGTGAAAACGCTCTATAGCTTGTTTCCTTACAAGCAAACCCAGCCTAGTCCCTAAGCGTTCTCAGCTCGGTCAATCCTGGACTTTACCGTCAGCTGCGACGTCACCGAGAGACACTCACCCACCCTTTCCCAGACTTACCGCGGAGAGAGAACACCTAAGGACTAGGCTATAGAAAGCCCACATTATATGTGACCTTTTGATTTACGAGCTATTGCAGGTGACCATGTTATCTTTTGATCAAGTAAAGCGAATATAGAGACTTTTACTTATCTGGCCAGCAGCTTTCCCAATTTACTGTAACAAACAAAAAGTTTTTGAGTTGTTGAGAACAAGGTTCAACTCTTACAGGATTTATTTTGGACACCAACATGGCCGCTGTTTCATTGTTAAGAACACCAACATAGCAGATGTGACGTTATGTGAAAACACTCTAAAGCAGGCTTTTATAACTTAAGACTTTTTACCCCCGCGTGAGCGGAAAGTCGGCACTAAAAACTATCCGGCGTAGTGAAGACATAGCCTAGGAGGTCAAAAGCGTTGTACCAGGTGTAACACGAAAGGCACTTTGCTTATTCAATAAGGTGCAAGCTACAATGAGGGACAATGGCCCCTTTTTGAACAGTGGACATACCTATCCCCTCCCCCTGTGTACCCCCACCCCTCCCCCAAAATCAATGTTGTATTTTGGACCCTCAAGTCTTTCTTTTACCACAAGAAACATTGATTTGGGGGTGGGGGATTTACGTCATTTAAATAGAATGAAATAAATGGATGAAATAGCTGATAAAAGCACTCGTTATAGACAGGTGTGTTTCACTTTGTCCCTGATTGTAGGTTCAAGGTATTTTGGAGTTACTTATGTAGATATTCTCTCTTTAAGGCTTTCAGGAAAGGACTCAATCATTACCTAAAACGATTTGAATACAGTGCTGCGTCAACAGGTAACGTCATTTGCGTGACATGTTTAAGGCCCAACTACAACAGAAACTAGGGACTTTAAGATCCAAAACGCGACCGCAACGACAACGAGAACGTTAAAAAACAATAAGTTTAATAAGCCGAACAACAACTCTGCACGTTTCTTTGCCGTTTTTCCACTACTACGACGTGAAAATGCCTAATTTCGCGTTTGATGGAGACAGTAAACAACGACGAAATTTCCTCTTTCTGAACTTCGATATGCGCCATTGGTTGGCCTACATTTGACAAAGTAAGCGGGTAGGAATAATCTCTTTAAAGCTACGTACAACAATGTTGGGAGTTGTTGCGTCTGTTTGCACGTAGCTGAAAGTTTGACCGGTTTCAAACTATGCGCAACAACTCCCAGCAACACGCTACAACGTGTAAAAACACGCAACAGGTTGTGCAAATGGACGCAAAACTGTTGGGAGTTGTTGGCCAACAATAGCGTCCGTTTGCACGTAACCTAAAGACTAAGGGCCTGTTTGCATGGAGGTGGGGGACCTCAGGTAGGCGAGGTAACCCGCTTTGGTAGGGTAATCCGCCTGTCCATATAATGTTTCATATTAATTTGATCACGTTCACATGATAGGCGGGGTGACCATATAAGAGATTATATGGAAAGGCGGGTTACCCCATCTAAGCGTTTTACCTAACCTACCTGGGGTCCCCCACCTCGATGAAAAGAGGCCCTAAAAGAACGCCAATTCACTTTTTAAGCAACGTTCTCATTGCCGTCGCGTCATTGGATCTTAACCCTATTAGCTTAAGAGGGCAGTCTCGTTGTTTTTAGGAGTGGGGGGTGGGGGGCAAATAAAATTGAATGGAGAATGATAGAAATAAGGGCAGAAAAAAGGTATACAGCACATAAATCAGTTAGTCCCGTTAGAGCGAGCTTACTTCTCTCGTGAAACAGGCAATAACAACTAGAGTAAAATGGCTACAAATAATCAAAAGAAGACAATAGAATTAGTGCATAATAGTCAGTGGTATTGTACTACCTATTTCAGGGGTTAAGTAAAAGCACTCTAATGCTATCTTGTTGTGGTGGTTGATTATCTTGTATTTGTCTGCTAATTATTCCCGTCATATTTTAATTTTAAACGACCCCAAGTTTTATGAAAATTCCAAGTTGGTATACCGCCCCACTTATTTTAGTTAATTAAAAAAAGGGATTAAAAAAAAACCATTCACAAAATTATCAAACGTTTATTGACCCAATGACCTCGACCCTATAAGCCTTTTTTGATTGAATAAACTATTGGCTAGATTTTGAAGAAAAAGGGCAGAAATAATCGAAATCTAAGGCTGTAGACCAGAATCCCTCCCTAATTAGCGGTTGTGTACGGTTGCCTCGTGTTATGTACACGGGTACCAATGCAGGACGACAACTTAGCGTTCCTATTTTTTGTTCTTTTCAAGGTGATCTGTGGACTTGCTTAGAACATGCTAGTTCTAAGCCTGTGGGTGCTGTCATGGAAACATGGACCGAACAGATGGGGTTCCCTGTGCTATCCGTCTCAGCAGAACAAGTAGAGAACTTACTTGAAGTTTACTTAAGTTTGTATTGCGTTTTCATCAGCAGAGATGAAGTTAAACATTTTATGATGCCTGGCGCAGTTACCTTTTAGAGATAGGAATTATGGATTATTTCACGTGTGTGAGCCATTCTCGCGGCCTTGCCGCGATAAACGTGCGCCAAAGGCACAAAGCGTCTCATCCCCATTCTTTGCACGGCTTCGCAGCACCTCTGCTAAAACTTTGCACGTGTTAAGTAACGATCCTGCCGGCTACCAGGCCATTTAGAGATTTCTAGGGAATTAAAGTCTCGTTACGGTGGGCACTAATTGTTCCCTTTTTATTCAACTTTTGAGCGCATTCGTGCTCGATACTGAATACTTGTAGTAGTTTATAACCCTATACAAGCCGTGCCCTTATTAAACCCTACAGTGAGTAACATGTATTTCAATTAATACGTATTTTGCAGAAAGAGAATGCGACTCAAATTACTATATCACAGAGAAAGTTTTCCGCTGATGGAGCAAGAGAAGGTATACTTCATATCAACAAACTAAAATTCCCTCCAGGCAGGGCACCAATATTGCGTCTCCTTACCAAGGTGTTTGTAAAAATTTGTTCAACATTTGTCTTAACGTCTCACGCATGAATAACTGCTAAACCTGGTTCTTGCTGGGGCTAGATGCGTAGTAATCCTCTGCATGACGTGTCTTATAACCCTAATTTCTACGTGTATCTGTTTTGTTTTAAAGCATGAGATAATCGATTTTTCTGCGGAATAGCCTCCCGACCCACCCATAAAGCATTCATCAAAAACGCGTCTTTTCATAATCATCTTCAGAGTACAAATTTGATAAACGCCGAGAAAACAAGGACAAAAACAGTATCTGATCTTACACGGCATAACAATTTATTTTGGCCATATTTTTGGGAATAATTAGCAACTTTCACCTGAGTTATTGTTTTATAGAGGGTAAATGCACATTCAAGATTATTATGTCAAAAGACGACTTAACCTTACACTAGGGCGACTTCAAAGGCCATTGTCCAAAGTCGAAACAACAAACAGAGGTAAACATACAAGACCTTGGAAGTCTTTTGAATGCTTCGAGTTTAATCCGTGGGCGGACAGGAAAAACGCTTAAATGTGGACGTAATTTCTGTTTTCTTTACTGGAGGAAAATTATCCGTAATCAAATAAAAACGAATAAATAAGGACGCAGCCTTATATTCTTGAGTATTAAACCAACACTAATCGAAATTTACTACAAAACTAAATGTTGTACTTTTATTTTCGTAACTCATTACTAACCGAATCCCCGCTATGTACAACTTTTTGGAAGCTAAAGCACGATGGAAGGTACCAATTGCTGTGTCCACCAGCGACAATCCCACTGAGCCCGCAGCTGAAACGCTGTTAGAAGAAGATTCTTGCATCTTAGCGGTCAGCGGAATTGGCCAAGGCCAGTGGATTAAGGTACAATAACGTGACTAATGATGAGCCCGTTTTGTTTGTGTGTAATTTTGTCTGAAGCTGCCGGCTTTCATAGAGAAGAATTACAATCGCGCCAAGGTATGTTGTTAAGTTTTCAACTTCTTTTGGACATACTAAAGTTTTCTACACTATACTGCACTTTCATTGAACAATAAGCGGATCATATAATTATAACTGCTTAAGTGCAACGAGATAGGTTATACCAAGTGTGCTGCTGAAGCTGCAAACAGTGCAATTTCCCCACCCATCATCCCACGATTTATTGTTTAAGCTGCGACCCTTCTCGCATCGCATCGCCGAAGTTCTCGGTGCGATAGCAAATTGTTGCAGTCTATAGCTTAGCCGGATTATTATTTGTGGCACTCTCTCAAATTATTAACGTAGGAGGCGTCTCTAATAGGTCATTTGCACGTCATTTTACTACAACGATCAGGATCCTTTTCGTTTTTTCGTTCACATTTTAATTTAGCAAGCCCAGTAAGGTTTAGATAAGGACAGCAAAACCCTGAAGGATTCTGGTCTTAGTAGTAATACGACGTCATCGTTGAAGTGGCCTATAGGCAGGCAGCTTGGTCTACGGCAGATAATGAACTGATTCTGACCAATCATAGCTTGCACATTTGATCGTCATTTCGTAACCCTGTTAATTTTTTATATTTGTTGGTGATTGTGTCGCAGCTCAACCCAGGTCAAGTTGGTTTTTATCGAGTGCAGTACTCCTCCGCCATGTTGGAACGTCTTCTTCCGGCCATCAGAGACAACAGTCTCCCTCCGAGAGACAGATTAGGACTGCAGAGTGATCTCTTTGCTCTGGTAAACAAAAAAACTCAGCTTGATTTTTCTTCCTTGAGCAGGCATTAGCGAATTTAAGGTTATGTTCACACCTTACCAGAAAGCTTTTGAGTCGGCACGGAAATCATACGGGGCAGGGTTTCTGTTCACACACATTTTTGTATCGGAGCGAATAATCGAATAAATACGGCAATTCGCCGCCGTTGGCGTCGTGGTATCTTAAACTACCTCTTATACGTTGAGGCCATCTCCTCTGTTCTTGGTTTGCAACCACGTGACAAGGCGGCTATTTAGGAGGTCAAAACAATAGATTTTTTTCTGGGCAAATTTACTTTAAAATAGAGTTAAGTTCGCAGAGGAGAGAAATGTGACGTCACGTGCAAACCAGCAATTGGGGGAATTGGCGGTAGTTTCTCGGTGTTAAGGATGATCCAATCACCAAATGGCGTAATGCAAATTGTTGAAGAGACACTGAACAATTCTCATATCACAAAACAGTGGCTATTATTTCCGCAACACTACGAAACATGCTTTGACTCAAATGTATTTTATCTGCTGTAAGTAAAACGGTTGTACACTAAAAGGGCTTGAAATGTAGCAAGAAAGAATAAGAATGTTTCCTGGCAGACGAAATAGAACACAAACTGTATTTGCAAGCTCGATTATGTTCAGAGACAGTTTCAGTGTTGTGTTAATTCTTTCTTCTTTATAATTTAGGCAGAAGCTGGTCTTGCTTCCACTACGGAATTCCTTAAAGTGGCTGAACAATTCACAAACGAGACAAATTACACAGTATGGAATGATCTGACAGCAAACTTTAACAAGCTAGACATAGTACTGCAGAACACTGGATTCTACTCTAGTTTTCAGGCCTTCCGTGTGAAGCTTTATGAGAAAATCGCAAATAAACTCGGATGGGAACCAAAAGAAGGCGAAGGTAGGAGCAGTTCGCCAGTTTTCATTGATATCTGAAATACAACAACGCTTTCATTAGTATGCAAAATTTCGTTAATACACCCTTCCACGGTTTTTTCAAGTTTTGATAAAGACCAATAAGCGAATATCGATTGACACTGCCTTTCTGGGAAACTGCCCACCTACCCCTCCCCTAAGCCAACATCAACACTTACTTCTCACTTAGGGCAAAAAGTTGGTTTAGGGGAGGGGTAGGTGGACAGTTTACCAGAAACGTACAATGATCCGTGCAGAGCGCCTGGAAATAAGGAACGTCAAGTTTAAAAGATGTAAGTCCAAACAGAGCGAAGATATTGCTCAACAAAGTCGCGAAATTTTACAGAGGTTTGTATGTTTGGGGGCGAGGGGAACGGGGGAGTTCGTGCCCGTTACCATACAAATGTCTGTAAATTTCTGCAAATTTGCGAGGTTATATCCTCGTTAGTTTTCAAAAACTTGCTTTCAAACTTGGCAACTTTGCTGATCTGAGGCGTTCTTTTCAGCCGTGTTGATGGATTTTCGCCAACTACTGTAGTCCCAGTCAAAAGTTTATGATTGTGATTATGATTATGATTATGAGTATGTAATGAAAACTAACGAGATAATGTTCCGACATTTCGAAGACTTCATGACACCATTATCAAGGAATGGAAAGAGGTAAATGCGAGTTCAATTCCATGATAATCTCTTGATGAGGTCTCTGAAACATCGAAACAGCTAATTTGGCAATTTTCCGGAAACGTTCTTACAACCTTCGGACAAAATTTTCTCCTGAACGTTCTTTTAGGCCACCTGGATGCTCTCTTACGAGGAATAGTTCTCGGCGTCCTGGGACGCAGTAGCCATTCCGCTTCTGTAAGTGAGGCTCGCCAGAGATTTGACACCCATTGTAATGGTGAAGCCATGATTCCTGCAGACTTAAGATCAGCAGTTTACAGTACAGTTCTTTTAAATGGTGATGCTAGCTCACTGGAGGCCATGATGAAACTGTTTAAAAAAGCTGATTTACATGAAGAGAGAGTGCGACTGATGAGAACCATGGGAACTGTAACGCAACCTGAACTGATCAAGAAAGTCTTGGATTTCTCCTTGTCAGTGAGTCTGTAACATTTGACCATTCTACTTCATTTTTCTTTTTCTTCTTGATTCATTGTTTTCATTTTCTAGGTCAAATCTCATTTGAATAATCTGTATGAAATTCTCAACACTTGTCCATAATCCAAATTTACGGCAAACTTCAAATTTGATCTTTTAAGGTAGTTACACGACAAAAAGTGCAATGTAATATTACCACTGAAGAGTGTCGTTTCCATTACGGTATTTTTCTTCTCTAGCTAAAAAGTTAGTAGCTAATTTCTGAAAGCAGTTTCTTTAGTCTATATTTCATTCATGATTTCACTGCATTTTTCGATTTTTTTCGTGCTTAAAACGCTATATTTCTGTGTTTTCTTTTCAGAGCGAAGTGAGATCCCAGGATACTATCTACGTCATCGCTGGCGTCACTCACAGGTAAATACTTTCCTAGTTCTTAGGCCTAATTTTTCCAAGAAGCCTAGTATGCGTTTCTGGTCACGTGGTCCGAGCGTGATCTCTCGGCATCATTACATTCATATGCTCAAAAATTAGAACAACTTTGTACAGCATAATAAACAGTGATCACAGGAAAGCAGAGCTAAGTAGGTTTCATCAGTTAGTCGCAGTACCACAAAAAAACAGAGTTAAGTAAGTTTCATTTTAATGGTCACACTTTAGGATTTCACCCACAGACCCAACAGTTAGAACCACCTTGTATAGCATAGTCAACAGCATCACACTAAATAAGTTATTGCTCAGTAGGTTTCATCTACTTAATCCCAGTTGTTTTCATTCTCGGACTGCCAAATTACAATCATGGACAGAAGTCCTTGAGACAGTAATGCAGTATTCACATTTTTCTGTCACTTCTGGGTTCCCTCATAATAAAGTACATCCTTTACGAAATTTTATTGCAGTTCTCCCTCACCCCAACCTATGCAAAGTTGAACATCGAAAAAAAAACTGGAACGCTGTTTGTGGGGTGAGGGGAGGGGTTGGGTCTGTGTGAATTGGAAAACGCCCCAGAAATGCAAAAGTGTCCCAAGACTTTTGTCCATGATTGTAGAACCTACTTCGAACGTATCACATGATCCGGTTGTCGTTGTATAAATTCATAATTAGGAATTCTATCTAGGGTTCGAATTGACTGAAATTTGGCGTAAAATTTGAGTATAATTTCATCAGGTTAAGGCTTTCTCGGTGCTGAAGTTTTCTAGCCCCGAATTTCAGAGTTTAAACATGTGTTCGATTACATCAAGCTTTCTTATAGCACCTCGATCACTTGCACAGGAGACCCACAATCCGGGACACCACTGTATTTTTCAACGCCCTCTTGTTTTGCTTTTTAGTTTGATTGGTCGTAAGCTAGCGTGGCAGTTTTTTCAGGAACAGTGGGATGTGCTTTACAACCGCTACTCTTCTGGAGTTATGTTTTCCCGTCTCATTGAGGTACGGCGCTGCATTGTACTTGTTTTATGTCATTGAAAACAAACAGTTTTTCAAACAGCAAACGTCTGATTTAAGCGTCGAATTTTTCAAAAAATTCATATAAGTAGATAAATACTGTCCTCAAGTATTCTTATTGATTACGTTGGTGTGAAACTAGTAATAGAGACCTTTAGATTCAAGGACGGGGACGTCTACGACTACGAGATTTTACTTAAAGTTTTTTTGCGTATTCTCAAAATATGACTTCACGGAAAGCTTCATTTTACCATTTTTCACGAGAAAAGTTAGCCCTGTTATCTTTAGTAAAGGAGGTTATACCCTCTGCCGATTGCAAAATGATAAAACTACTAACATTTGATAACTTGTTTCCGCCACTTCGACACTTGGAGTGACGACGGCTACCACATCTTCCCGCCAAAATGACGCTGGTTCACGCGTGCGCACTACTTAGTATTGAGAAATCTCGTACTCGTCTTAGAATCTAAAGGTCCCTACATTTTTGTAGACGTATTGAACAGTAAACGCAAGTAACGGAGAAACCTCAGGTGCTTACCATTTACACAAAACACCCGGGTAGAAATCTTGTCATTAAACACAAAACTGTAAAATTTGACATGGTGAGATTACAAACCGCTACTAAGTTTACTCAAATCAACTGAACCGACTAAAGAGACTTAAAATATTGTATCACACAACTCAAATCACATCCCATATTTTCTGCACCTTCCCGAACGGAATGGCGTGAACCTTTTGATTTTCCAACCGGAATTTCTGGTTTTCTCAAGTAAATGGCATTTGGGAGTGGCGGATCCAGGGGAAGGCTCCCCGCACCCCTTATTTTTAGACCAAACTGAGGTCCAGAGGGCCGAAAAAAATTTTTTGGAGACCGCCCCCACCCCCAATCCCCTTGTTACATACGTACATACATATATGTTTTTTTTATTATTATTTGGAGTCTTATACAATAAATAGTATATCAACTATTTCCAAATAACTAAAAGTACAAACAACAAAAATTCCTAACAATATATGGCTAATAAGGTATTTATACTACTACATGAGAAATTTCTGCAATTTGATTGGCTTAGAGCAGTGGTATTTCAGCTTAATTTGAAATACCTACATGTGAAAATTACAAACTTTTTGTGGGTAGTAGTATAAACAATAACAGCATGATTTGTACGTGATATTTAGCATAAACACCACTTGTGATATTTCAAAATTGTCTCAAATTTCACTCGCCTAACGGCTCGCGAAATTTTGTATAACAATTTTGAAATATCACTCGTGGTATTTATGCCAAATATCACTACAAATCATGCTATTACCTATACTAATTAATCAAGCCCTAGAGTATTTACTATCTCAGGGTCTAAATGACCGCCCCCTCCCCCCCTCCTTCCCCCCCTCCTTCCCCCCTAATGTTGTAACCATTCGAAACAATGTCTTTCGCAATAATGTTGTAACGCTATGTTGCGCTACAAATTGTATGGCGATGTTACAATGCTAATTTGTCACCTGTTTTGTAGATATTTTTTCATATTCTTTCCTGGAAGAAAAAATTGACAACTATTCTCTTTTTCAAGGCTACCACAAAATCATTTGCTACTGAAGAGAGTATGAAAGAAATTGAGGTAATTTACACCTTCGATACTATGAGAGCAAGTATCGCTAATAGGCCATTTGGTAATATAAATATAAATAAATAAAAAACGATTGTAAAATAACGATTTAGAGAGAGCACATCCACCTCTTCGTCTACCTGATTCCTATTCGAATTGGAATTTGGAAATGTTGGTTTTTGAGGAGAGGAGGAAAAACCGGAGTACCCAGAGAAAAAGCTCTCGGAGCAAAGGAGAGAACCAACAAGAAACCATTTGCACGATGGCGCCATCTTACTCCACTAAAATCGTTCAGGTTTTTACTTTTTTGTGCAAAATAGGGCTTTTGATATTTAAAGCTCCTTCAGTGGATTACCAAATTCAAGTATGAAGGAAATTCTGGTCTTACTAGTAAAAAGATGTCATCGTGCAAATGACCTATCCAATGGATCTAATGGACGCTTTGTTGCTGTTGTTGTTTCCTTCTATACACTTAATAACGAGCGGAAGAAACGTCTGCGAAAGAGACAACTTCATGTGGCTTCAAGAGGACGACTACGATGACGAGATTTGACTTAAAGTTTTACAGTGTATTCTCAAAAACGCAGACACTCCAGAAGGCTTCATTTTCCTTTTTCTTTTTTTCACCGGAAAGGTATTGAAGATGGTTAAGCCCTCTCCCGATCGCAAAATGATAATACTTCTAGCATTTGATATCTTTATTCGTCCCTTCGACATTTTCGCTAAAAATTGTAGTAGAATGGCGACGGCGATCGCGTTTTCCCGCCAAAATAGGGACTTCAAGATCCAACGACGCGGACGGCAACGAGAACGTAAAAAAAAAACAATAGGTTTAATAAGCAAAACAACAACTTTGCACGTGCATCACACTTTTTTGTACATTTCTTTCCCGTTTTTGCACGACTACGACGTGAAAATGCGTAATTTCGCGTTTTATGGAGAACGTAAACAAGCAACGACGAAATTTTCAGTTTCTGTTTCTGAGCTTAAATATGGTCCCTTGAAATTCAGCTTTAGCAGGGGTCGCCTACAATTGACAAAGGAAGTGGGTAGGAATAATCGCAATAAAGACTGAAAGAACGCAAATTCACTTTTTAAGCGACGTTCTTGTTGCCGTCGCGTCGTTGGATCTTAAAGTCCCTAATGACACTGGTCCACGCGCGCGCACTTTTTAGTGTTAAGAAAATCTCGTTCTCGTAGTTGTCTTCGTCTCAGAACCTAAAATTCTCCATTCCAGGGCGTAACCCTGCACCTGGCCAGTACCCCAACCAGGGGAGAATGGAAATACTCCTCTATGCTTCTGTGCTATTGAAACTTGAGTTAAGTTCCAACCGTAACGGCCTCGTTGACCTTTTAAAAGCGCGCCTTTACATTTTACCTTACCTTTAAGTGTTCTTTTGATACTATTACTTTGTTGTTAATCCACAGGATTTCTTTTGTGAACACCCAGCTCCAAACGCTGAGCGAACCATTCAACAATCACTGGAAAACATACTCCTGAATGTCAGGTGGCTATCACGTGATGCCGACAACGTGCGTGTGTGGCTTGCGGACAAAGGTTACTAAGTCATGCTCTTCTGCGCAGGCGCAAAGGTAATGGAGATGACTAAATTTGAATGAAGATATGATTGTCGCAGTGCAATTACCACTGCGACGATTCATTGCTTCATTTAAATTTGTATTTCCGCAGTTCACATCATCATTGTATGTTTCATTCCTTTCACGCGTTAAGATGAACTCGACGAATTGGCCTGCTTCCAATGTATGGGTCTTCATAGCTCAGTTGGTTAGAGCACCCGCTGCGCTAATGCAGAGACCGTGGATTCGAGTCCGGTTGAAGTCCCGAAATTTCTTTGTTTCGGGTTAATTTGCAATTGCTTAAATTTCAATTACTGCGCTGCGACGATCATATTTTCATTTAAATCTGTATTTCTGCAGTTCACATCATCATTCTAAGAGATGATTAAGTTTTGATACCGTTAGTTCAAATTGCTCAGACTTCTTTTTAGTACTTGAAAAAATGAACCCGACACATCAGTGATATCCAAATTCAATGCGTAAGTAGGAAATGAATGCAGAAAGTTTCTGAGGAAGTTTTAATTTGCATGTGTTTTAGAGATGCTAAAATCCTTATTAGACAGGAAACATTTGCCTGACTAGAAATGCATATCTCGCAAACCCTCGCGAAACCCGTTATTGTACAACACTACTGTGCCAGTATTTTTGGGATTGACGAGAAAACACCTATTTCCGTTTTGTAAACGGTCGTTGCCATTTTTAACGGTTGATGAGGCAAATAATACGTTTTTGAATAGTCTAAGAAAGAACGACGCGGACGCCCAAGTAGAATTTATGTTCTGAAAAAGGGGAATGGGCCAGCGTCACCTGTTATTGATGTAACAGTTAAGAAAGACAGTTTGCTAGTTTATGTTCTTAAATTTTTTGGAATTTCGGTGGGTAGGTGTGGTAGTGTAGTGGTAAGGGAGAGCGATCAGGATACGATAGGTCTGGGTTCTAGGTCCCGGTTCGACTCTGGGTTGCGATCTTCTTTCTCTTCAATAGAAACACTCTCAATAACAGGTCAAAAATGATTTAAGTGAAAGGGAAATTTGCTGCGACGACACGTTTTGGTTTTAAAAATATGGCAAATAGCGTGGAATAACCCCTTTAAGTGTCAGAATAATACGGTTGTCTATAACAAAAAATAAGACAAGTTTCTGAAGACTTTAGATAATTCTAAAGGATAAAAAGCCGTCATATCATCTTCAATATAGTTTAATCTTTCGTATAATTACCTAACTATCGTGGAACATTTATGTAATAGGAATGACCTTTCATTTAATTAAATTCAATTTATAGATAACATCTTTATCGCACCGGATTGCTATGAATTCAATAATTTAAATATGAAATTAATAAATTAATATTTTGAGAAAGAAATAGCCTCGTTTCTCAACACCTCCTTTTTTAAACTTTTGCCATGCAAATCAACAAATCAAATCGTTTCAAAATAATCGATCGTTAAATTGTTGGAAATGAAATGTGGAGTTAGTTAAAATGAATTGTTTTGGGAAAAACATTGCAATGAAATGTCGCTAAGGCTGATTGATAGAAGCGTGATTCATTACGACAAAACAACATTGCACACACAAAAAAACGTTTCACTATACAAACGAAATATCCGGTTTCAAAGTCAGACAAACAAAATTACTATTTGCTAGTTTAGCCTGGGTGGTGGAGGGGGCGGGGGGTGGTGTTCCTAGTCGAGTCATAAAGTTTATTGATCTTGGTTTATTCAATACATTTATGACACCAAACCAGTCACCGCGTGGAAGACCACAAAACCGGGAAGTTTTACCCTGTTTGGTGATGTTTCCATACATGCTTCCGCAATCTATCCTCCAAATAGCAAATCTAGATCCGTGTGGTATTTCGTGTGTAAGTGAATGTCACAAACAGATAACATGACTCACATACTTTCACTGCGATTTGTTCTTTCTTGCAGTTCTGTTTATTTTAAGTTTCAGTCTTCCACTACTGCGAAAGTGAATATTTTTACGTACTGTAATGTGCCCCTCTTGGACTGAGAGAACAGGGCGATTGCAAGTTAGTGTATCTGGTTATGCTGAAGCAGAAATTAAAACTGTTTAAATTAAGTTACGCTCGAAACGTCTGGTTTTGCAAAACTGCTTAGGAAGTATTTATCTCTTGAGAATAAAATAAAATAAATAATTTAATGAATCGATTTGTTTTTCATTGAACGGCTCTTTCCGATTTCAGCATGACGGTTATTACGTTTCGACTAGTAACATTTATTTTTGCAAAAATATTTCTACCATATATATTTTTACAAAATTATTTTGAACGGGTCTTCGTCCTTACAAGAAGAGCATTTAATTTGTTTCTTTATCATAAAACTCGCCCCAGGCTTCCTCCACTTTCAAAATGGTGGCGTTGCCAAGCCGCTGTTCAAGGCTACTGGGATATTCAACAAAACATGGAGTTCTTTCTCACGACGCATTATAAAATATCTCTTAAAATACTTCCCGTTGCAGTTAACTAATCTAGACGTCATTTGCTGGAATAAATACTGAAATTTCTCTTTTCCCGCGTGATAAGACCAGGAAAAATGGTTTGGACACATGAGAATCGTTCTACGCCTCAATTTTCAAAGCAAAGAAAGGCCTGGGATCGAGTTTGTTTCCTATGTGATTTCTAACAGCTACTACCATATCTGACTCGAAATTTCGCTGCGTTTGTACTGGCTAGAGTTTGTTCACTGATGGTTCCGCCCTGTGGGGAAATACTCAGAAAATATCGATGGGTAGGGCTGGTGATTTTCCGGTAAAGCCCCACGCGATGAAGGTCCAACAACCTGGTCTTGATATCCGTGTCACTGTCTCTGTTTTTCTGAAAAGAGATCAAAATGTTTCAGGCCGTATCGGGTATCGGGTCGGTGATAATCAACTGGCCTTATTTAGATCCCGTCTATGTGAGGACAAGTTGTTCTTGGAAGGATGGTCACCCTCCCAGCCAAGCCAACTTTAGCAAGCGTTTACCTGGGAAAAAGTTGACCCCTTTGCGCGAGCCAAGAGCTGGCAACAGTGCTCGCGCATGCTCTATGCATGGAGAAAGGTTGGTACGGGTGATATGGCTAAGTGGATGACCCATCTAGCCGAGCCAACTTTTTCCATATGTGAATGGTTCGCCAAGTTTTGTAAGGAAATGCTCGAAAAGTTTACTCGCCCAGGGTAGCTCGGGTAGGCGAGGAAACCCTCTACCCAGGACAATTTTTTCCCGCATAAACTGTGCCTTAAAATCAGTGACTATTTCCACATGCACCTTCAAAAATATTATCTGTTGCATATAACTTAATATGTACTATGGAAAAAAGATATATTTATTGGCGAAACAGGAAGAAGACTTTTTTATTGATTGATATGGGTTTGCTCTGATGAAGTGCTGAGGCTGAAACGTCACGTGAATGGCTGCGTGAATGAAAACGCTTTACATAGGACTGCGAACAATGGACTTTTGAAACAGTTTGATTAACGTATCTCACCTTCATGTAAACGTTCCCACTGGAGTCTATTGCCAAGTACCATCCGGTCGGGCTCTTAATGAAATTTTTCCCGCCAATAGTTTTTCCAACCGAAAAGACTCCTGTAACAAAAAGAACAACCACAAATAGGTAAATAATCTATCTATCTATCTATCTATTTCGGGCGGACCCGCACTGATTTTCCGTCTGTTGACCATTGCATGCAGATGCAAGATCCTGTCTCGAAAGACCAGGATGGGGGGTAGTGGAATACCAAAAGTGTACACGAAATAAACCTTCCAATCTGATATACCAAAAATTACACTAAAACTCGTGTAAAATGCCATAATTAAGAAAAACACGATATACTTTATACCCAAAATTGGTCGTGAGAGAATACTTTATACCCAATTTTTAGCAAAAAATACTGTATACCTGAAATTAAATACCTCAATTTATTGTATATACAAAAACCCTGGCCGACCCTGAAAGACCGGTGTCACTCTTTCGTTGGTCAATAAATTGTTATTAGTTGGTAATAACATTATTTAGTTGGTAAATAATACACCTTGTGTAATCTGTTTTTTTTTTCGCTACTAGCTGAAGAGTTTCCCTACTCAATGTTCAAATTTCAAATTTTCATCTACATATGAAATGAATGTCGTCTCGCGGTATTTCATTCATAAGTCAGGACTACATTGCTTGTCTTCGGTATCTACCGCGATAATCAGGTTCAACAGCCATATTACAAATGGCAGAAGCCAAGTTTTTCGTTTCCGCGGATACATTCACTGTTATTTTAACCTCTTGCAACGGCCACCTTGCTACAATCGCCCCTCGCGCAATAACCTTTCTTGTAACCTCCACTTTAGTTATTAACCTTGACCCTCTGGCTATTATGGAGAGATTCGACTGTAGATATTGCTGTGGTTTGTTGATCTCTGACGTCTGTGACCAGAAGCCCATATTTGTGTGGACGTTTGTCAAGCACAGTGAATTTCACGGACAAGAATTCTGAACATTCTGTCGCGGGACAGGGCTTTTCTCGTGTTTTCCCCCAATTTTAGGGCGCTTAATATTACCTGTAGAACTGGCTGACCAAACCAGTTCAGTTGTTATTAGTGCTCGATTCATTCGGCTAGAATAATATTATGTAAATTTAGAGAATTCTTTAAACAAAGCTTGAGAAATACAGTTTTGTAGTTCACGTGAAAGTTTCCATTGGTGTTAATTATGCAAACCACGCAAGAAAGAAAAAGGCCTCTCTTTCCCGCTGGTTGGGTTGGAGATCAATCTCTTACTGGAGCCTATTTCAGACTCTTAGCATGCACATCTTTCGCTTTATTTAGTTTTTAAAAGGGTGACTGTCAAACATCGAAACTGTTAAATATAGTACTAAATTTCTAATTGGCTATGTTTATAGAACTGCAGAGATACGTTTTTTAGCGAAAACTCGCGTAAAAGCCTGTTTCATAACCAAAATGTCCGATCCGGAAATACAGTTCTCACTTTTAGTAGAGACCCTTAGATTCTAAGACGACAACTACGAGAACGAGATATTCTCTATACTAAACACTGCGCGCGCGTGAACCAGCGTCGTTTTGGCGGGAAAACGTGATAGCTGTTGCCATTCTACTACGGGTTTAGCGATAGTGGCGGAAACAAGTTATCAAATCATGTTAGAAGTTTAATCATTTTGTGATTGGTAGAGGGCTTAGCCTCCTTTAATAAAAAGAACACTTACCATTGGTGTTACATGTTGATAGATTCTTTGTTCCTTTTACTTCATGCCCAGCGCCTTCAATCAGATAATATCCTTCTTCGTTTTTGAACGATCTTTGCATCGCCTTAAATTGAAAGGATAGCCAAATTACTGACCGAAAACATGTTTTCAGTTGAAAACTTTTGATTCCGAGATAGGACTTATTTTTCCTAGCTGTTACTACCCTCAGCAACTGAGTGTGCGACTCGAAGGATTGTCTGAAGTTCGGGCTAATCAGTTAAAAACTTTAAAGCAGTAGCCAACATTATTTGTTATCATTCTAAACTTCCTTTCATTCTAAACGTCCTTTCATTGCTTTTCTTTCAGCGGATCCGAGTTCAAATGATGAAAAACAGTGAAGTAAGAGTCATTCAAGTAAAGTGTATTACAAGTAAAGTTTAAAGCAAGGTATGCTTACAGAGTTCGGGTCTCTTTGGTAGCTTGTGACTGAAGGAAGCCCAAAACTACTGCGTTTCTCATCGTACGATTCAACGTCGTTCAAATTTTCATCGTCCAATTCCTCAAACTCGTCTTCAGACAGTTCACGACTATATGGAAAACGTCGGAAATCGATGTCATCTTCGGCATCCTTCGGGAACCAGGTGTATTCAGAATCGGCTAGTGCTCTATTGGGATGGCTTTTCACGTGGGAGACAGCGCATGACAGGAAGCTCAGGACGAAAATAACCTGTTAGTAAAGAAATACAATGAGATAGTACGAATTTGTACTTTCTGTTAAAGCACATATTGTCACGAAACAGCATGGAATGATTATTAAGTAAAGTGGTTGTAACTTTTGAGTCCTTGGGTGGAATCCTTAAGTGTGACCATTCAAATGAACGCTACTGAGCAGTACTCTCCGGTGGTACTGTTTATTATGCTTTACAAGGTGGTTCTAACTTTTGAGTCTGTGGATGAAATCCTTAAGTGTGACCATTCAAATGAAAGCTCAGTATTGAGGAGTACTGTGCTGTGCTACTGTTTATTATTCTGTACAAAGTGGTTCTAACTTTTGAGCCTCTAGGTAAAATCCTAAAGTGTGACCATTCAGTTGAAAGCTACTTGGCACCCTGAGACTCCAGCAAAAGCGAATATTACTCAGCAACTTTTATGGTCAAGTTGCGTTGTGTTATTTATATGGGTGCGTTTGATTGATCGTATTCTGGAATAAGAATACGCAAAAGTTTCGTTTGTTACAAATCTCTTCTGCCATGATTTTTGGACCATTTAAACTCTACATATATCGGAATATTTTATTTCAAGCAGATTTCTAGATATTGTAATCCAATTAATTCCAAAAAAGGGATTCTAAATTTTAATCCACCTATTCTTATTTCGGAATACGGCCAGTCTAACACGCCCTATATAATATCCCATATCTTACAAAGCGACATTTAAACTTTCAAAATTTCACTTTCTGTTTTAATTTGGTTGCCTTTTGGGAGTTGAACAGTTGATGAGGGTCGATGAGAAAAAGAAAATAATGAGAAAACGAATTAAAAATAGCTGTTGTTGGCAAACAAACGCACACCGACGCTTAATATATACAAACAGTATATTTAAACCGGTAAAGTTTCCACTGAAGTGCACTCAAGTGTTAACTGAAATACTATAGAAATAGGTATATCGACACCCTGGCACTGCATGCGAGCCGAATCCTACAATAAACTATAAAAATAAATGGCCTCCCTAGCATGCGAAAATCCTATTACAATGACAACAGGATGCAAATTACAGCTAAAAGAAGCAGTAAAAAACTTAATCCTTGTAGCACAAGGGTAAGTGAGGGTGGCTTTCTCATTAAGAGTCCACATTAAAAAATTAAATATTACTATTATTACTCGCTGTAAGAATGAAGAAGTTGTGATAAGTTATACTTTTAAAGTCGGCTACCCAAAAATCAAATTCAAATTAGGCCCTACGAATTTTGATTATTATTTCAACAGTTTAGGCGTTCAGCTTATGATCCAACGTTCAATACAGTGTCAAGAAATGATGCGTTGATTAAGTTATATATAGCGCGAAAGAACTAGGTGTTATTAACGGATTATTCTTATTACACTTTACGAATTAAAAATAGTCTAATTAACAGAAAGAAAACGCCCAAGGAGACTCAATTCTTTTTCGCGGTATCATGATCACTTTGTAATTTTCCAGAGATAAGCAGAAAGGGCTTCTAGAATGCGAAATAAAGCATATTTTAGTAACGAATCTTTATATTTAAGATAAATTTAAAAAAGAATATACTCACTCGTTTATACAAGCCTAAAGATTTGTTCATTTTGAAGTTGCTTTTTTGCCAGCTTTGTATTAAGTCTGGCATCTATTGTTTTCTGCAATTGTGAACCAGTTCTGTGACTGTGACTTTAATGAAGCATATCTTTTATAGGCATGGTTTTATACAACAGTATAATTATATGATTTAGCAGGTGGAAAGTATTATTCCGGGCTGAAATATCTTTAAAACAACGTGGTCACCTTAAATGGAGCTCAATTATCAGCATTTCAAGTTGTTTTAATCTTCACTTCCTCAATACATGATTTGATTGCCTATAATATGACAGCGGTGGAAGAGGTTCCTATCTATGAGATTATACAATTTCCTTCTTACACGAAGCGTCACGACAAGTTGGCTGTTGTGGTCGCCTTTGTCTCCAGAGAGAAGCTCGGCGTTCGTGCTACATGCGCTTTTCTTTAGCTTTGCTTTTTTCGTTAACTTTTTTTTTCTGAATTGCAATTATTGAGCACAGTAAATGAGCTTTAATACGTATAAAAATGTTTTGAAATAAATAGAATTTTTTTAAAAACAAAAACTGAGTGTAAAGACTGAGATTAGACTAAAAATTGCAGTTGCCTTTGCACGCATTTTAGGCGAAGCGTTACTGTAACTCAGTCTAAAAGTAATCAATTTAATCCAAAACCCACGTGCCCACGTATTGTTAATTTCCTTATTTTAGCAGCAAAGTATTAAATTATAAAAGTTAATTACGTTCAAATTGGTCAACTGAGAAAGTCATAAGGTAATGTACAAGAAGTGAAACTCACTAATGAAAGAAGGTTGAACTAATGGGACAGTGTGTGTGTTGACAAAAGTGTTTTAGAGGAGAAAAATAGCGCCTTCAAGTTCAGCTTAACAAATATCAACGCTAAATATTGCCTCAGGCGTCCCATTATTGCATGTGACAGTTATATTCTGAATTATTGAATATTAGAAATGATATCGTGTACCCGGCATGGTGGGTGTTCCGGCTTGGGCAGCTGGTAAAGTCCTTCATTTGTGGTTTACTTTAATTGAATTTTTTTTTTTGGAACCGCAAGCCACATTAAATCCATTGGCGTAGTCGGCCGTACAGTAACTCCTTGTATCAAGGAAAAGCAGTAATTCTTTCAAGTATGTCATTGTTGGGCAATTTCTGCACCCACACTTAACTACAGGAATATTCTCTTGCTGCTGAATTTTGGAAAATGAACGTTGACAAATCAACGATCACTCCTTACTGAATTATTAAACGCACTCGACGCTACGACCACGCTAAACGATCTAACACTTGATTATTCTAATTACTGTTCAAATTGTGGTTTTGCTGAGTACAATTTTTTACTAATAAAAACCAAGAAAATGAAGAAATAAATCGCTTTGTATGAGATCAATTTCTTAAATTTAACCTACTCTGAGTTCGTCGGTGGAGCGATACTCTAAACACTAAGCTTTAATGACCGTAATTGTTCGGGACGGACAAAATTCATACACACACGTATCACAAGTAAATGGTTCTGATAATTAATTAATGAAGTATGATTTTAAAACTATTCGCTACGGAAGCGAAATGGAATCAGAGGGATGATCCTTTGTGAATAAAGACCGATTGTTTTTCTCAACGTCTACTTTTCGTGATTTAACTAATCAATTAATTCTATGTTCACCATTCAACGAGGGAATCATTCTATTTTTGATGAAATTCTGCTGTTTATATTTGAAGAAACTGGCCCAAAACAAGCGTAAGTCAACATGTACATAGCGGTCACCAAACCGTGTACCTACCGAATATATTAGTTACGATAATTGGTTTTGCCAATATGACACGTAAGTACATTCATTGAACAATTGTAATTATTCCAGTGGTGATGCAGCCCTCGTTTGTTGATGCTGAGACAATCGAATAAAGCTCATATTAACATTGATCTACAAGTATATCTGGCGTCATGTTTGCACTTCCTGTCATTGACCAGACCGACGACACTTTCATGTACTCGTCATCTACTCTTATAACCTGTGATCAGGCTTATTATTCTTTCTTCCTTTTTTAAAATAATAATAGCTTTTGTTGAGGAAAACGAAATGGCTTGGCACTCCAGGCTTGTGTGTGTGTGTAGCAAGTTAGACTTATTTAATGACATTGAAACTACAATTGAAGCGCAACTGTTCATTAGTCCCATAAGTCAAAGACAATGACGTGCTAAAAATCGCTCTAAAATCCTAGGACTAGTCATTTAAGCTTCCGAAGCGTTTAACGTAACGATTTTGAAGTCAAACATTTAGCCACCGATGAATTCTAACTCCATTTGGAATTCTGATGCTGAGCTACTATTTGAAGAATAACTAATTTTAGTAAATTCAAACTAGTGGTCTATTATCAATGCTGCGTTCTGATTGGTTGAGCTACTACTAGGCTTTCTGGCGGCAAAAAAGGATTAAAGTCTACAATTAGCTTTAACTAGCTGAAGCTTTTTTTTTTCTCGATATTTTTGACCAACTAGTTGGATTTTACTAAAACAATTATTCCTCTCGCCCTCATGGCCTCTGAGTCAATAGCCCATGAGGCCGAAGGCGAGGGATAATTGTTAAATAATGCATCACTTTTCTAACTTTCTAATCTTTGAATGAATTTAATTGTGACCATTTAAATGAAACTTTCCTGTAGTTCATCGAGCTATACAAAACGCTCTTTTTTTTTTTGAGACTGTCCAATGGGATGAAACCCAAAGTTTGTCTATTCAAATGAAGGCAACTGAACAGTATTTTCCTATGGTACTGTTTTTTATGCTTTTTGAGGTGATTCCAATTTTTGATTTTGTTGATGAAATTCCCAAGTGTGTCCGTAGCGATTCCAAAGAAGGTTATTAATCAGTACTTTTTCGTTCTGTTATTCTGATTACCAGCCAAGGCTTGAGGTCTGCGGGATTAGATATCCTTGAGTATGATCATTCAAATTTCCGCTCATAGAAAGGATTAGTGCCTATATTTTGTTAATTATAGTTTAAACAGCAACTGAGCCCGGTCTAAGGCGATTTTAATCTTAAGTCTTTGGAAGGGATCATTTAAATAAAAATTATTTAGGCGACACTTTAAACTGCATCGAATGTCCAGTTCACTACTATATTCAAGAGCAGACTCTGCTGAAATCATGAAATCAGTTTAAGAAAAGGATCTAGATCTCAAGTTGTTTTTGGCTGTAAGGAGAAAAGCAATCTTAGTTGACATGACTAGAAATTAAATCCCTCTTATCAAACGTGCGTTGACTTATATTGTTATCGGCTGTCATCATGACAGGTTGGGTTTCATTTGCCGTATAATTTATCAGCGGCCAAATTTAATGAATGTGCGTATGTGATGACTAAACACTGACAATTTTAGCACACTTCCTCGAGTTGAGTCGATGTCGCAATAACACTTATGAATTCATGTCAGTCTGTGATCAGTGTGATAAATATTCTACTGTTATAGACCAACCATGACATATTAGTCACGACGCGAACATTCTAAACGGTGATAATTGCTTATCACCTGGTGTCCGATATTATATTCATCCTTTATCATCAGTGGGCTGAAAGCCAGTGATATGATAATTGATGTACACTATCTTTGACAATGTGATTGAAGTGAGTTGTGGTTTAGCCTTCTTTGATGTGCAAGAAGTGAATAAAAAACATCAAGAGTTACTTTTTAAAAAATACATGGCATTACAATGGGACTCTAGTTTCATTTGCCGCCTGTAAGAGTCTTTTTGAGTTACAAAAATCACCAAAAACAGCTTTGATGCGGAAACCTTTTTCATAATTTACTTTTTCTTGATGGTAGTTTGTGGGCGGAGGGAATTGTTTGGACTATTTTCGAAAGAAAGAAAGTAGATAAATTGCAGTTACAGGAAGTTCTGCTTGTTTACCAATATTAAACTTAAGTGGAAGATAGACTAATCGAAATCATGCTTCAAAATAAATTCGACCTTTTTCCCACACCTACGGGGAGAAAACGACGTTTCAAATTAAAGATTACGGGTCGACAATACATCACTTTGCTGTTTGACAAAGTTAGGCTTTGTTTCGTGAATTTTGGACTATCATTTTGGTCAAAAGAATATTAAAATTAAAAGAGCATCACAAGAGACTTTTTGTATTGAAACGTGGTCGAATGCCCTTAGTTAACATGGCGGCCCCAACCCGGTACCAGATTTGTGTTTCGCGCGCGCGCGCGCGCTCACCACAGTTTAAAATCGTCCACGTGACGTGGATTGCTTAGTAACTGTGTACTAAGTGGCGAGGGGGTTTTCTCCCTTTTTTTTAATTTCAGTCCTTTTTTGCTTTCTTTTCTTCCTCAAGTGCTGCAAAAGCTATCTCGGGCCTCATATTTTCTCTTGTCAAAGTTGAATTATTACAAGAGATTCTTTGGCAAATGCCAATTTTGTTTGATAAATTATTTATCGCACTTGTACACAAGCGTCGGCTGGTTAAAGTAGTCATAACCTTGTTTATAAACTATTCTCGACTTCTTAATGCTACACAAGGAGCTAGTAGTTTACTTATTAAAGAGAATGCTAATTAGCGATACTCAAACATTGTTGGACATGTGACTTTTCGCCCAAAAACACGAGTTGTCCATATAATTTTTCATAGTTGTGCTGAGTTTGACATTTCACATGAACTATGTAATGATGACGTCGTAAATTAGCATATTTATCTACCCATGGTGCTTAATTTTTCGAACACTGAATAGAATTACTAATCTTTTGAAAATCGGAAGTGTGACTTATCAGATCCCCCAACGAAAGAGAGATGCCTTAAAAAAGTTTTTTGGTCTATTTTTAGTGCTTGATAAATGGATTAACCAAATAAATCGCAGTATTTGTAGCAGTGATGTACATATATTCGGTTGTACGTGAAAGAATTGCGAAAAAAACCTGTTCAAATTACATCCTGTGTTTTGCCGCCTTGAAGTAGCAAGAAAGAGTAATCGCTGACGTCATAAGACGAATTAACCTTACTGTAATTAACAAAAAAGATAAAAATAGAATTAATTACAGTTTGCACAAATGGTTTTAGTACACTGAAATTGCTTCTTTTAACAAAGTGGTCGTTAAATACAGCTAAAACACTAAAACAAACAGTAATTCGGACTTAGAAAAAGGTGACTGCGAACGCTTATTGGATTCAGTTCTTCAATTCTTTAATAAGGGTGGAAATTTTTGACCGTTTTAATTTCAAAAGCCCGAGGGTTTTTTCGATAATTAAAAACAAGTTGCCGCAAATGAAGAAACTTTTCCTGGGACACTTTACTGTCATTTTTGACAGCAAAACAGTTATTGTCAAGATTGTTTCTTTAAAAGACGTGCGCTGGGATGGAATTTGACC